AATTAAGCGATGTGGCTGGTCTACAGCTAATTAATTAATAAAATTCATGATTCTGATGCCCTGAACGCACGGACTTTTGTCCCCATGTTCGTAAGCTATTTACACAATTCATAAAGTGAGGCTATTCATACAGTATGAAAGTCACCTGATCATTCCCTCCGGCTCACGAACCGACATCGAACACCCGACCACAAATTTTGATCGGCTTTCAGCCAAACTTAAAGATGCCCGTGGTTTCCGACAATGTCATCCGCATCGCAAAACCTGGCATCGTTCTGCTCTGCACCCTCGACCACATCTTCCTACCATGGGACAAGCAAACCCTCGACTTCATCCAAACCGGCAACTGGCAAGGCCTCACCCTCTTTCTCGACATCGAGCAATCCCTGATCCTCGGAACTCGGAAGATGCACTGGGTCTCCATCATCGCCCAAATGCTGTCTGCAGTATCGGTTCAAATCTATGTCTAATTGAAAAGCGGACTACTAGTTGCTGATGGGAGAGCTGAGCAAATGCGTCTTTCTACCGTCCTTTCTATGGTTTTGAACGCTATGAACAATGCGAGCACCGTGGTCTTGGCATCTGATATCTCTCGAACGATCACCTTTGGTCGAGATCTGTATTTGAAAGTCCTTGGTTTGGGGGCTTACACTGCTGCAGTAGTATTCGATGATGCGCTTGGAGAAACTCCACTCTTCACGAGATTTATGACGTTGAGCAAGAGCGATTTCACATTATTGACTGCGTTTTTGTTCACGAGGCTTTTGCTAGGTTCGTCGATTCAGAGTATCGTTGTGGCGATTACGGCTCAGTGGGATTTGAGGATGGATTTTCAAAGAGTCGGGATTCGCGGTTTCGACATGAAGAGGTTGATTCCTGAGCTGAAGCCGGGTGAGGAGAATCTGGTGAAGGCGGCGTGGAATTTGTCTTCGGTTATGTTGGGACTTTGGGTTATGGTTACGATCATTAGGGGATTTTTCTAGGCCAGCGGGGTTGTAGTTGGAGGGGGATGTTATCTGCTGGGCCGTGATTTGGGTTGATTGGGAGATGGGGCAAAGAAAAGTTTCGTTGTATTGTCTAGTTGACAAAGGTCCAAAATACGTGATCGCCAGCAACCACATCTCCATCAAAATCCATCAGTTTGCTCTATTATGCGTATGCGTATGAAGTCCTAAGCGTAAGACCGATGTAAGGATCGAGGTCTATCAAAAGCGTATGAATACTCAGTCCTTAGACGTGAGGGTCTATTATAATGTGACAGCCACGCACAGTGGACTAGGTATCAAGACGTACGCACTAATCTGTGAATAATAGACTAAGAACTAAAAGAGCGGAAGAGTGCTGAGGCCAGATAAGCTGAATCCTCAGCATGACAAGCTGCCTACAGCTCTTTGTCCATACCAAGAAGTTCCCAAAAGCCTCGCATCCTAATCCCTTGATCCATGCTAATTTAAGCTCAGAGCCATCAACGCTTAGCTCTTCTTTCAGTTGCAACCACGTACTATCTCAAATCATCTTCAATCCTGTGGCTTGAATCCCCAACTTGTAAGTTGAAACTGCGATGCTTACCAACTTCTGCGTTACTTGATCTATCTCTTCATGTTCCCAAAATCCGATTCAACCTCTCTTTTTACACATCAAACACCTGGTGGGCTCCGTGTATTTTGGATAGGGCAAAAACAGATTTTGGCCGCAACCGCCTTTGGAGACCTGCACCGAGCTATTCACCAAATATTCTATTAGCCAAATTTTATCGTTTTATGAATGGATCAGCTATTTGGCCAAACATTTATTGCTTGATATAATGGAAGTTTCGGTAATTTCTGTTTTTTTCTATAATGCTAAAAACATTTAAAAAGAGATAAATTCTGAGAAGATAATTAGAAATAAGTGTTTCTTGTGCTGAGTACTTTAAAGGAAATCTATTTCATCTATTAATTCGATGAATTGGGCTACTGCTAATATAGTAGTATATCCGAAGTGTAATCTAAAGTATACTTAAAAAATATATTTTAAGCTATAATTAGTAGATTACATAGTAAGAGACTCCTAGACATAGAAATGATAGTATCCGAGCTTATTAAAGTGTGTTGCTCACGTAGATCTAGTGCAAAAAGGAGAGAAATCAAACATTAGGTCTAAAACATCAGCTTATTTTAGGCAGATCAATCCATTAATGAAACGCCTGATCTATTCGTCAATGCCGTTCCATTGGTCAAAATACCCTAAATTTGGCCAAAATAGGCATTCTGTTGGCCAATAGCTCATTTGGTGAATAGGTCGGTGCAGCTGAGGTCTTGTACACTGATCGACCTTTTCCTAGCAAATTTTAATTTCTATACGATATTGCAATTGCAAGGCACCGACCATGTTTTACGCAGATGTAGGTTTCCTTAACCAGACCACGTAGTTGCCCGTGTGAGAACACTGGTTGCCGGCCAATTCAAGGATGCTACTTCCTAAAATGCCAGCAACATGAGGCTTGAGATGCCATTAACAGTCAGGTGATTCCCCTGAGCTTATACGCAAGTCAGACCTGTCGTCACAAGTTCCTTCATATTGCATAAGCTGCGCTGCGAGAAACGAATAATATAATACCGCATAATGGCTGCACGTTTTCCCTCTCTTCTTCCTGTATAGTTCAGGTTGATGTGAATTATTACAGCTAAATGCGATGTTCAGGTACTATCGCCGCCGAATTCAAGGGTCTTGGTCGCAGTTTTATGCGACGATTGTCCTAATTCCCAGCCACGTGGGTAGTCGCCGCATTGATTCACCTGGTGGTGAACATTCTGTCTAGTTGGTATAGGGATGCAGGCGCACGAGAAAATGGCAAGCTTCATGTCTCAGCCACGTACCTTGTGGGTCTGATTGATTGGTCCGCCCACTGTGCTGGTCGGCGCTTACACAGCCTCGCCTTTATCTCACAACCTCCAGGCAAATGCAAGCATCTTTATCCCTCTTGTAGTGGTGGATCTCATCTAGAAACGTGGTCTATCCTTTTCGCAATGGTCCTAGATCCTCTGACGGCGTTTTCTGTCGCTGGAACAGTCATTCAATTTGTCGATTTCGGCCTAGAACTCTTCCAGCGAAGCGAGGAGTTGTACAGATCGGTCCGAGGCACTTTGTCTGTCAATGAGGAGTTAGATCAGACCATCTATCAAATTCTGAAGCTAGTAGAAAAGCTTTTGCAGTCACTGGGGCCGGATGGAGCCTTGGGATGCCAGACAAACGATGAGTATACCTTGGCAGGGCTCTGTGATGCCTGTAAGGCCGTAGCACGGGAGATGATAAGTCGGCTGAATGATCTTAAAGTTAAAGGTAGGGCTCGAGCATGGAAAAGCCTGAGAGCAGCAATTGTGCACGCGTGGAATCGAGACGCTATGATGGCGTTACAGAAGAAACTCGAAGGCATCAAAGCACTCATTGAGTCGTATGTGCTAGTGTCAGTGAGGTATGCAGACTCAGTATGACAAGATGATGGACTCCGTTGACAGAACATCAGAGAGAATGTGATCAATCTCTCTATCGAGACGTCGGAGCGGTTCGCCGCGCTTGATTCGAGGTCCCAACTCATCATTGACTCTCTCCTTGAAAGACGGAAGGAATTTTCAGAGGAGCTACAGGACCAGACTTTGGCGATAGCTCAGCTTTTGAGCCGGTCAGAGATAGCCATACTCGACCATCTTGAAGAATCCAAGGCTAGGATTCTTGGGACAGTACAAGAAGCCCAACAAATCACCTCTTTGAATGGAGTTGCGAATGACCAGCTTCTAAGATCGAAAAACGCCGAAACACTTTGTCGGGACATGACCGAGAAGTCTCTCTTGGAAGGCCTCCAGTTCTCAACAATGATGCAGCGCCAAGAAGAAGTCACGGAAGCATATCGCAAGACATTCGAGTGGATATTTCAAGACCTGTCTAGGACTTTCCGGCCCTGGAGTAGCTTCATCAACTGGCTCAAATATGAAGACGGAATATATTGGATAAACGGCAAGGCAGGATCGGGGAAGTCTACACTCGTGAGGTACATTTGTGATGAACGACGGACAGAGACTTTGTTGAAAGCTTGGGCTGGGCCGATTCCGTTGACTATTGCCTCGTTCTTCTTTTGGAATAGTGGCACAAGGGATCAGAGGTCCCAGAGCGGCTTTCTCCGTGCTATTCTCTTCAAAGTTTTGCATCAACACCCGGAACTCATGCCTATTGTCTTGCCTTGGCAATGGGCTAAGCGATATTCGAGACTGGCTTCAGACAAACCTATCCTTGCCGATCAGATTCGGGATGACTGGTCGATATCGAGATTAAAGCAAGCTTTCGCAAAGCTCTGTGAGCAGAGGATCGTCAAGATAAAGGTCTGCATTTTCTTGGACGGGCTCGACGAGTACGAGGGAGACCATGAATTAATAGCCGAATTCTTTCACGAAATTACAACATCTTCACCCAATATCAAGATATGCGTGTCAAGTCGGCCGCTCCTGGTTATTGGGGATATTTTCAGTGGGCTTCCTAGCCTTCGGTTGCAAGATCTCACGTTTCAAGACATCAAATTCTACGTGAATGATAACCTCAGCAAGCACAGACGATTCCGTCAATTGCTTGAAAAAGAACCAATCAAAACACCGCTGCTGGTCAAAGATATCGTCGGCAGGGCAGATGGAGTGTTCTTGTGGGTCAGACTTGTTGTTGAATCTCTGCGTGAAGGACTAGGGAACCCCGACGAGATTGCCGATCTTCGAGAAAGGCTGGATGAGCTGCCCCGAGACTTAGAACAGCTCTATAACCACATGTGGGGTCGTGTCCGTGGGGTCTACAGACCCCGTGCCTCTCGGATTTTCCAGATTGTCCGTGCCGCCAGAAATCAAGGTGCAGTTATCAGATATAAAGACGACGAATACGAGCCTCTAACTGCGATTGCGCTTTCTTTCGCAGAAGAGGAATCTACGAGCATTAACGGAAATCCATCAATTAGAATTCTGGATCCAGCTTACCTCAAAGAACGTTGCGAGAAGATGGATGCGGTCTTGAAGACACGATGCGCTGGCTTGCTTGAGATTCATGCATCTGAAAGCACACTCTACGAATCTTGGGGAGGAACAATCTAGTATCTGCATCGCACAGCTCGGGAATATCTGGAACGCTCAGAAATTTGGTCTTCTATCACCTTCCATACCTCTGGGACTGTCTTCAACCCTCATCTCTGCCTGCTACGATCTTGTGTTCTTCAACTGAAACATACAATCACAACTCCAATGTCAAAATCACTCTGGGTCACTTCCTTAGCTGCTCTCGAAGACGCATACTATCTAGAGCGCGACACGGATATTCCATACACGACGCTCCTGGACGAACTCGATAGCATTATGAATTTTCGAGTCACCAGGTCAGAGAAACCTCCTGAAACTTATCGCCACCACTGGGTGAACCACACCTTTAACCCACACTCAGAGATTCCAGCCTGGGAAAGTGACTTTCTCTCTCGTGCCGTGCAATGTGGGTTAACATCGTATGTTAAGCAAAAGCTTGGGAAAGGAAGCAAGGTTTTGAATAGTAAAGGCGGTCGTCGATACTTGGATTATGCCGGGGATTTTCCGGATAAAGATTTTGTTCTGCCGCCAGTTAAGCAGGAAATGGTGGCGATTTTCCTGGAACGTGGTCAGGGCCGAAGGTCATGCATATTAATGTGATGAAAAGACCCTAGGCCGGAATTTGAATGCCCGTATAGCCAACTCTATAAAGCCAGATTTTATATAGTAGTAATAAAGTCTAAGAAAAGGTTTACAACTCAATGCAACCTCACGGGTTTGGTCACGTGTTAAAGGTGGTAAGAGTTCCAAGTTCCGATTCAAGAATGGAAGTTGGCTTTCCCAAGTAGGACCCAGAATTATAACAATAAGAAATGCTTAGATTTGGTCAAAATATTTCGTCTCTCATTTATCATCATCTTGAGTAGCTCTTCATTTCTCCCTCTCTCCGTCAAAATATCAGAGCTCACTTTTCGGTGCATCCTCCCACTGATACAGGATCAACTTTTGTGCACTTACCCCTTGCTCTAGCTTCCTCAGTGCCCCATCAACGGCTCCAAGCCCACCATGAATAAGCTCAAGTGGGACGCTCTTCAACGTGCCTGCTGCTACAGCTTCAGGAATGTACTTGACGAACACCCATTCATCGAAGCTCGGATCCAAAGCCGCAAGGGACGATGGCCAACCTTTAACCACACGGGTCACATTTTTCGGAATATCAACATCGGCCGGTGGAGGCCCGACCGAGTAGAGCACGATGTCGCCTGACTGAGCCCCCAGAACGGCCGCATTAATCGCTGTGGCTGGGGCCGTTGAGATTGCGTCAAACGCAAAGTCGTACGGACCGTGCTTCTTCAACGCCGCAACGACATCGTCCGCGGACTTCGTATGGTCGACCACGACCGCTGCTCTGAACCCGCTCACGAGCGCGTGGTTGGCTGGAGAGGAGGTGCTGATGACAGTGTAACCAGCCTGCACAAGGTATTGAATGGCTAGAGCGCCAAGAGACGACGAACCACCATAGACCAGTGCCTTCTTGCCGTTCGATGGGTTCGCTGTCGTGGTGTCTTTTGGGCGATCCAAACCTGCTTCAACTGCAGCTCCAATGATGGTGCGGAGGTTGAGCACCACCGCCGCCGTCTCCTCTACAGATTTCTCATCGACCTTGCCCACGAATGTGGCATCTGCGGCCGAGAATCGCTGAAAGCCCCCGGCCTTCGGATTGTGCGTAAAAACATAGTCTCCCTTCTTCACGCGCGAGACGGCTTCATCCACGGCCTCGACGACCCCGCCGTAGGAGTAGCCCAGTACAGCCGGGTATTCGATCGGGCGGTTACCGTTGCGGGCGATTTTCCAGTCGACGGGGTTGAACGCGACGACGGTGTTGCGCAGAATCACTCCCCCAGGTGGAAGGGTAGGATAATCGACTGGGCCGACAGTGATGGTCCCTTGGGCGACGGGCAGGACGGCAGCGAAGTTGTTTGGAGACATTATACTATGATTATAGAGTGGTTGAATTGCGGCTATTGGCAAAACGGGAGGGCTCTGGGGTTGTCAAGAGCATTGAATTTGTGTTTAGAATATGCCCGTTGATAATATACATACCACGGAAAACATGGCGCAATCATATCGCATTATTGTGTCTTGCAGCAACAATGCAACAATGGCGACATGAGGGTACTGTATCACGAGAGTTGCAGCAATGGCGCCGCCAACTTCACGGATACATGATATAACATAACCAGCTTTTTGTAGCAGTCTGGCCATAGAGGGTTGAGTAGAGGGGTAAGTGATTCGGTTTTTTTTATTGGAGTCCTGGCAGAGGAGCAGGGCGTTAGCGTTCTCGCTTGTGCCAGGACAGTCAGGAAGAGCGCTATACCTTAAGGAGCTCGTAATGTGATGACTTCAGCCCAGGCAGCTTCTTACTGTAACAAAGCAACACACAGATTCTCGAAACTTGTCCACAGCCAGCAAAAATGACATTCCCAGATAGTCCGAGCAAAGTCACATCTTCTGCAATTACGCCAGCTCTTCCAGACAATGTCTGCATCTTCTCACCCGCGGATCCAAATGCAGCGAGTGCCCTGTTGAACGGGCGCATCTTCACTCGCCTCACTGCCAGCATTCAGACTGAGCCATCCAAGCTTTCGGCGGCTTTAAGAAATTTGTTACGGCCTGAAGCCTGCGCGGTCTTCTGTCTAATTCATCGCAATGCTATTTTGATATTTGACTCCAATGGCGATGGTGAGGACCTACAAAATTTGCACCACGAGCATTTTCGTCTTGTCTGCTTAGCGCTGAAAGACGCCGACATCGGCTTAGACGTTTCCGGATGTATTCTCGATGCTCCTAACGTCCTTCAAGCGGGCTTTCAACTTGACAAAATGAATCACGGTTCAGTTCTAATGATTGATCTAATGGACGAAGAGAATGACGACGATCCGGATTCAGATGACTGATCGCGCCCCTCCAAGGCTGTGTAATGAGCGGAAACTTAGGCTGTGGTCTTCGTGGAACTGGAAAGTCATTGACAATCTTCGAGATTCATCTCATGGCCGTCCGAGCTTTAGATTGAATGAAGACTAGCTACGATGTAAAAACAAAGCAAACCGTCACCGAATAGAAAAGAAAGTTTAAAGGTTCATAATCAAATCAGAAAAAGTGTCGTGACTTGAACTATGTAGAATGATTCTGAGCTTGAGGCCCAACCCGCCACTATCCTGCCCACGTATCGTAAAGTAACTGGCATTCACAGAGATGGATGATATCAATTCCAGATGCACAGCTGTACGCCCTCTAGTTACCCCATCTGCTTAGCACGAAGCGTCTAAATAAGCAAGCAACTCTTCCCTCTTTCCTACTCCATTTCGCAGACTTAACATCATACTCAACATCAGTAAAAGCAATCTCAGAAATAATCGACTTCGAACAAGACTTCAACATCAACTCAACATTTCATTGTCACCGAAACCAAAATGTGCACCGAACACGACGTATATTGCGAGCGTTGCGATGAATTTCTCATCAGCGAACTCAGACTGTGCAATGAACGCAAAGCAATGCACTCAGCTGCGTATTGCTCAACATTTACGCCAGGCGAAGACTTGTCCAGGAAGAAGACAGCTTTGAGCCTATGTGACAATCCCAGGTGCGCACAAGAAGAGGAGATCTACATCTCAAGAAGACAGTTGGACGCACAATCGAATGGGGTAAAAAGGCGTCGTCAGCATCGACTCCCCTTGATTGCAAGCATGGCTTTTTCATGTGTTGGCATTCGTGTTTTATGCAAGTTTTAGCATGGTTTTCGAAGTGTTCAAGGGGGCAGCAGGCATGGAAAGGCGAGAAAGTTACACAGTCCGAGGGACACTTAGTTGCGTTGTTTGTTAGTAGGTCGTATCCTTAGTTTCTGTAACGTTGAACTTTTCCTCATCCTCTGACTTATCTAAAATATGGTGGGTTGTGAATTTCTGATATTCTTTGTCTCGTATACTTGATCAGAACTCGAGTTTTAGTCCAAATGTTCAAAGTGAATCCACCTCGGTACACTTAAAAGCCCGCAGCTGAGCTAAATGGTTATCAGATGCATTCTTTTCGTACCGAATTTCCTTTGCGTGTTAAATTTGCCCTGAAGATTCATCCCACGCCATATGACTGGACTTGGTGATTGTGCAGTCATTGAGTCTGGAAGTCCTTACCCATAATATATAAATGCCTTGTATTATTTAGAGACTATAATAACGAGGAGTCTGAAGTGAAGGGTCTGAGGTTAGGAGTACTGGGGTGGACAGTAATGAGGTGAATAGTAGCGATGTGGCTGACTATAAGTGGGCCGCAATACATAGCCAGGCAAAGTGAGTTAATTACAAATAGCACAGAAAACACTCTTGTTATCCTATTCCTAGGCATATCTCAATTCTTTACCTATTATTTAACAAAACACAAGAAACGAGCATGCTAAGTAACGGTCAAGCGTGCGATCCTTGTTAACAGCCTTCTGGCTATCGTTAAAGCCAGAGTGATCCAGACCTGCCAAAGTTTACTCTATTTGCATCCAGAAAAGTACTTAAGTAAATGGCTGGCTAGGAGACTCTAATAGTTACATTTCCACTGAGTAAAAGCGAAGCATTAATATGCGCAGTCATATGTGCAAGGAATGGCGCAAATTAGAAGATTGTCGCATGATTCGGAGCTCAACCTCGATTTGATGACTACCACCTTCATGAACTCCGAACTAGCTATGAACTATAGCAGTAGGTGATTATATTCCTTGACTCATAAACCTTCAATCGACTCCTTCCATCATTACGAAAAGTCTACAAAAGGAACTATCATCACCCACTTCCCTACTTCATCTTCCATACCGGAAAGAACACAATATTCGACACCAGCCGAGAGCATCCCACCACATCAACATCGATCAATACTCATCAGCAGTAACAACAACAATAAAATATGTACCGAACATCCAGTATTCTACAAGGGCTGTAAAAAGCACATCGGTACGAAGAATAAGTTCTGCAGGGCTAGCACCGCTAGGGCTAAGCCTGGAAAGCGTCCACAAGCTAGCTAATGTCCCATCCTTATTGCTGGGGACGATTTGTACAGGGAAAAGGACCCGCGGAGTCTTTGCACAGATCGCAGATGCAAGAATACAGATCCTGCAGACTGGGATCCTGCAAATGCTTTGCAATTCTGTTATTTCGCCGATCCTGATAGACCTTCTCCTTATTCGAGAAAAGCGCCACCGAGAGAGCTGAGGTCATACAACCAGAAAGAATCTTGGAAAGCTGCGGTCACTAGGTCATAAATTTAGCTTTAGCAAAATGGCCTGAAGGAAGCTTGGAAAGCTATTTATCGTAACTTTAAGTTTCTGCAATATTGAACTCTCGCATATTATCAGATCCACGTAACAACATGTGGCGCGTTAATCTTCTTCGCTTTGTATCTTTAGTCGTTCCACTGTGAATAAGTCTCGTTATTTCATGTGCATGTCAAATTTGTCACAATTCTTCGTCCCTAGGCTTGGTGATTGGACTCGATGATTATGTAGACTTTGTGCTTGTGAGACCTGGCACATGATATATAAGGGGCTTCTCTCCGCACTGAAACCAAATTCAAAAACTGTCACAGTTTGTATTGTAATTTGAGGAGACGTCTCAGAACAGAAGTCCTGAACCCACTCGCGAGATGGCTTCATCTTCAGATATTCCCACGCAAGTTAATAAAGATAAATCAGAGGTCTCAACTGACCAAGATATCCTTTGGCCATACTTGCAGAAGGCTCTGATCAGTCGAAATCTGACTGGAACTCCTGTAAGTCTCTTCAACGACAATTTGGAACGCGGGATCCAGAACTCTTCGCCAGATCTCCCTGCGGCTTGGCCAACTCTCAAGCGAGATGCGACAAATCAAATCCTCCTCTTTCCGGGTTCATTTAACCCACCTCATCAGGGTGACTTGGCAACGATTAGATACTTCTCAGATCACTGTGACCAGTTGGGTATCGTAGCTATGTTCATATTTGCCGACCCGGACGAGATCATAGGTACCAAGGAAAAGAAATGGGGTAAAATCATCCTTCCCCAGAAGTTGCACAACAGGATGTTCGCCCAAGTTCCCGAATTATCTCCACTCATCGAGGACGGATGGCTTCATCTTCTGGTGGGAGATATGGAGGGTCATATTCAAGTCTTACGCACTATGACTGGTCTGATATCGGAAGCCGGTTTCGACGTCAAGTTGGTCGGGTTCTTTGGCGGTGATAAACTGTCTGTCGAAAGCCCTCCACATTTGCCTCCGGGTGACTTAACCGCATGGGGTCCAATCGATGACTTCCTCATAACAAATGCTAGAAGACCAGTGGTCTTTTATGACCCAGGACAACTTGCACTTCACAACTTACCTGGTTGCACAGAGTGGGAGAGAGCCGCGTCGACCAACGAGGTGGCGGTAGCGGAGGAACAACGTCTTGGAGAATTATGGTTCTGTAAAGCTTTGACAGTTCCGGGAGAGCCTTACATCCAGTTTCGTGCTTCACATAGCAGCGCCTCGAATGGGATAAGCTCGACCCGTATACGGAAGATAATGGTTCATGCGTCTGTGGAGGAAATTTATGAGCTGCTGAAAGATGAAGTCTTGAGCATCGAGGTTATGATAGAGTGGCTGCAAACAAACATGTCGTAACGAGCAGGTGTTGTTGAAGAAGAAGCAAATAATGAAGAGTGGTCGATCTTTCTTCCTCGCCTCCTATCCCCTTGCTAAAATCCCCCCCTGAGAGTTGTCCGTCAGTGCTGAGAGCTACGCCAGATGAGCCGTCCGCGTGCTAGAATGCCAGCCTCAACCGTGCATGAGTCTTTCATTTCTTTCTCGGTCGCAATGATCTTTCATTCAATCATCAACCACAACAAAACAATAACACTTCTATCGTATCCCGACTTCGAAATACTTTAGGCGTACGCAACCGCAGATATATCACGCTCGGACCATCTTAATCACTCTATTATTTGTAGCCAAACACAAAGTTGATTTGGTAATCACGACGGTAATCGTAATCAGCGCCTCATCCCAGCCTCAAACATACACTAATCACACTGCAGATTCGGCACCAACAAAATGAAAACAGCGCCCAGTGAAGACGTACCGATTCACGCCACTGAATATACGGAATGGCTATTTCATATAGCTGTCTGTCCAGATCCTTGACTGCTTACGGTACAGCATGCATCCACGTGTTGAAATGCTCCTCGGCTTGTTCTCGAACACCTTCGTCACACATGAACCTCTAGGAAATATTTTTGAGCTTCGACGCATTTCTATGTCTGCACACATCTGAGGATAGGATTGTTTTTGAAGCTCGGATTGGTATACTTGCAGCTTTCTTCCAATCCCAGGAACGGGCCCAATTGCTTCCGAAAAGCAGGCCGAGGTACGTTTTCCTCCTGTCTTAATCGTGAAAGCTCTTCTGATTGCGGGACAGATACCAAACCTTTGACAGATGACGGAACTTCCAGCAGATGACCATGGTGGATTGGAGTCCAAGGCCCCATCAGCATGGAAAAGAATGGCGGCGAAGCTGGGACTGAACCTTCCCATGGTATTACTCATGTGCAAGTGGGTTTCCCTTCTGTATGCGGATTACATTTTGTATATTGCGAGATCAGTACACTATATCTGGCATTTCGGAAAGCTCTGCCAATTCCAATTGTTATCGACTCTGTTGTTTGCCAGGCGATGCTAATTGAAATGAAGAGGGGCAATAGCACCGACGATTGGGATAGCAATGTAGGTACTCGTCTTGATGTTGCAAGTGCATTCTAACCTTGCGCAGATACCAGAATAGCAGTGTCGCGGCACATTATTCGACAATCGGTTATCTTATTCCAATCATGTCAATCTTGACTGTACCGATAATGCCTCGAGCAAGATTTCTACAAAACCTCATCATCACTTCGGTAAGCCTACACTTGCGGATCAGTAAGGTTGGCATGCCTAATACGATGAACAACGCAGCTTCTCGTATGTCTGGCGGCGGCATTGTCACTTCTAGCTATGTGGGTTGGAGTAAAAGCTCGGGAGAACACAACACATGCTGCAGAATCATCAAAGTCCACTGGGCCTGTTCCTGGTGCTCTGATCAGTCCATACAATGCAGCTGCCAGCGTCAATATGGCAGTGTGGTTCTTCTTCATGGTTTGGTTAGCCAACACGTAATTATTCCTGCAGCTTATGTGATGCTTCCGCTGACCGTCAAAGATTTCGTGCCTACCGACCTCAGTATTTCCTTCCTTCTATTTTATTCGGCATATTTATCAATGTCACTGGATCATATGGACCGCTGTTCAGCTTGATGGTAGAGTGTGAAGCTTTGGGTACGATACCTTAATCATGAGTCGAACGGTTTTCTCACACGTCTAACACAGTATCACGATTGTTGGAGACTTTCTTCTCAGGCTTCGCAATCTCCTTTGCAGTCAACCTCTTTATCGTTCCATTCACATCACGAAATCTAGTTTCGATGTTTGTGACCCACGAAATACAAGGATTCAAGGCCGTGTTCCAAGCACATACTCAATATATGCTCTCACTTCCATCCCGAGATTGGTACGGATCCAAGCAGGGCTCTGTAGAGTCCGAGGCAAGCAAAGACGATGATCCTTTCACAAGGCCCACACAATGGCCAGAGGCTGATGCTCTCAAGAAAGCAGCAACAATGGTTACGGAGCTTCAGGTCAAGATGATAGCCGAACTTCGATACGCAAAACGAGAGGCAGACTGGAGCAAGCTGAGTCCTGATGACTATGGGACTCTGGTGCGACTTTGCAAGAATATCTTGCTACCTATCCTTGGCATGGAGTCACTCACCGAAGTAACAGACCGGCTTGAGAAGCGTGGTGGATGGTCTTCGATACGATCACCGAACGACAATGCCTTGTCAGAGAAAGAATTCGGCACCCTCGAAGCGAAAGAGAAGGAACAGTGGCATGTGATATTCGAGCAGCTACATGAACCCATTCTTGAGCTGCAGAAGACCATGGCTGAAGGGCTTGATCATTCCTTGTACCAATTGGAGCTTGTGAAGAAGCCGAAAGTTGCAGTTAGAGGTGATGTTGAGGCAAGCGCGGAGGACAATGGACCTGGACGCAAAGGCTTTGCAAAACGTCTGGAAACGGGAATAGAACAATTCCTAAAGCAACGTGAAGGTCCTCTCAGGGAGTGGTGTGCGGAGAAAGGCATGGATCATTCCACAGAGCGAGATAGTATGAAGCCCAACCATTATCCTTTACATCAAAGACACCAATCTCAGCTCTATCTCATTCTCGATGTAAGCTCGAGCTCCAATAAAATCAAGTTAGTGCTGACCGAATAGCTTGAATACTCTTTTCTGATGGCTGCGCGAGCAATACTGGATCTCGTCAAATTTGCCGACTCAAAAGTAGAAGATGGAACAATGGCACAGAATCGACTCATCTTACCCAGCTGGAGAAGGATAAAGAAATGGATTATCGCATCATACACTCGAGAAGATAGTAATCTCGATTACCATTCCTACAGCACACGCTCCGGAACTCCTACAGTCTACCTCCATGATGCTCTCCAGTCAGATCAGGACCCTGAGCATTTACCACCTGTTACGCTGTGGGAGAGATCAACAGAAAAACTTCGAGGTATCACACATTTCATCTCATCTGCAGAGTCTGCCTTTGGATTTCGCGTCGCTGCTGCTACGATGTGCATCATGATTGTTGTGTACTTGAGAAATTCCCAGCAATTTTTCATCGAGCAACGTCTAGTATGGGGTTCGATCATGGTGGCTATCAGCATGACCCAGACCGCTGGCTCCGGTATCTATGGGCAATTTGTCAGATTTGGAGGGACTGCACTCGCCATGGTTGCATCATATATCGACTGGTACATTGTCAATCAGCATACCGCAGGCATTATCGTCTTCCTTGGGATCACTATGTTTCTGTACCATTACCCGATGATCCGATGGCAAGACGAACCTGTTGTGCCAATGATTGGAATGGTCACGGTGGTTCTAATTGTAGGATACGAATTGCAAGTCAAACAAATTGGTGTCGCTCTTTCAACCTCCAATGGTCAAGTCTTTCATCCGTTATATGAGCTTGCACCATACAGATTAGCTGCAGTCCTTGGTGGAGTTGGAGTGGCTTTCTTCTTCACATACTTTCCATCCACGATCACTTCAAGAAACCAGCTTCGAACAGATCTCGGTTCTTCAATTTATCTGCTGAGTAACTACTACAGTTGCGTCTATCAAACTGTCAGTCTTCGGATCAGAAGTGCAGAAGGAGATCCGGACGATAAGCAGAGCCCTGGACGGAAGCTTGAAAAAGCTCGCACGAGATTGTTTGCCAAAGAACTCATTCTTTTGCAATCCATGAAACATCATACTGCCTTTGCGGCATGGGAACCTAGCTTTGGAGGAAGGTTCCCAAGAACTTCATATGACAAGCTGATCAACCATACTCAGAAGTGATTATTTTCATCAATCTCCTGCTTCTTGAAGACTAACAATATATAGTATCATTCACTTCACAACCATGATCTCCTACGTCACAGAAACATTCTCCTCTCTCCCAAGTCGAACAACTCAGCCTCAAAACTCCACTTCATCCTCCGAAGAATGGCTGCACGACTTCAAACTCCTCGTCTCTACCCTACGCCTCACATCCCAGAACGTAACCTCCCTGCTCAGCATAATCGCGGCCGCCATCTCGAGCGGAAAACCTCTTCCCCCGTACCTCAAAGCTCCAGAGCCTGTGCATATTGGACAGATGTTGATTGGATTGGATCCCGATATTTTGAGCACGAGACATGTGTTTGAGCCGGCGTATGCGGCGTTTGCTGTCATGCAGGTTGCAATTACGATGCTGGGAGATGATCTTGTGGGAATGCTGGACGAGGCGAAGAAGTTGGTTGGGGAGGTGAATTATGGGGTTGATGTGCTGGGGATTCAGAGCTTGGAGCCGAGTGCTGACAGTAGTCAGGTGAAGGTTGGTGTGAAGCAGGATTGAGCGAGGTGATGTTTCGGATAAACTTGGTCTAGAGGGGTCTCTATTACTTCTACACATGTACAATGGGTGGCATGGTATTAATTACTGGGCAGCCAAACGGATTCTGAGCGGGAAAAAAAGGGGGCTTCCATGCGTACATATCTCTGCTTCTTTTTCGAAACATTCATAAATCCTTCCGACTTCCTAATGAACTTGAAGGAATCGTCTAATCTACATCAAAGGACTTTACCTAATCCTCCCTGTTACCACACCGCAGGCAGGAAATCCCGCAACAGAATTTTGATTACTGTGCTAAGCAGGGCTGCATGCAGACCGTGGATTTGTAAGCACGCCACCTTGGCAACCCCTGAATAAGCGAGCGAGTACGATGAGCTTGGCTGCGCTTCGGAGAATTCATAAGTGCTGTGGATTTCAACATCACATCACGTCTCTCGACACCAAAACAAAAGAAGTGCTTTCGTGTGTAGGTACGTTTCATTAAATTATCCTTTCCCATGTCTCAACATTGAACCCTAGAATCTACAACCCCGAATCATCCTTCTTATAATAACTCGTAGCATATCACTCATCCCACTCCTCCCACCGACTCCCAATATTCGTCAATTTAAACATTGTCTGCAACAGGGGGAAGATTCGGGACAGCTGCACGAACTGAAGCTTGGAAAGCTGTGGTATAGCACCAATCACTGATAGGCATGGCTGCGAGATCGACTTCGTAGTTTGAAGTCGCTGGGCCGGCAATAACGATGGGGCTGAGAACTCCATTGCCGTATTGCGCGGAGTAGTGAGAGTGATACCAATTGGGTGAGCAAGAAAGTGTATGTTCTTTGGCCTCCGAGTGGAATGAGACATTCTATTACTCCATTTGTGCCGTCCATGTTACCTGAATTCATTTGGAGAATGCCATGCCAGGACATGCTGGTACTGCGAGAGGTCAGCTTAGAAGCTATATCCACCAGGAGTCGATCCTTATCTTAGGCATTCTCTGTACCTTCCACACACTATAATCATCCCCCTAGCTTCAAAACCCAAACCTAGACACTCCCGAGATGTCATGTAAGCGAAAGCCAAGGGCCAACCTTTCAACATGGCGAGGAATGCTCAAGTGGGCAAGCGAGGTCCTGATAAGACTTCTCACGTGACATCTCTCATCTCCCCCGTTTCTAACATAAATTAGATAACCGCACCAGCAGAAACAACGTTTTCAACCACCATAATAACATCTAGTACCCTTGTTACTTCCCCGGTTGTACAAACAAGTATATCTCCCCTTTTCCCCCTTAAAAATAAGCGAGACTAACTCAAAAAGCCTACACAACATCAATAAGCACCAGCACTCCCCCGCCAGTGACAAAATGCGCCGGCGTGACGAAAGTAACGTTCACGACTACAGCGCCCGTGAAGACATTTACGCAGTTGAGCGTTATGCACACACGGATTATGTTCAGAAGACTATTTCTGTTTGGTGAGTTTCTCGGTGATTGGGGTCGGAGTGAGCTAATGAAGGGTATAGCCATACCATAAGACATGCGGCACTTTATACGAGCTGTGTTAATAGTGGTAGGTGGATTCGAGGGTATGATGTTCAGTGGCTGTTGGGAACATGTGAGGGGAAAAAGTGCAGAGTTAGTGTGGGATAATGAGGGAGGTGATAGAATAATTTCAGAATGTTAATAATTCACTAATTCGTGGCTACTTCACTATATTAGTGGAAGTACATAAATAGAAATATTTATTTCAGCTACCTTTTGATCCAGATCACCACTCCTCCGTAAAAATCCGTCATCATGAGTTCACGCTCCCGGCATTGAGAGTGTGATTTCAGAAGCCGGGCGAGATAATCGGCCAGGATTTTAGCCTTAGCGTCAGATGTAAGGTCGCTGTCAACAAACGCAATCTTGGAATATAAAAGTATGGTTGACAACGTATAAACATCAGACGAATCAAAAAGCTCTTCTATCTCGACTCTTTTGTTTTCCATGTAGGTGCTAGCTTAGCAGTCTCCGGGCCGCATACTGACGCCGGGCCACCCTGATCTCTTAGCTATTGCGATCCGCTTTGGTTTGTGGTTCGGTGCAAGTGGTGGTAAGAGTTTGCTTTTATAGCCAAGTCTCGAAATTTTTGAATCCTCGAGACTTGAAGGTGAATGAGTATTGTTCTTTCTGGCTGCAGTGAATAGAAATCAGTAAGTCAAGGTCCGAGATTGTTTCTAGAGTAGCTACGGTGAATACGTCCGAGATTGTTGCTGAACTAACTACAGTGAATACAATTTAGCAAGTCAACGTCCGAAATTCCGCGCGGCCACCATAGCCGGAGGTCTATATAAGCAAACTTATTCTAAATGCTGTTAGACCTTTCTCTTCAGCAACATAATCGAGGAGACACCTGAAGAGATGCAGATGCGTCTTGCCAACGAAAAAGCCGAGAGTGCGAAGAAGCGTGACAGCAACCTACGCTTCAGAGCAGGCTCCACCGTCGATGGATGGCGTATGTCATTGTGTGAGAGGGTGAATGTGGCGAAAGAATTTTTCACACCAATATCATATTAAATCTTAGAGAAATTAGCTATGCAACAACGGAGTGTTGTCAACTGAATAAATATATTACCACACTAGACAATACTTTATCAGCTTACACTACGTTGTCGTTGGCGCTCCCCGTCCAGCAATCTGCATGGCATCGAAGCAGGCTGTCTTGGGCTTGACTTTGTCCCGGTGTGTAAAAATGCTGCAGACTGTTCCAGGAGGACGACGCTTGTACTTCCACCCTAAGGTGGATGTGACAACAGAAAACATAGTAGAAGACAAAGACACTCCTGCAACCTCCTTAACCACTTGTTCTGTAACTGTTTCTCTATTTTTCCCGTCACCCGAAATCACTCCTCCTGCCTCTACCTGTGCTCGTTTGTTGACCATACCGGGACCCAATTTGGGCTCCAACCATGTTAGTCGAATATTCTGTCTAATCAGGAACATTGCTACAAGGTATACCTAGTCCGCTACAGTCCTAGTCCGCTACAGTGGCTTTGCTTACAACCCCGCACCCGCACAATTGCATGTCAACACCAGCTGGGTAGAGCAAGTCCATGACGCTATTCGACTACAATATCTGGAGCCGACAGTTGCAGCCCGGACCTATAAGGCATTGAGAGCAGACTTGGTTAGTCCTTGTTACGGCAGCCCATTCATCTGTTAATCCAAAAACCATTGTCAACACTCAAACGACGTGCAATTGTCGGACGCCCGTCTGATACTTCTCCCCCAAGTGAACACGAAACCAAGATCCGTAATTCAAACCTCGCAATCACACCTGCTCAACAGGACATACACCTTCCAGGTCTCCTGGCTCCAGCTCGTTGCGAGGAAGAGAGTTCGCTGTTTGGCGTAAAAAAAGTTTGCTTGGGATCTTTTGGAGTTTATATAGACGGAAATCCTGTCCGAAACTCAAGCAGATGTTCTATTCACCAAGAAAGACGGCAGCCGTCTGGTGTTGTCCGGGGCTAAGAGCTATTCACTTATGGAAATTACAGTCGTCCGAGAGGGATACTTATTCACTAATTCTGCAGCAGCCTTACCGTCTGTGGTCGACGGATATTCACTTGTTGGAAAGCAAAGTCGTCCAAGGTTGAAAAGGAGTTCCCTGCCCCTCTCAGCCTTACCGTCCGCGGTCGAAAGCCATTCACCGGGAAAATGAAAAGTCGTCCGAGATTAAAATCAGGCCATTTATGCTTCCTCGGCGTTATGGTCGGGGTCGGTATCTATATAAACCCGACTCCGCCTCCTCTTCTGCTCTCTACAAATCTGCTGCTTCATGAGATTGGAACCCAGGGTCGGGACGGTGGGAATGTATGGGAACCTATGGCGTTGATGATGGATGATGGTTGGAGGGTTGCAAGTTCATGGTCCATTCTGATCAAGGAGAGGTTTGCAAAGTAAAAACGAGTGCTAACAACGGTAGATAGGTCGTAGGATGGTAGTATTTGGGCTTTTGGCAGCAATGAATATGTTGACAACAAAAAAAAAATATTCAAGAAGTGTGAGTCAAAATACACTTCTAGGCCACCTCAAAATACGTCTAAGAATTAAACTATAGTAGAAGTTGTATTCAGTCTTTCAAAAGGAAGAGTAGAAGCAAGACCAGCGGTGTGAGTTTGTCTAGGCAAAGAACCAAAGCTTATATACCCAGAGAAATCTATCAAGAAATCAGGCTACCCATACAGGCAGAAGTGAATTCTTTCTTCCTCTATCTCTGGAAATGCAGTACGTCAAAGAGTGAATAGGAAATCAAACTTTATCTTCTAGTTTCTTACTTCCTCCATGTCTATAAATACTGAGAGGGTCTTGCTCAAGAAAATTTTGTAACAAACTTCAATGGTTATGTGGTTGCTGTACATGTGATGGCTCCTGGCTCCTGGCTTCTGTGCCCGGCACCGAAAAGTTTAGCTTTTAGAGTCTTTTGCTGAATAAGTGATATGCTGATAAATGGCAATCGTTATAGAATAATTGGAGAGAGGACGATTGTTGTCAACATGGTCTCTGAAGATGAAAGAAAGGATATATTTGACAGCAAAATAAGAGTGAAATTCATGAAATCGTTGAATAGTAACAATATTGAACCAAGAAATAGGGGAATTTATGATAACATCAAAAGATCTCTACCGGCTGTCAAAATTCTGACTTGCGTTGATATTCAAAGTTTAAATTTGTTGATCAGGATTAAGGGAGCAGACCCATTTGCCTATGTCGGGACAATGGCATAGTACTTACACTTGGCGAGGGTTGAGATAGTATCACAGATATTCTCTTCAATCTGATCACTCTCCCCTTTTTAAAAGAGGCTCAAACATTTTTATCTGCTCAACGGAGCACAAACCAGTCAATTGTAATTTGCTTCTACGATACAAGGGAAAGGACTACACTCATATATTACACCGCCACACCCAACAGCCCAATGAAGGTTGTAGCTTCAAACACCACCCCTCTAAACAACAAAGAACACCACAACTCAACCCCCTTCCCCACCATACTCATTCTTCCAAGTCCCAGCAAAATGATGCGTAACAAGCTTCGGCGTCCTCTGCACATAATCCTCCTTATACCGATTCGACCTCGCCGCAAACGCAAACCCAGGCATCACCAACACATCCCCCACCAACCTCGGCTCCTCAAGATTCGAAGTGCTCCCCATATCAACACCCTCTCCCATCCGCACCTCCAGACTCTTCATCACACTCCTCGTAAACCTCCTCGGCCCCGTAAAATCCACCACATCGCCCACCATCCCCGTCGTCAGCGCCCCAACCTCCACATTGAACTCCTTACTCTTCTCTTTTATACTATGAAGAATATCGTCCACCGCCACAAGCAGATGTCTCGCACCCGGCCTCGCCATAATGATCCACGTCGCCAACTCCCTCACAACATTCTCCCCCCATCCGACATCGAATTCCCACCCCGCCACCAAATCAGCCCTCTCCCTATACTGCACCGGGACCCAGTCCCTTATCGGGACACCGTCGCAGGAAACGTCGAGATCGCTCCATATCCCGCCCTCGACAAACAATAGCAAGTAGCGCAGCATATCTGCTTTCAGGACCGGGATCGCGAGCGCGGTGTATACTTCGACGATTTCAGGACGGTGGGCGAAGGTTTGTCGGATCCAGGTTTCGGCGGTGGTGTCGATTAGGAAGGAGGGGGTGTGTGAGGGGTTTGGGGTGATGCATGATTGTGTCCATTGGTGGGTTTGGTTGTTTAGGCCGGAGGGGCCGAGTTTGTACCAGAGGTTTTGGGGGATGGTGGGTGGTGATGGTGGGAGGGGGGAGAGGGTGTACCAGGTTTTGGGGGTGTGTATTTTGTAAGTGAGGAAGATGCAGCATATGGTAAGCAAGGAGAGGAAAAGTGGTTTTCTCGAGGGTGACAGCGGCCGTTGATGGATCGCTAGCATCGCTGCTACGAAGATTTCCGAGCAAAAGAACAGGAGAAAAGAGACATCTTAGGGATAGGTATATACAGTTGAAACGGCCACACTGCCAACAGCGCTACTACGCCACTGTAACCGTTGGTCTTCTATGTTCGACATTCTGCAGCTCCGCTATGTTTAGCGACCGCCCCCTGGATCTCGGGCCGTGCCGAGGATGAAGATTGGTCGCTGAAGATCCGACAGTTCGGGTCGTGTGACAACCCCCAGCACTCCAACATTCCGGCGCTAAATGTAATTGCCGGTGAAATGTTGGTGAGATAATCAAGCATTCAATGGCCAGAGTGCTGGGATTGCTGTGCCGTAAATGTTTGTTTTGGGCGGTATCCAACGGTCAGAGCGGTGATTTAGGCTTCTTGGTCCGAATCCTACATGCTCACAACCCTTTCGCTATTTAGAGTTAATTGTTTGGGGCTTTCCTTGGTGCTTTAGCAACTTACGGTTACGAATTCTGGCAAGATGCACCAGCAGCTGCTACCTGCACTCCTAATACTTCCAGTCATTACTCTCGGAGTCGAATTCATAAACCCTCCACCTTTCCAATCCACAAATGACTTCTCTCTCAACACCATCTATATTGAAGGTTCTCTGGTGAACATTGAATGGACGGCTGGTCCACCTGGTAATGATACTTCTCTATCCCTCTGGCAGTTTGATGGGACTCAATACCTCAGACTAGGGGAGTACGCTAGCCGCAAGTTCCCTCTTCAGGCATCGACCTATTCTCACGCCTAACACCCACCGAAGCAAATTTTTCACCAAACATCACATCCTTCGCCTGGACTGTACACACAGCGAAGAATCTTTCGGAATCGAATACGTTCACTCTCTGCATATATCTGGTCGGCGGATCCGGGGCCTCCGAGGCGCAAAGCCACTGGTTTAACATTTCTAGTCAGAGTGTCGGGTCGTCAAATACGTCAACAACGTCTGCGGCCATCGGGTCGATACCAGCGTCACCTTCGACGTTACCTGCTCCTGCGGCACCGACTGCTTCTGAGCAAGCTACTCCCACACCTTCATCATCGCCTGAATCCTCGAGTGGACTAGGAGCAGGCACTAAAGCGGGCATAGGGGTTGGTGCATCGGCAGCTGGTATTTTGGCCGTTGGGGCAGCTGCCTTCTTATTGTTGAGGCGAAAGAGAAAGCAGGATGTCACTGCGCCTAGTGAAGAGCAGCAGAAATCGCAAGTTCAAGAATTGGAGGAAACCAGGATATTTGAGCTACAAGAGGACCCTGGGCCGCGAGATGGAACAACCGTCGAAGCGTGATTTAAGGATGCAGGAGTTGAGGCTAGAGGAATGTCTATATGGTGTTCTCGACTAATGAAGAATGGAAACATTAAATTTTCGGTCCGTGTTCTCGCGAGCGACTGTATTTGCTCGCTCCTTGGCTTATGAAACCGGAAGTGAGCTTTTGTGGACGAGTGCCTTGTCTGGTTTTCGAGTGTTCAATATGGAGAACTTGGCAATACTTCTTTTGTGGGATACGAGATGGGGTAGACAGACAAATGGTTGCAGGTTTATTGTTTATGGGTTTAATTCAAGATCCATTCAAACGAAAAAATAGATCAAGAACTCCACTGAGACATATCACCACCAACTGCCAGGATGAGAAATCATGGGTACGGAGGTACAGTGCACGTGACTAGCAACGAGGGTTAAAACCAGGAAGTTCTTAAAGCATAAGTCATCATCAGGGAATGAGTTTAAACAACGATGACAAAGAAGCTTCCTTCATAGTTCAGACATGAATTGACAAGGATAGATATCAAAATGCTGAGCTGCAAGCTGGAACGCAGGTTCAGGTCGATAACACCAATCTCCAAAATAGATGAACGTTGGCTATGAGATCGTCAAGAATTGAGCAGAACACTTGCGACAAGGCGAAGTCTCAGATACTAAAGTAACTTTGCCACCGACGACGTCACGAGCGACCATATCTTCTGCTCCACAGAACTGTTTATGCTCTGATAAATCTCCATTGAGACGAGATGCTCAATCATTCAATTGTAGGGTGCAACCGCAGCTTGCTATCGTAAACTCAGTGAATTGATAAGAATGATGTAAGTTTGGAGAGATCAGCTCTCCTTTCTATCATGTCTTGAAGGATTGATTGCCGAAATATATTTAAAAGTTCTGACATGAAAAGGTGTGGAAGCACCAACTCAGGGGGAGACAAGGTTTGACGCTAAACCCTGCCCGCCTAGCTTCCCGCTAAGGAACAGCCCAACATCGAAGCCGGTGAAACTTCCTTGAGCATCTTGTGAACCTTGGTCCAAGACTCGATACAAGACTCACAATTAATCACGAAGGAACACAAAGACAATTGTTTCTCACGACAAAGTATTCTGCGAGGCAAGCTCCTCTCGAATTTACCCTATCTCCACAGCGTCGCAATGCTTCGTTTGCCTCGTCTTTCTTTTCCGGGCCAGTGTCCATGCTCGCAAAACAAACGTCGCACCTCAGCACTCTCTATCACATCCTCCCCTGCCCGTCTCACCACGCCATGCCGCTTTGAAGGCCCTTTTCCTCCCTTTTCCCTGCAGCCGGCCGGGGAACTCGAGCGAGGCAGCCAAATCGTCCAAATCAGGCATGTGACCGAGGAGTCACGAGTTTCCGCGGGCCAACCGTGTTAAAGTGTTTGCAGGAAGCCCCATCCAGTCGCGTCTCCCTTGAGTTCAGGCCGCGTTCTCATCTGCACTGCCTGCAAATGCCTATCCTTGGCTTGCCTGGCTGGCTGCCATATATATACTTGAGCCCTCCCTCTCGCAAACTCTCTTCTCTTTTCCTTCTCGCACTCAATCAGGCATCAACAAACAAAGTTCACGAAAATCGACGACGATATCGACAACGCCCGACGACCAGCTTTGGATGAACTCGACGATCGTGGACGAAATTCCATTTCTGCCACCAACTCGATAAGACGCCCGACGAAAATGTTCAGTCGAAACCCGAATAAATCGCAAACAGAAAGCTTTTCCAAGAGTCGCCGCAGCACGAAACGGTCGTCCTTCCGCGAACATGCCATATCCAAGAACCGCAGTGAACGACCCCGCAAGCCTCCGACCGAAGAAACCAACCCTCTCAGCACGTAAGTTGCTCCTCATCTGCCAACCACCTTTTACGGTCGCTAATCTTTGATAATGCAGCAACTTGACCTCCTCAATCATAACCCTTGTCGTAGGCCGCGAACAACGCCTCTTCGCCGCCCACGAAGACGTCCTCTGCACATCGCCCTTCTTCCAAGCAGCCTGCCGCACACAATTCCTCACCACGGAAAACAAACGCATCTCGCTGCCGGACGAGGAACCCGAGATCTTCTCCTCGGTGCTGGAATACCTGTACAAGGGCGACTACTACCCGAAGCTGGTGCACAACAAGCGTCGCAACGCGTGGGAGCTCGAGACGGGCGAGGGCGGGCAGAGCGTCGAGAGCACGGTGTACCATCATGGGGTGGATGGCGAGCTGTTGAAGGATACGGTGATCTATTGTACGGCGGAGAAGTATGGGTTGGAGGAGCTGAAGAGGGTGGCTTTGAGGAAGCAGGGGTTGCGTAAGTTTTTCTTTTTATCGCATCAAACATTAAATATATAGACCAAGAACATAGAGGCTGATGAGAAGACAAATACAGAATCCGGCATCCAATGCAGCACAATCCTAACATCAGCCCGCTACGCATACGCCAACACACCGGACACCGACTCTAAGCTACGAGCCCACTACCTTGCGCTTATAATCCGCTCTCGCGGCACCTTTAAGCGTAGTGGTACCATGCAGATGGAGATGCAGGCCGGTGGCTCGCAGCTCTTTTTCGATCTGTTCGTTGCGTTGTGTAACCATGTTGATGATGTGGCTTCTATTGCGTGAGTCTTCCCCTCCCTTCCTCCTTACTTTGCCTATGACTGATAGAAATGATAGCGGTTCGCCGAGAAGTGTGAGGACTCATCATTAGGACCTTGCTTGCTTGCTGTGTTTGAGATAGGTGCGGATGCTAAGATAGGATAAGATAAGATACGGTGATGTGTTTAATTTGTCCCCTCTTCTTCTTTTTCATTTGATATTTGATACCAGGCGTTTTGGTTGGGCTTACACTTGCACTTGTATCACTACTCTTCTTACACTCTTGTTGGCTCTACTTGTTTGCTCGACCTAGCGATTCTTGTTCTCTTTGCTTGTTGTTTAGGGTGGTTGAATATCTCTTCCTTCGATTTCTTGATTATGAAGCCAGGAAAGCACAAAAAGAAAGATTGCGTTGTATACTTATTTTCTATGTCTGTCTTGAATGAAGGAAAGTTGGAGATGTTGTTTCTTGCACTTGCTGGGAATATATCTTTTGAGAGGAGACCGATTTTGAAGGGAGGGAGAGATTGTACTTGAACAAGAGAGGAGATGAAAAAAGAATGCCGCAACAAGAGAGAGCCAACCAAACATAAAATACCATAACCAAACAAAACAAAAATACAAATTCTCACCCATTCACAAATCTTCACATCAAACCCGAGAGAGCCTCAAAAACGTGAAAACAAATCCATACTATCCCATTCCACACTAATTAGCTACCCTCCAACCCCTATCCCACCACATCCAGACCCTTATCACGCATTAGCTCTCCAACACCAAGACCCCCCCAAAAAATAAGGCAGAACCCTGATTCGTCAATGGCGAGGACCGTGTTAGCGCGTGAGTCACTCGCAGACACGCAGTGGAGTGGAGGTAGGGGTTCTAGGTTTCGCTTGCTGCTTTTATTTGGCTGTTTTGTTAGGTTTGTGAGACGAGGCGGATGGCTAGGTTAGGCTAGGCTAGGCTTGGGAAGGAATATTGTAAGGCGACCCTGAAAAAGTACCTAGGTGATGTGATATTGGTGTGGTATGTATAGTGCTTTGTAAGAGGGACGGTTTGGTTCACCGAGCAGAGGTTGGTCGTCGGCTGAATGCGAGGGCTGTTGGGTATTGGGTGGAATATCAGGGTCTGCAGCAATAGTCATCGGGTAGTGGGCGAAAAGGGGGCATTTTTGGTAGCTCGGAGAAACTCAGGACGAGAGTGCTGCTACCGGGAATATGGTTCGCCTTTGCTGGCCAGGATTGCGGCCTAGTGTCGGGTGGATGCCAGCTTCAAACACCAGTGCCGGGGAAGGCTCCGCCTTTGCTAAGCACTATGATAGCTCGTTCGCGGGCAATGTAACCCTTCATTAGGTTCTGTACATAAATGGTCAGCTTGGCTCTTGACTCATTGCGGATGGATGTCTTCGTTTGTGGTCGAATCAGGATCCGAGGTGAGGGGTAGGCGATAAAGGGGTATGCCTTAGAAGGCAGTTATCGCAACATGACATGGAACATAAAAGAAACAGACAGCACAACACACCTTGTAGATCATGTTTGCGATCAAACATTCCACTTCGTCGGTATCCATCACTTCGTGACTGCCCAAGCTGATCGCAGCAGCGAATTCCGAGATGGGGATTCGGGTTCGACGGACGAGTGCGGTGTTGGCATCCTTGGCTTCTTCAAATCCGCCCGCGATGAACACTTTGCGAAGAAGGTTGCGTAAGGCGATGTCTCGGCCGCGTTCTAGGGTTAGGTAGATGCGGCGGTTGGTGAACTCGTCTTCGCCTGCTACGAGGGCTGCGTCGAAGCCTGATAGGTCGCCCTTTTTGATACAGCGGGACAGAGGAAGGAAGAGCTTCTGTAAGCGAGGATATGGTTTGAGGAGGGCGAGAGAGGGTAGCGTGTGGGTTGTGAGGAGGTGGCATGGGATCAGGTAGGTCAGAATGAGTCTGTGATGTTAGCATGTATACAGTGTGACTCGTTAAAATAGGGGCGGATGATGGGACACTGACTCCTTATTCTTGATGGAGTCCTTGTGGCATAGAAGCCAGGCTTCAGTGAGGTGTTTCTCAGCCTAACGAGGAAATCAGCATTCTGGTAATATTGGTCGCGCACCATTTCTCACCTCTTCGTACGACTCCTCTAAGAATTTGATGACTCCAACGTAGTACTTGAACGTCACTCGATGGGCCTTGGGAAAGGCATCTAATGATGGCATGTCGCCTCTGTATGCCTGAATTGCATTCAGAATGTTCTTTGACAAGCTGATCGAATTCAATCGGAAGTAGGTCTTGAACAACAAGTTGATGATATTGTATATACCCCATTTTCGAGATTCTTCAAGAGGTGCTCTGAAATGGTCAGCGTGAATACGAAATCTTGGTAGGAACACTTACCTATCACTCAAGCAGGTCTGGAATACTTTGTTCAACACTCGAGCAGCATCTTCCAGCTTCTCGTTTTTCTCTGCCTCAGGATTGAAGTCGTCATCCTGAAAATTCTTCGCCGAAGATGCCCCGTTTGCACTGGACGCGCCCTCATCTGCCTTGATGGCGAACACTCTGAGATATTTTCCTGCCACATACAGACAAGGCACCGTCCAGGCTTCAAAGTTGCAATTCGTGTAACCTCGAATGAGAACATTGGTCATCTCTTTCCATGCCTCGTATACTTTCACATATGATGCCTAGAGAGATTAGCCAAAGGTTTCCAGAGGTATCGACGAAAAGACGAAAGACGGAAGACATTTGGGAGACAGTGTAGATCACGTGATGGGAAAGCTATAATGAATGTTCTTGCATAGAATATCGTGCCAGAGCATGGCGTGTAGTGCGGATAAACAGAATTAGAGATAAAGAGAATCCACTTACATTTCCATCTGCTGCTTCAGCGTTCACAATCTCACCAACTGCTTTCCAGTAAGTGTGATAGACCTCGACCCAACCATTACCCTCATCCGCCGGAAGCTTGAAAGGTGAAGTAGCGTCATGCAAGATTCGATACTTGAAGTCTCTCTGAACATGCGCAAAGTTTGTGCTTCTATAGAAGTTGACAAGTCGGTCCGGTTGAGAGTCGGGAGCTATGGGGGACAGGGACATTGACAGATCGTAGCCATTACCCTCCTCATAGGCTTGCCGGAAGTCTTGAAATACAACATCCATTTTGAAGGTAGAAGAGATGTTCGTGTAGTCATAAATCGTCAAACGTTGCGCATCCCATAGAATTATCTCGTGACTCTTGAAAGCCTGGTTCGTGAGGCTCGAAAATGAAGAAGGACAAATAAATGACGAGATTGTGAATTTGTGTGCTTATGAAAAGGAAATTCGTTGCAGAAAGCTTTCAGGTTCATCCATTATCATCGCCTCCCCATCTCTTGTTTACATGTCAGAAACGCGACTGCGGCTCTGCACTCCAGAATCTTGATCTAGTCGTTTCGGGACTAGCTGTCTCGTGACCGCACTCAGGGTTTTCGAAAAAATTAACCCTACGCTAATTTGGCGAGATTTTGTTGTACGAGAACTTCCAGAATCACGAATTGCGACAACAAGACATCGACCAACGGCCAGCAATTCAAAGTAAGCTCAATCGCCGTATGATTGTATATTGATGATATACTGACTTTGCGAAGATGGGTAAGCTTTAGATTTCCTTCCTGCTGCGAAAGACGAGCCTGCGATACGCTGAGCGCGACGATTCGTGATTGAGACCGATCAAAATTTGTGGACGACGACACTGGAAGCCAGCTGCGACGCGGATCATCTGAATTGGAATGTGGAATGACGCCTGAGAATATCTGCTGCGGCCCTGGATATATGAGGGTCGACCGAAGCTTGGAGAGACAGACCTGGGGCAGATGGTACATCGAGAGAAACCAAACACGATCGAGTGGAATCGAAGGCACCGACGACAAGAGCAATGGCTATCACTAGCGACAAGAGACCAAATACTCTGAAAGCCGCGGATATCGTCCAGCTGCCATTGTTCTTCGCCTCCTTCCCTCCGCGATACCTTGATCGGTCTCACTCAATCTCAGCCATACTCGCATTTCGCTCCGGCCTTACATTTCGCCTGTCTACCTTGGAGATGCTAACATTATTTCAGGTCGTCTTACAGAATACCAGGTCATCGGCCGCCACTTGCCCAGCGAGGCCAACCCAACCCCAAAGTTGTACCGAATGAGAATCTTTGCTCCCAACACTGTGGTTGCAAAGTCTCGTTTCTGGTACTTCTTGATGAAGTTGCGAAAGGTCAAGAAGGCGAATGGTGAAATCGTCAGCCTGAACGTCGTATGTAATATCGGATCCTGCAGCATGCAACTTTGCTGATGATTACCAGATCCACGAGAAGCGCCCATTGAAGGTCAAGAACTTCGGTATCTGGATCCGATACGATTCCCGCTCCGGCACCCACAACATGTACAAGGAATACCGTGAGATGTCGAGAACCGATGCTGTCGAGGCTATGTACCAAGATATGGCTGCCAGACATCGATCCCGTTTCAGGTCGATCCACGTACGTTCAATCACAATCATTGGCAGGATTTTCTACTAACAATCGTTCCAGATCCTCAAGGTTGTTGAGCTCGAGAAGGGTGACGACGTCAAGCGCCCATACATCAAGCAACTCCTCACCAAGAACCTCAAGTTCCCTCTTCCTCACCGCGTTTCCAAGGCTGCTGGCACAAAGCTCTTCGCCGAATCCAGACCATCAACTTTCTACTGAGCGTACGGGGATAAAGTGTAGGGTTTGGGGGGTCGAATATGGTTTTGCAATGCATCAGGTTGTTTTCTAGCCTTTGCTCCTATCGAGCCGGATGACCAATGGGATATGCATAAAGGAAATCATTGACCTATGACGATTCCCATGTGATGTTTCGTTTGTGATCAATTGTGTCTTGTGGTGGTATCTGCTTGGTCACAGGGCATCTGATTTCGTCATATGCCAAGGCCAGAAAATACAATAGGAGTCTCGAGATGAGACGGGCTTCTCTTCCCTTCCCATACTTCAAAAAGGCTCTACGACCTGCAGACTGTCTTTTTAGGTTCCCATATGTTTGGACTGTTTATACCGACCCCTTGCTTCTTTTCGTTACCTCTGGCTACCAGCACCCCGCTTCCAATGATTCAAGACAAGTTTGTCTCTGAATAACGATGTATAATACTGCTACACAAGTACGTAGCATTGTTGCAGATGCTAGAGCAGAGAAATGCACAACTGTAGGACTAGGAGTGCTAAGACATGGAGAGAGGAGAGGATCGGTCTACCTGAGAAGATAGACGGGTAAGGTTATCAAACAACAAAGAGACCTCAGAACACTGAAAAGAGGAGGCGAGTCACGGCACGGCAAGCTCAGAACCGTTCTTTCTCCCGAATATATTTCTAACAATTATGAAGGCTCTAGATGAAAGCAATCTCGTAGCAACACTATCATCGGTTCCACATCCTCACCTCTTATTATACAAAGCTTAGCTCCACAATTATTCAACATCCTGAAATGTCCACTCAGGATACTGCTCCCTCAACAAGGCAACTCTCCCCGACCACCCCGAAACATCAAGCTGCTCCACCCTCCTAATCACGATCTCCCTCTCTGTGGTGGAGTTCGCATCAACGTTAATATCAAACCCCCAAGTGAAAGCCCCTCCAGGAATCACCGACACATTCTTCGAGCCCCCAGCATCGGGCAAAATCGTCAAGAACGCCTGAGCAGTCCACACAATCGACGTATTATTCCCCTCGTCCAACAATATAGCCGGCGCGTCAAACGTCGACGGATTATACCCCCAATACCCAAACGGCGTGTCTATATCCTGGGCAAATGGATAGTGATCCACAGTCCAGTTCCCAATCACTCCATCGTCGTCTTGGCGGATGAATTGGATCCAGCCGAATAGAGTGCCGTAGCCGGAATATGGGCTGGACGGGATGGGATAAGTCATGTCGGCGTGGACGACTGGGAATCCGATGAAGTTGGGGAGGATTGCGGTGCCGGGATAGAGAAGGTCGAGACCGAATGCGTGTTCGACGTCGTCGTTTGGCTGAACGGTTATGCTGACGACGCCAGCTTGGCCTCGAGACTCAAATGGGAGGGCGAGGTGTTGTTTGTGGTGAACTGAAGATGTTGTGTTGGAGTCACAAGATGCTGCATTTGCGAGTATGCCGAAGGCGAGTGAGGAGAAGAAGATAGAGCGGAACATGATTGTTGAGCAGGCTGTAGGATGGCAGTAAAGAGTTTCTAGTACCAGTCTTAGTGACTTGGAGTGTATAAGGAATGTCCGGTGCTATATATACTGGACTCGAATTCGCAAATGAGGCTGATGACATCGTTGTGCCTCAATGGGGAAGCCAAAATCGACCATTGGTCTGTTCGTACAGACATGTATGAATGTGATCAAGTTTAATATGAGTCTAGGATGAAAACGAAGTGCTCAACAGGAACAAAGTCGCAGCCTTGTAGAGAGATGGAGGATCATCACTATTTTGCTACTTCAGGTCCCCGAAAGCTCAATCCATTGGTGCACTGGTTAGTATCCCCAAAGCCTGCCAAGAGGACATGGAATTTGGAGATCAACAATGCAGGAAGATGGGTTCGAAATATGAATAAAGAAGTACTTTCGTAGTTCTCATGATTTGAGGCCTCTTATTGGCTGCCTCGCTCCACATTCTGCAATCGAAGGATGCGGCTCATTTTCTCGTCTTAGTGATTACTGATCGCCAAAGCCCAAGACTTACCGCTTTAGGTAATTCCTCGTACGCAAGGTACATCTGATGTATAAGAGCTTAAATGAACTCTTGCACATTTCGTCAGGAACGGACAGCATCAGAGACGGATATTTCTTGTTCTCGTCCGCTTCTGAGTCAGTGGCCAAAGATCATGAACAAGCCTGACGACCTTTAGCCCTGAACTTCATCTTTTCTACTTCTGATGCTCGGCAGGACTATGAATAATATTCTTATCATCTGTACAGAACTGTTGAGGACCTGATGAATTAATGATCATTAGTTGACTTTTGGGATGTCTCTTTATCATCATGAATCTACAGAAAGATGCGTTTTAGGCACGCGCAAGTAAGAAGCAGCAGAAGCCATGGTGTCATTTGTTTTCAGGCAGTCTCAGAGAAGTTAAGCTCAACCCATTACTCTGTCCCCACAAGAAGACATCCGAAGCAACCCCAAATACTCGTTCACTTGTTGACTTTCTCACAAGTATACTTGTGCAACTTCCAATCTGCCGTTTGATGCTCTTTGCGACAGTAGCGGACTTTTCTCTTCTTGCAACCGCCACATCGCTGCAAAACCTTCTCCGAGGCACCTACACCACAGTACTCGCACCATCCCTCATTCTCCCTATTTTCCCAACGGTTCCAGACCCGCTTAGCACAAGCTTGCAGCCTCGGAGTACGATCTGCAGGCTCAATCGTTGGAGCACATTTCCACGGCTCTAGACACTTACAAACCTCTAACATAGCAATATAAAATTCTTCCGCCGTTCCCATAAAGTATGGCTCTCCAAACAGACCGCGTCCTGCCTCTCCGAATTGCATGCTGGTCATGTCAACAACGAAGCCTACTCCTCCGGGAGCTGGAAACACAACCACTGCATGTGGACGGTCGTTATCATGTCCAGAAATGCGCTCTTCTTCCATTCCAGAAACAATGACCTGCAATTTCGGGCCTCTCATTTTGTGCTCTGCAATCTCTCGGAGGAATGGATCTACCAGAACTGATGATGTCTTGATTTGGATCAAGAGCTTTTGATCTGCTGGACAGATCTCGAAGAAATACTGAAACAAGCTAACAGCTTCGTAGCATCCATCACCCTCGTGAGACTCGTGATAGATGAGCTCCCGCTTTGTGAAATTCAACCCGTGTACTTCAGGAAGCGCATCGGGACAGATGATATCATTCGTCGATGGAGTGCCGGAAACTCCATCAGACTCTCTGCGGAAGACGTGGAAGTGTACTTGCTTGACCGACGCTAGCTTGCTACCAGGAAGCTTCACATACCTATCTGGATCTCTCGTATCGATAAGCTTCGGATCGGCGAAGGTAGAATTCAAAAGTTTTGCTCCTCGAAACTTGGGGTCTGATATGCATCGTTCGTAGTTGAGAAGGGTAGTAAGTGCTCGCAGAGGAATCGGGGTTGGTGCTTGAGCCTGCATAGCCTGTTGACTGCTCTCTTCTCCAGGAATCTGTGCAGACATCGTGTTGACTTCCAACACGGTCTTAATCTGGATTCTAATTTCATTTTATATTTGAAGAGAGCACATGCGTTTGCCTTTCAGTGCGGAGTATAAAGTTTAGCTTAGTAAGTTCAGGACAGTAGCCTACTTAGGCTGTTGAATCAAAGGGTGTAAGCCAGTGTGCAAACTCTCCAACATACTAAAGAAACTCTTCAATGAAGAGAACTCCATGCTTCACAGCCTGTCCAGTAAGAGTACGACTTCTTTGTCTGTTCTTATGTGTTGGAAGGCGAAAATCAAGACAAGATCCCACGCGAAGACTTCCCCTTTGCTTGTTGTACGATGTCTCACAAGTCCTCAAAGACAAGCCTTACGTTTTCTATTTTCGAACAATTTTGCCATTTTGGTCAAGTCAATGAAGACACAGACACGAGTAGAAGTGCCTTGAATACAGGAGAGATATCGAGGCTGTCTGGTTTCACGAACATTCTGCTATCTCCGCGATTTAGATCCAGACTTTCATTGTGTCACCCATGTTTTGGGAACGGAGGGTGGAAAATGGCGGGCATTGTTTGTCGGGTCCGAAATTAAGTGGAAGGAGTCGTCAGTGCGAAGCGTAAAGAGCCTGTGGGTGTTAAGGAGGTTCTTGCGCACATCGAGACTCCGAATTTCGATATGTTGTGTTACATCAATAGCCCAAAATGTTCAGGCTTAGATGTCAAACAAGTGATCTCCACCCCCCTTTGCGTCTGCTTGTGGGTGCGCAAAAACAGGGATTGGAAATGATGGGCGTTGGTGGCGCTGCAAGGCTGAGACTGCGCCTCATCTCCACCGAGTTCGTGTAACATCACTGAAATCGTTGAGCTACATATAAAGTCTGAAAGAAATCACTTCAATCATTCTGCTCTACTCGTTTGCATTCCTTATCCAAGTGTCACTCATACACTCACTCAATGAGTCCCAACAAGGGAGGAAGGCCCCGCAATGCCTGGACATCCTCTCGAATGAGGAAACTTGTTCGACTATACACTTTAACGACCCTTAATATGCATGAGATTGTGAGCGTTCTGAAAGCTCATGAGTTCGATCCGTCGTATGTATCAACATCCAAGTTTCCTCACTCACAAAGAACTGATTTTATCACAGGTCTCGCGATGTTCAGAAGAAGCTCCGGGAGCTCTTTCCTAGAGACTACACAAAGTGCCACAAGTCCTTTCGTCCCCCCAAGGATCGACCAATCCAGTTCCGTCTGGAAAAGCTACGAGCGCAACGGCGTGAGGGAGCATTAAGCGATCTAAATCAATGTGATGAGGGTAGAAGCTTGATCACAAACCCGTCGGGGGCACCGAATGATCCAGAGACATTCGAAGGAGTAGGGACGGCTTTCCGTGGCTACTCGGGCTCTGGAGAACTTGCTGCACCATACACGTTTATCCAAGGTGCAGGAATGAACCCGAATCCCAGATTGTGATACCATCACTTCTCTTGTTGGACGGCTCAAGCATATCCGCAAAATCAGTTCTAGTTACAGTTGGTTGCGGAACTCAATCGACGAGAACAGACGCTCAAGCACAGCAGACATCGACAACTGTAGCTCAAGAGGACCTGTCGTCTACAGGTAGCCAGTCACGACTGTCTCTCATCAGCATCAAATCTCTCAAAGAGAGAGTGAAGAGATCGAGCTCGTTCATACAACATGTTCATTCTGTGTTGCGCTTTTCATCTACCAACTCCTGGAGATCAAGTCTATCCTTTCGCTCTAGCGTGGTCTCGCTGGATTATTCATCGTGGGTACATTCCTTCACCGAACATCCCATTGCCGGCCCTCAAATGTCGGAGCAACAAACTCTAGCTTCAAGTTCATCTGGGTTAAGAGAGGCAGAGACTGAGAGGATGATGGCACCGCACTGTTATTCTACCGAAAATGACAAACCTGCTTGGCATGAAGAGCTCTGGATGGATATACGCAACAGACACGTATGTTCAGAGGACGAAAGATTGAGCTTAAGACATCGGCCTTGTTGTGAGTGGCATCTAGTCACTGGCGATTGTTGTCCAGATTGTGGTCGGCAAGAAAGTCACCTCAGAGCGTTGCATGGGCAAGATGTGCTCGATGCTAACACTCGCGACTTCTTTGGCAATACACCACTACATTTCGCTGCAATTTCATGGAATCGAGATTGCAATTTATTCATCAAAATCATCGATAACGGCACCGACGCTCGATCAGTGAACACTTCTGGAGAAACCTTCCTTCACACTCTGTTTCATTCCATAACTATAAGAGATTTACTGGCATGGACCGATTTGCTGATTTATCTCGAGAAGCTTAGCTTCCCATTCTCAGCTCAGGATTACCACGGACGCACGGTAATGCATGTTTTATTCGATAGCGACTATCGGAAGCTGAAGAAACTTCCATCCAAGCAGGTTCATGCTTTGTTCGAAGCCGTAAAGATTATGAAGCCGAGGCTCGACATAATGGATAATCTAGGCCATACAATCAGTGATTACTTATACGACCCTCCTCCGAATCATATGCTACCTGGTGGAAAAGCTAAAGCGACAAGCATCACTGACATAAACTTCATTGGCAGTTTGTCGAAACTCCAACACAATTTGGAGTCTTGGACTGATTGGCTTGGCAATACAGGAACTTATTCTTGGCTTGACTCTGACGGCAACACTCCTCTTCACGCATTGATCAAGACTTTCCCTGCGGCCGATAATGAGACAGTGCTGGAAGGCATTATTCGCAAGTTGTCTCGAGCTGGCACATGCATTCACATGCGAGACCGGACAGGAGAAACTGCGCTTGCTATTGCAGTTCGAAGAGGTTTTCGCCCCGTCATCACAACACTCGTGGATCTTGGAGCTTCGATACATTGCAGAGACTATGTGGGCACAGGAGTACTCGTCCGTGCACGCAAACATCTTCGCAAGGCCTTAAAGAAAGAGGACATGAAGCTCTATTCAAGGATCTTAAGTGTTGTTACTTTGCTTGTTGACTTGGGCGCGGTCAAATACCCTATCGGCGTGGAATGGGCAGTGCCTTCCTCGTTGCTCGCTCGAAGACCAAGGCTTGGTCATATATTAGCTTTGAACTCGAGAGGTGACCGGATCATGAGGGAAGCGGGACTGTAAGAGGGGTGCTCCAGGAGAGCCGCATGTATTTGAATATATACAACAAATGTCTGGAAATGAAACCAAGTATACCGGATCAATGGTCTTCTCAAACAACATCTTGTAAGCGAATGGAGGTAGGAAAGGCGTTGGGAACCCATGTCTCATAAGAAATTAATACCTTTCCCTGGACCCCTACTTTTAGCGTGCTCAAATGCAATATTGTAGAGGGGGTAAGAACATGAACCAGCAGTACGCGAAAACAACCAAAACAACAACAAGTAGGCACTGCGCGAAGCAGACCACTATTCGCAGTAGTAGAATAGGTTTAAAACATCATAAAAAGCATTCGAAAGCATATCACTGTAAAAACTAAGAGTGGGAGAAGAGTTGTTGTTATTCTAAGAGTGCGCGACCACAATATATAGGAAGCGTCACATAATAAACTAGACCCAGTTGAGTATAGTGCTAGGGAAGACTAGCGTTCCCGGGCTGGCCTCCTCCTCAACCACACGTGCCGGTCAGCGCCAAAAGGACCAAAAAGAGCTAGCCCTGCCACAATATCAGAAGAGCTTCTTTAAGAACTTTTCCCTCTTTGTAGACAATCTAAATCTTCAATCCATCTGCCCTCAATCCTCATACAACCCCGTCTCCCAGTAATCACACCTCTGATTCGCCGCCGAATCCCTCCCATCCTGCACCGTCGTACCATTCAAAAACAAAATCTCCGCTCCCTCCCCATACAACGGCAGCTCCGGCAACGCAGCCCCCATATAATCCGGCACATTCGGGTTCCCCGTCAACACAAACTGCACCGTCGCGCTCTGGATGATCTTCACCGCTGTACTATTAATCGGGTCTCCGAACGTACCCACGCTGTCTCCGTTCCAGAAGATATATTCGAGGTCCTGGGCGTGCAGGCCGGGGAACTCGCCAAAGGTGTAGGCGCGCGTGTTGTTGTTGAAGGCTTTGTTGAGGGCGAAGGCGTTGCATTCTACGATGCCTTCTCGCATGGCGATGGATGTGCGTTCGGTTTCGGTGGTGTAGGGTTGGGAGCCGTCGAAAACTGGGGGGTAGGTTACGGTGGCGAGGTGGTTGATGGATGCGTTGGAGGCTCCGATTGCGAGGCCGTGGAGGTTGGCGATGAATGCTGATTGGGAGTTGACGGTGGGGTCTGTGAATAGGAGGCCCTCGTTGGAGTTGTGGGTTACCATTATGGTGAGGTTCTTGTGGAACTTTCCTTGTGCGAGGAGGACGGTTGGGGCGTCTGGGATGTAATCACCGTCAATATTTGTCCCTGGTTCTGTTAGTTGATCGTTTTATGTAGGAAGGGAGTAGGGAGTACCAAAGCTAAAAGAAGCATAAGGGGCAACGGCAACAATTGCGTTATTGATATCCTCCAGTTGACTGGAGTTCATGGTCCGTATTTGAGCATAAGACGTCGCGTTTGCAAGTTGTAATACCTCTTGATAAAGGTCCTGATAGAAAGCAGCTGTCGAAGCTGGTCTCCAAGCCGGGCTTTGCATGAGAGCCTGTTGGAAAGGTACTGTGCCATTTCCACCGTAGGAGGTGATATGCGCCATGATACTACTCGCACCGGCCGACTCGCCCATCAAGGTGATGTCGTTGGGATTCCCACCAAAAAGGTGGATATAATTTTGGACCCAGGTGATAGCGAGTCGCTGATCGAGGAGACCTGCATTGGATTGTGTATCTTTGTCGTTGATCGACTTTGGAGGAAAGCCAAAGAAACCTCTGTGTGTAATAAATACCAATAGCCAAAGAGAGAACAAGAAAATGAACATACAATCGATAATTGATCTGCACATAAACAAACCCTGTCCTCCCATCTCTCATCCCTTCAGCTAACAACCCGGCAGGATTTCCAACACCGTCTTTCCATCCTCCGGTAAATCCTCCACCATGAATCATCAACATCACGGGTGCGCCTTTCGCTGACGTATTTGCTGCATTGAAGATGACTTCCGGGGCCATCACGTCTAGGAAGAGACAATCTTCGGACTGGATGGGAGTACCTGTTGTTGGTATGCCGGCAGGAATACTTATATTTGCTGCAGCTGAATGGTCAATACCGCCTGCTAAACTTGCATTCGGTCCAGCAATGATTGATGCTAGGAATGGTCCTGTTAGCGCTTGCCATGCTGAGGCACCACCTTCACTTGATTAGCATCTCTTTGGAAAGTGGCAAGAAATGACACTGTCCTACCTTGGTAGCAAATTTGATCTGGAGGAGCTTCTTGAACAGTGCGATTTATAGTCGTGGGAGGAATTGCAGCACGGAAGCGGAACTGGCCAACCGGTGGCTCTGCATATCTGATGTTGGAGAAATTATAATATGCTCCAGTGGTCTGGAGGTTTTTCTCGTCAGTCTCCAAGAGCAAGAAGTCAAGAAAAGTGTTTTCCCCTTACGTTGACTACAGCCTTATGGACAGCATAACCAAGATCAACAATTGGAGCAGAGCTATTGATCGTTGTGGCGTAGACAACAACGTTGATATTGAAGGCAAGCACGAGCTTGCACATGAAAGACTTGAACGACATAATACCAGAAGGAAAGAAGGAAAGTAGATATGGAGATCCAGACTCTTGAATAAACAAACATGGAACGTCTTCGATGCTTTAAGTCGCTGACAATTCTCAATCCATTGCTCCGTGCTGCATCATACGCAATATCGCTCTCTATACCGAGGACACGGGATTAAAGGCATGACCCGAACTAAAAGTTTGAAGCAGTCGTCCACCACACACGCGTGGATAAACGCTATGTTGCATCATTATTTGCAGCTGGTTACTTCTTGCACATGGAGAGCCTGCAAGCAAGATTGGTATGCAAGGAATAAGCATAAGAGGCTAGCTCTGCACTAATCCGAAGTGGTTCGTGAAAGTGGACGTGAAAGTGGATAGGAGGGTGGACGTGCCTCAGATCAGCATTTGCTGGGAGCAACCGATGCAGCTTGTCCAGTTATATTTCTTCACCTAATACTCGACCGGATCTCGGTCATTCTTTGTTATAACCCGAATCTGGGGCATTGTACAAGCATGTTCCCCGCAATAAGCATGGCAGTCACATCGGAAAGGAAAACCGGTACCTGAATGTATAAGTCTTGGCAACCGATTGGAGGGGTAAATTCTCCTCTGGTCTAGTCATCGAATATATTACTTTTGCCAATCTTCGTTCCATCTCCCTTCTCATGTCGTCATTATTGGTAGTTCTCAAGTGCGTGTCCTGTCGGACCCCACGTTGTGTAGTCACATGTAATGAACGCTCTGTCGACCTCGGGCAGTCCCTCACAACAGTATTGCAATGTCTCCGCAATATCGTGGGCTACCTCCAGTGGCGTTTTCTCATCCAACAGAATATCAACCTCAACCCAGACTCCATCTCCTGCATGGTATGCTTGAATGGACTTATACCCATTGACCAGTGGCGAAAACCGATATGCGAGGAATGTGAGCTTCGCATATACACGGTCATCAACCGCTGAACCCGTCAAGCGGAAGACATTCTCAAAACAAGTACAGCCCCAATCCCAGATGACTATTGACAAATCAGTATACACTTTAAGACACATTTGGGAGCCGAGGACCTCGTCCGACTTCAGCACATCCTCGGTCGGGAACGGTTATCTCGAAGATCGGCTCCCAATGCGAATGCAGAACAAGGACATGTTTTACATACTGAAAAGAGAAAGAATACCAGCACCTGCTGGATCGAGCCACCAAATATTTGCAGCGTGCCCAACAGCCGGAAAGATAAGCGAGAGAGAGTTGAAAATAACGTCAGTCTTGCAATCTGCATATCTGTCAATAGAAGTTCTTACTCTACTCTCGTAGGAGAACCATACCTTGAGCCAGTGCTTGCACCTGACTAGTTTTGATCCTCATACAACCAAGCCCTATGATGCCCTTCAACACAATCGTGCCAGCCAAAGCACCAATAGCCACAGGCGGTAGTTGTGTTGCCTCATGTGGCCCCTTCGACATCAGCTTCTGCACCGATTCTTGCAGGATCTGGATGAACGAAATAATCATAATGATGGAAAACACCAATATGCCCAATGGTTCCAACCTCCTTCTCCCAACCGGGAATTTCCTTCTTAACTTACTAAGACGCCATCCCACCAGCTTATGCGTCGTGAAAATGATAGCCGTACACAGCAAATCCAGCGCCGAGTCAGCTAGGGAAGCGATCAGCGAAAGAGACGAGGAACTCAGTGCCGCAATCCCTTTGGCAATCAGGAGGATGATGTTGGCAATGACGTTGATGTTTATAGCCCATTTGGCATTCCGTCTACCAATTCGTCGCTTCTCTTGTTCTTCTTCTGGGAGGAAAGGTTCGACGCATCCCTCGGTGTCTTGCAAGGCACCACCACCTTCTGCTATACCGTCTCCGTTATCGTCTCGAGGATCGAAGGACTCGAGGATATCGTCTGAAAGCGCCTTGACGATGGCATTTACTTCTAGCCAACTGCGAACAGGTTAGCAATTTGTAAGAAGTCGTATCAATAAATAACACCACCTCTCTAGTGTCGGCTCCAAGGCCTGAGTTCTCTCTTAAAGAAATAACATAATTATGAAAGAAAGGAAGACATACTCATCCAACCTCTCATTCTGCTCCGCATAAAAAGCCCTCAACTTCTTATTCTTAATCCCCTTCAACTACACCCTCACTCTTAGCACACGCCTCACTCCACAGACAAAGACCACAAACCTCCACCTCACTCTTCCGATACTCCTGCAAATACTCCGAACTCTCCACACTCTCCAGCAATTGCCTCTTAAACTGCACCCTCCGCTGATCATCCGGATCCAGGTGTCCCTGGTCCCGAAACCTGTACTTGCGGTCCTGCGGCGGGCGGTCCTCGACATCCTTGCTCAGGTACGTCGAGTTCTTCTGATCCGCGCTGGTGATGCCCCGTTTGCCGACCATTGTGGAGGACGCTTATGGGGAAGAGTTTGGGAGGGAACATGGGAGTTCATATTTACGTGCTGAGGAACGCGCTATGTCGCGCTTCGTGGTGCAGAATCAAGGTTGGTGTGGGACTGGTGATGTCACGGCGATCCGCTCGGGTTACAGCCGCACGTGATGGGGATGATGCGTCCATTACCTTTAGGTTGGACGCTCCTTGACGTGAGTAATGGAGAGAAGAGGACGTATATAGATCATGGATGTGGCATGAATGGTCTTGGAGATCTACATCTTTGCAGGGACGGGTAATCGCAATAAGGTTCTGTAGCGGGCGATCAAGCCTTGCCGAGACGGTTGCAGCTTGAACCCAAGCAATTGTGCATCTTGGCAGGAAGCTCAAGTCAGCGATGGGCTGAACGAAAAACTCATATTTGCTCTCCACAGACTCATGAACCACTTTCACTTCACCTCCAACACCATGCCTAGGATATCTAAAAACGCCTACGAACCGAAGCGTCCCGTCGCGCCAACCATGCCTATCCCATAATTACAAGACCTTTGACAGTCAACATTCCTTCTCAATTGTTGCTTTCGGCCGCTTATCCCTCTAAGTGCGACCACTCGGGAATCGCCTTGATCTGCTGCCACATGTATTTCTCCAGTTTGTTCGCACATTTCGCGTACGGAGTAGTCTCATTGTTGTACTTGCGGCAGTTGTCAAAGATCAGCTTGGCATCACGAACGAAATCCTCAGGAATCTGGTAGTTATCCAGGTCGAGTTTGGCTTCCATGGTGCTGAGATCCATTGGTTCTTTGATGACTTCGTAGTAGTCAGCAACCTCCTCCCTATTGACAGGATGTTGGAATGGCCAGGCAGATGCGTGATTCTGCATGTCATTCAACAAATGAAGAAGCTGGTTGTAATTGGGGCCATGGCGAGGCTGTCTTGCCAACTCATCCATGTCCGATGACCAGCCAGAAGCTTTGATAGCAGGGATAGACATTGGGTCGATCTTGCAAACACCATTTGCCCACTCTTTCGGCGGAGCATGAACCTCGTGACTCTTGCTAAAAGCTCGAATCTTTGCATGCACCGCTTCCTTCTGCTTCAGTAACATGCGACCAGCCTGCAGGTATCGCACGCGAGGAAGCATGGAACATTGCATAATTGTTCCTCCCTCGTAATCCTTGATGTATCCCATCCACAAAGACCGTTCTAGGGTGATCTCCTTGGTGAAGCCTTGCTTTTTGAAGTAGCCGATGGCATAGTTGTCTGCGTATGTCAGGAAATGCATCACATCCGAGGTAGCCTTGACATAGTCTTTGAGATGGGACATGAGATGTGCGCCATAACCTTTGACCTGTTGGTCGGAGGATATAGCACAGAAGACAATCTCAGCGAATTTGCGGCCCTTGAATGGACGGTATGTGATCCCTCCCACGACTTCCAGTGGATGTTTGACAATTGCCATAGATAAATGGGTACGGTCATACACCAATCGAGCTATGTAGTCCTTCGGCATCTTGGGCAGCTGTTTTTGAAAGATATTCTTGAGTCCAGTAAGGATAATCAGACTCTCGCGCTTATTATCGTTGTTGACCACTCGAAACTCGATTTCGCCAGTGCGTTCTTCGATCACAGCTGGTTTCTCTGGAAACTGGACGACATGGCTCTTTTGCGGCGGTGGTTCGGGAGAATCGCTAGTTGAGCTTTTCAGCCTCTTACTGTCCGACGGTGTGCTCGGTTCTTCGGTCGCCTTGCGCTTGGCAGCTATTCTTAAGTTAGGACTATGCGATACATATGCCAAAGAGGGCAGAGCGGTGGCTTACGGTTCTCCTTCATTGGCCCCATCTTGCGATAGCTGGCGAAAGAATTTGTGTTCGAGTCCTGATCACTTTCCTCACTTCCAAGTTCGATTGTGTGATGTCTGCGCTTTCTCCAGGTTGGCGTCGGTGGTGCTTCGAATAAGGAGTCCTCGGAGGAGGAGGAGAAGGTAAGGTTGTGGGTGTCTAGACAGATACCCTTGTACCGCTTCTTGGGGATAGGCCAAGTCGTGCCAGGCTTCCTGGCTGAGCGTTTATGCCGCGGGGTGAATTTCTGTTTAATCAGTCGGTCTTCGTTGTAATCGACCTTGCGACGTCTCGTGGTGGGCGACGCTTCCCAGTAAAGGCTGTGGCCGTCAAGCTGGAGCCTCTTTGGAGTCTCCATGTTGGATTAGCTAATGTACAATATGATTGTGGCAAGAGAGAGAAAGGGAGAGAGCAGCATATTGCTGTTCATTGTAACAACTCACCTAAGAATACTTGCGGAAGCAGCTGCAAACTGCCACTGCGTCTGTCGATTGCGCCTTCTTCACAATGTTTCGTGAGCCGTTCGCAGATGGACGCGGTCGTCATGTCTTACTTGGGCCAGATTCCAGTCGGACTAGCGTTGAGCTTAAATCCTAGGTCGGTGATTGTATTCTCCGGCACCAAACCGCATTTGTCAGTGAAGCCAGAGTGTCGCGTCCTCAAGCTCTCGAGGAACATTAACAACGAGTCTTGCAAGAAATCTCAGATTTTCAATTCCCTCGATCCATCCTCTCGAAACGCCGAACTGAAGCTTATGGAGCCATCATTGCATCAAGTCTGGGAGAGTGCCTCTGGCAATCCCTTCGAACCTACAATCGGAAAAGGCAGCCAGTTCCTCGTCGGCTTCACCTTATTGACTGCTGGTCTTCTTCTCAGTGGACTTTTCGGCCTGAGTAAGTCATGGCAAAGAAGGCAGCAAAACAAGATCAATGCTGATCCAAGCATAGATCGATCGTTACTCAACATCCCATTGATTGGAATCCCAGCTTCGTTAACAATTGCGTAAGTCTGCCGTTGAAAGTATAGCTACTTGGTCCTGAATACGCTACAGCTTCGGTGCGGTCTATATGATTTGTGCGGTCGGTGTCTACGTGTAGATACCTCGATCCTCCTTCGACAATTTTCCTTCCTGCGCATAAAAGTGTACAATAGTTGGGCGATAGAAAAGCAAAGGACTTGATACCAAACCTCAAAATAGTGATCTTATTACCAGAATCTCCTACACGAACTCCACTTCTACCTCTACATCCTCAAAATGTCTACAGTTGGCGACGATAATGTTGTTCCAATCTTCAAAGCTGTTTCGAGTTCTGCGAGACAGCTCTTTCAATTACTGAATTGCATCCGCTTTGCAGCCAAGGTCCACGTTCAAATTAGCGCAGAAGGTTTACGATTTGCGGTGGAAGAATCGAGAGTCATGCAAGGTTGGTTTTGCTGTCGTCTATCTCGAGGCTTGCTAACGTCACAGGCATCGTATTCCTCGACAAAGCCCTCTTTACCACCTTTCACTGCGTTATCCCTGAAACCCTGGACGAGGAACCAGATGTTATTGATCTGCCAAACTTCCAAATCTCCCTTTCCGCCCTTCTCGAAACCCTACAAATCTTCGGTGCCGCAGATGTGACGAGTTCCCGATTCGCAAAGCCTGACAATGATGGATACAACAGCAACATTAGACCAGGCCGACAAAATGCATTCAGCAACCAAGCTCTTGGAATGGCTGGAATATGTCGATTATCGTATGCCGGAATTGGCTCACCATTCAGTATCATCCTAGAAGAGTCTGGAGTTACAACCACTTGCAATCTCAATACCTACGAGCCAGAAAATCCGCAAGAAATCCCTTTCCAACGAGATGCAATGCAAGTCAAGATTATCATGCAAGCGCGTTGGTTATTTGATGCCATTTCTGAGCTCTCCACCACTTCTCCAATGCGTCTCGACCTTATCGCGTTCCCAGAAGCTCCGTACCTCAGCTTATCAGCCGTTGGACCTCTAGGAAGCGCTAGCGTTGAGTTTGCAAAAGGCAGAGAGCTGTTGGAGACCTTTAGTGTGGCTGAGAAGTGGACTCAGAGTTACAAGTTCGAGATGATCAAAGCTGCTGCTGAAGCTATGAGACTAGCAAGCAAAGTCAGTGTCAGAGGAGATGAGCAAGGCGTTCTGAGCTTGCAGTTCATGGTGGAGGTTGAGGGTGGTGGTATTAGCTTTGTTGATTTCCGATTCGTTCCCTTTCTCCGCGAGGATGATGAAGACAACGAGGACGCAGAGGACGACGAAGATGAATATGAAAATGAGGATGATGAATTTGAATGATAGCTTGGCTTGCAGCTTCTTATAGGACTCAGACTTAGCAAATCATCAATCGCGTTCCTACTTCATGTTGTTCTTGGTGCTGTCTCATTCAAAAAAGCTTCGTAAGTGAGCAAAGTCTCAATCATCCTATGCATCACTATGAATCTCAGCATTTGAACTTGACACCAAGACTCACTCGCCTTTGCCAAATACAAGCCTATCCTCACTCCTTCACAACAACCTCATCAGCCTTCGGCTTCCAAACCCACGTAAAAGCATACGGCAACAACTCCTCCACACTGACCGTCACCAACTCCCCCCCTCCCCGCTCATCCTTCACAATAACCCTAATCCCCGCATGCATATCCCACATAATCTGCCTACACTTCCCACACGGACTAATAACGCCTCTCCCATCACTCAAAACCGCCACAACAACAACCAATTTCTCGTCGCTGGTCCCGGGACTAAAACTCGAGCCCACGCCCGCTTGAACAGCGTTACCGAACGCGATGATTTCAGCGCAGGGCCCGCCGGTGAAGTGCGTTGTGTTGATGCCGGTGAAGATCCGGCCGCTGGAGGAGAGGGCTGCCGAAGCGCAGGTGTGGTCTGTGGGCTTGCGGGTTGGGGAGAAGCGGGGAACGGAGTCGATTATTTTTGTTGCGGCGGTGATTAGGGCGGTTTGTTCGGGGGTGAGGGGGAGGGGCATTTTGGCGGTGTTGAAGTTTTAGTTTGATTAGGAGAAGGTTGGAGATAGCTTAGTTGAGGTGAGCTGTATGTTTGAGAGGGATTGTGTTGAAGCACAGTGCGTGGTAATTCGGTTGGAAGTCGGACACGACTTCAAGTAACAAGCCGCGATGAAACTCAAGCAGAAACTCAGTTGTTGTTTATTATCGTATTTTGTTTTTCACTCTCCTAATGTGCGCTTGCACTTTTATATACGCACATTGTAGCGTTCTTGAGTCACTCGGCAAACCCCCACTTTCGACACCTTCACAATGTTCACTATTAACTCTAACATTTATGGTTACATTCATTCATTCATTCATGAGGACTAGTCGTTCCATTCTTCAATATTGGATTCTTTCATATACCTCATTCAAATGTCTGGACTCTGAATCTGACTTTATCTACTGTTCGTCCCTAGAGAAAGTGTCTGATACCACCAACAACCTCTGTTACACATACCCCAAATCGTCGCTAAGAAGCCCATTCTATTCGAATGACTCTCTACCAATTGGTCTTTCACTCTCTCTTCTCAAATTTCCGGCGCTTCGAAGCTGGTTCCGCCTCCTCCTCCCCATCACTCTCATCAAACCAGGTGACTCCTTCTGGAAGTGGCTCGACGTCTAGATCGAGTCAGTGGCAAAGCCTGTAGTCAGAGCCCGACTTATCACTCACCAAAGTCCTCTTCCTCATCCAAGTCCTCATTCCGTTCCTCATCCAGTTCCTTATAGTCTACCATCTCCCACGCCTGCTTCTCCCTCGGCTTCTCGTCCTCTGCCTTTCCCCAGAAGATCAAGTGATTGAGACGATATCCTTCCTTCCACTCCTCCCTGATATCCTTACACTGATAGAACATCGATTGCCGGATTTTAACGACTGGTGGCTTATCCCTACTCTTCCCCTTGTCCGTGATCCCCTTACATTCATAAAACAACGACTGAGTCTTCCTATCCTGGACCATCTTCGGAGAATAGTACGAATGTCTCTTCGTCAACCAGTACTTCAACTCCTTGCTATTCTCCAGGAGAGGACGGAGATGCTTGAAAGCCACGGCTCGAGATTCGGCACAGCCACCGAGTGCAGCGTACGGAGATGCGGATCCGCAATTCTTTATGAGGGCGAAGATGTCTTCGTGATTGGCGCCGTTGGAGGGTTGGTGGACGGGGTAGAATGTCTTGTCGCGGGGAAAGTCCAGGATGTGTGAGGCAATTGCTCTGGTGAGGGCTCGGAGGAGTGGATCATCGTTTGCTGGTAGAAGTCCCTCCCAGACTTGGTGTCTGAGCTCCCATGGAAGTAGAGCGAATTGGTTGAAGGAAGAGGAAGTCATGGTGGAATGTGTGTGGATGTCTGAAGTCTCGTTCGTTGGTAGATGTGTTCGAAAGTTGCGACGAAAAAAGTTATGTGTGATGGATTACTGAGAGCAACTCCTGCTGTGAGGAGTCGTCCGAAGAATTTGTGCGCAAGTTGAGGTCGATTTAGTTGTGAGGGTTTGTGGACTCCTTCACAATAGCAAGGAAGTCGGATAAGTCAAGCGAGCTTTGCTGTTGCCTCAATGCGAGTAGCGGTGATTTTGAAGAGCTGCGAAACTTTTGCGCCGGATTTCGCTCTGCAAAACAAAAGATCCCTAGCAAGCTCGTTGCAATGTTCCTAGAATCGTCGTGAAAAATTGTTCAGATTTTCCAAGCTAGAAGTGATGCAGATTGGAAGTGTATGTATCTCGGCGTTTTTCATAAATTTATGTAGACAAGCGCACCGACTTCACACAAAGCTCGAGAATAATTCATATTATATTTTACCGCACATTTGGATTTCGACCGATCATAAACCTCGTGACACTCAAGCCCGCGTGCAGTCCAACGCAATATTAACCTTAAGCGAGGCCTAAAAGGGGCTGGGGCCTCAAGCCGAGGACGGGTGCTTCCATGATTTAATCATGGCAGTTCTAGACGACTTCGGGAGAGAAGAAACGTCGGGGTCCTTGACATGTGCATAAATGATCGAGCATACCACAATCTCCTGCCAGACCGTATTCCTGCACGATGTCTCTCGCGGCCTGTGTTTAGCTACCAAATTAAATTGTGTTCAGCCTCAACTTGAAAATTTGGCCGTCACGTCAGTTAATATCACCGATGTATTGGAGTGCGTACAACTCCCGTTGTCACCAACTGAGAAGTCTTCCACAGACGTAGAAAAGCTCTGATACAAATCAAAGTGACGTCGAGGACATCGTATAGCTTGGCAACGGATCCTCGCTTGTATCGACACCACAATCACAAAGTCTTAAATGTCATCCCAGAGACACACAGCTGAAACATTATACAACATACAATGGGGATATGTATTACAATCAAGTTTTCATATCGCTCTTCCGCGGTTTAAGGGGCTACAGAAGGGATCCCTGCCAAGCCTTTGAGCCAAGTTGTCTATCATAATTGCAAACGACCATCGTGCATCTTTTGCGTACGATGGAAATCCCATTTATTTGGATTAATGCAGCTGGTGTCTTGTGATTTTGCTGTTGTGAGACCAAAGAATAGTTTCCTCGGATTCTTGGCTGCTGAGATTCTGTTCTACTGTTTTGAGGTCCAGATCGTGAACATGATCTATATCCGGGTCTTCAAGTCTTGGTTGTAGATCGGTGGCTGGAGGAGGTATGCTAGGAGGGTATATGGAGGTCAATCAGGGGGTGACTTAGACTTGATGAAGGGCGCGAGAATTTTCAGCGGGAGGCTTGCTATTTTCCTTTCTTCCAAAAGTATCGAATCAACAATTAATTACTTCGAATTATAGGCTTTGATGCATACTCTTCTTCATCAGAAGATCCGAATTGCAATTTTACATGGTCCACCCATTAACGCCCCTTTTCCCAAAACTGTATCCGTGACAGATTACTGCGCAGTAATTAGCGGAGAGCCTGCGCATATGATCAAAGAAGTAGAAGAAATCCGCATGGACGTGGACAGTTGTCCTACTCTTATTTGGGTTAGCAATGATGAGTTTCTTGGGCCCCAGCCAGAAAAGGGGTAGTCGGATATTAAGCGAGCTCACCTATCTGCCCACATTACTAATTTCCCAACTTCATTCTTTCCATTCTTGTTACCTTCCCCGATACAAATACGATACTTAATCATCGTAAACTTCTCACGTATTCGAGAAAATCGTAAAAATGGCGGAACCTACGATTGACTCATCAAGCACTTTCCATTGCTTTCCTCAGCTTCCAGTAGAGCTGCGACTACCCATCGTAAGCAACTAATCCCTTCTTTCTATATTCCCTGTTTCTATCGACTTTAGTCTATCGCGTCCCCAAATAACTTTCACAATCTTTCGATTTCCACTTCCAGAAAAGGTGGTACTAACTTGCTGTAGTGGGAGCTAGCTCGAGATGCTCTTCCAGGTCGTGTCATCGAGCTTATCGAAGAGCTCGTAACCTTTGATGGCTTTGAGGGCAGGTGGTTAAACGACATGGATGCTGAGCGATTCGTCATAAGCAGAAGCGGAGAAGAGGGTTGTCGAAGCACACCGGAACAAACATTTTTCACGGTCAGAGATAGTTCTGTAAGCCTGCTATCCGTAAGCCGCGAATCTCGGCACTGTACTCTGAATAATTATTACAACTTGTTCAGAGATGGAGTGAATGGCAGTGTACCATCTGTTCCATTCGACTTCGATAAAGATGTGCTTTACTTGAGGGCGGCCTCTCATTGCACTTCGCACTTTCTGGTGAATGAACCGAAATTGTTGGCGGGGAACGTTAAATTCTTAGCATCAATTTTTGTAATGCCAAGTTTGATGGACACTTTATGTCTGCAGAACGTGGGAGAGTTAGGAAGTGTAGAGACCATCTTCATTTTAATGGAGGCGGCGTGGGAAGGCGACTTGGCGATATACAAACAGTATTGGACTGATTTACTCCCTCAATACCACTTGTCTCCGATCAAAGACAGCGACGGTCTCGCTAGTCTGATACGAGACCCGGATTGGAAGATTGATCACCAAAAGTGTTGGAGAAGCGAAGACACCTCTGAGAGCTGCAAGCGTGCTACTAGCAGATGAATTGGAGCATGTGCCTCGACACTTGTTGCGAAGAAACTTGGCGGAATGAATACTTCCTTCACAAGACTTCTAGATATGCATGCGATTTGGACAACGCTGCATTTTCAGCACTCAACTTCGACAGTGTACATGTCGTTTTACGCAATGAGATTCATTAAACCCAGATGAACATCGCATGAGTAGGAGCTGTAAAGGACCGAACAGAAAACGGCAATCTCTATAACATTTTAATAATTTTAACGGAGAGACAATTCTATTAGGATGAGGCAAATCACTTCTCGTCCTCTCAACAATGTAATTTACCCGCTATTCCAACATACAACTTTGAAATACCTACCTGCACAAATCGTGAAGTACAAAAATTTGACAAGGCATTGATCTGATCCTTCCCGTCGCCTCAGTCTCGCTAAATCCCATTTGGTAAGCCGTTCGCTGGTAACTGCTAAAAGGGGTTAAGCAATCAGCCTTACGTCAAAGGCTAGGTAACTTAGCCCTATGCCATCTCCCCCAGATTTCAGCCTCTCGTTTCACTGCCAAGGAGCTATCAACCAGTGATGATGACAAGTTTCGACTAGGATATGAAAATAGCATTTGAGCAAGGGGAGAATGGAGACACCACGTCAGTGGCTATCGAGCTATGGATCATGGCAGCTGCAGGAACCTATGCCATTGGACAGGATGAAAGGCTTCTCGGTTGAAAACTGAGCCTCCAGAGGTCCAGAAGGGGATATCAACTTCATCGTGTCATTTCGTTCTTGACCATAGAAGCCAAGCAGAGAACAGATAATTTCAGGACGGTCATCTCTACAGGAGAAAGTATTTTGATGCGAGACTTTTCCTTGATTGATCTACATAACCGGGAAGATCAAGAATCTGCATGGAAGCAACATCACAATTCTGTCGATCTTCGCCCTAGCCTTTCCAAAAACAGCTTCCCAGCGGGGCGACCCAGCGTCTCCTTCAGCCGCAGGGGCAAACTCGAACTAGTCGCCTGTCACACCCCGAGCCACTTAAGCTTATGTTCTTGGCCTCGCATCTAATGCACTTATCGGGTTCGCGCATGCGTCTATACGCCGTTCATGATGGGCATCAATCCGAAAGAGTTTCACGTAAACTAACTTCGAGAAGCGGCGGGCCGGCCTATGATCTCACAGCCCAGGAAAGCTTCTGGAGCTCAGAATCAAGCTGTTAACCTTCGGACTGATGATAAAAGCTCTCCCTCCCAGCTTTGAACTTCCAAATCCTGCCCTTCATCGTATCTTCTCTTCTCCTACATCCCATTAACCAGAACCAATCAACCAACCGCCAAAATGCACTACACAACCCTCCTCGCTCCCCTCCTCCTCGCCGCCCCCGTCCTCGGCCAAGGCTTCACCTGCAACAACGGCGAAATATTCGACAACTACTGCTGCGAAGGCGGTTCCTTCATCGGTCCCGTTATCTCCTCCTTCTCCTCCTCCCTCTCTTCCGCAGGTTCTTCTCGCTCCTCCTCCCTCTCCGACGCAGCCTCTTCCCGCTCCTCCTCTCTCGGCGCAGCTGCCTCGTCCCGGGAATCCGCTCAAAGCTCCATTCAGGCTAGCGAAAGTAGTCGGTTCTCCAACTCCGGAATCCAGACCGCGACCACAGATATGGCAGCTGCTATTACAGCGAGGGCGGTGTTGAAGAGGGCTATTACGACGGAGGTCTCGTCGGGGTTGACTTGTGTGGGGGATTCTGTCTCGATGGACACGGAGAATGTGCAGTCGGGGAGTAGTAGTGATGGTACGACGTCGACGTCGACTGGGACTGGTGCTGGTGCTGGTAAGTGTTCTTCTGTAATGGGGCGGGGATTTTGAACTGACTTATTGTAGCGACTACAACTTCGAGTTCATCGGCTGGTGCGGCGTTCATGACGCAGGCTCCGATGTTGGCTGTGGGTGCTGCTGCTGCGTTTGCGTATGGTGCTATGTAATTTAGGCGACTTATCTGGAGATATCTGGCGTTGGGATAGAATCCTGTTATGGAGAGTTGAGGCCTGTATATTAGATATTGTAATGAAAGATCGAAGTTTGAAGAGAAAACATCTACAAATGGAATCCTCCATCAATAGTACCCTATAATTCTAGCTCAATAGTCCTGAAAGGAAGCCCAGCCTTTGTAAATGCATCGAATCGATTTTGTTCTCTTAGCTACCCTGGTAAAAAGATTCGTAATGCATCGCTGATAAATCTCGCAACGTGGGTATAAGAATAAAACCTCAAAAACTGAAAATTCCATCCGCACACTGTATTCCTGCCGTAGTCATATTCATCCCTGTAACAACTCCTTGATTTTCATGTGTTCATGCATTTCATACTTCGTAGGCCTCGCTTCAACACCTTGATATCTGATCGGATCTTGTCCTTCCTTACGCTTCAGTGTGAAACGAGTCATATATCTCTCGGCGTCGAGAACTTCTTCGCTGGTAATGATATAGAGGCCATCATATCGATAGCCCATTTTGGGAGCGTAATCCGAACCTTTCTTTGCTGCTCGAATGACTCGAATTGGTTGTTGCAGGGCAAATGCTTCTTGCATCATCTTTGTGTATCTGGTCGGGATCGCGGTTTGACTTTCGGTGCCGCAATACTCCAAAATCTGATAGGCTTTCGTCAGAACAATCAGATGAAGATAGAAACATTAACATACCTCGCCGCTGTCTTGATCGGCATAATAATTAGACGAAACGACAATCGCATATGCGCCCTTGTCTGTCTCTCCATGTATACCAGCTTCCAACGACCCATGCGCACCATCCCTCCACAAACATCTCCGATCCGGCCACCACTGCCCATTAATCAACCCATTATCTCCAACCTCATTCGCACCCCTCTTCTCATACCCCTTCCTCAACATCTTCGAAGTCCTCACAGCGCCAGAACTATGCGTATTCCGTCGAACCACAATCCCCGTCAGTAAATCCCCATCCACATCCCCCTTCCACCACTTCCCATACAACGCCCTAGCATCAGCCCTCACATCCCACGGAAACAACCCATCATACTCTCCCCCAAATATCACCCTCAATCCCCTTTCTTCCAGCACCCTCGAGCTCTTGACCGCGAGCAGAGTCACACCGGGAAAGAACTCCATCTTGTGTATCTGATCCCTTACATTCGACACGGAGATCCTCTCCATACTAAAGTCCCCACGCGCTCGTGCGTCGATACAGTATCGTATCAGTTGCTTGATGGATCCCACCTCCGACCAATTTCCTGGGTCGTGGTCCCCTTTCTCTGATATCGCTGTGTACCACTCGGGAATCGGGGTTCGAGTATCGATGACTCGGCTCTCGATGACGATCGAGCTGCTCTTTTGCCATTTCCTTGGCTTCGGCGCGTAGTGCGCGTTGGGGTTTGCGGGTGGGGAATTGTTCGTGGGAGGTAGTGGAACGGTCGTGGTTGAGGAGGAGTCTGGCGGGAAGGCGGATGGTCCCGGTCCCGCGGCGGGAGGGTCGGGAGTGGGGGCTATTCGGAGAGTCAGTTCCTGCAGATTGTCTTTCAAGTTGTGAGACAGTACCTCTTTTTCGTTTCTTTCCTTTGAGACCTGCATACATGATGCACGGTGGTGGATGATGAAATGGTGAGGGATGAAGGTTATCGCGCGGGGTACTGTAATGGTGGGGTTTGCAGCGGAAATTGGTGGGGTCGAAACGTTAATGGGAGTGAAAGATGCAATAACAAGCCCTGCCTAGAATTCGTCTTAAGTGAATTTCTCCAATTGTGAATCGATCAAATCGCAAATTCAGAGAGAGTGAACGGAATAGGTGAAGTTTGTAATTTCAAAGATCATTGTTCGTCTTAGTGAGTGTCACGGTTGCCAGCAAAATGTGCGACACAAATATTGAAACCATAAGGTGATGCTTGCCCATTCCATGAACAAGACACATTTCACAAAGAAATAATGTTTCATCAACTTTTCATTTCACATGGCGGGCGTTTTTGAATTGAGATGTCCGTAGGCAAGCTCATTGAAGTCCATTGCCTACGGCTCTTGGCTATTGTAGCTTCAAGCCAGCGGACTGAATCAGCAGGCATGATTAGACGCGGACTGACTTGAAGCAATATCTAACAACTTCTTCCATCTCCCTTCTATGGTAAATCGCCCGTGAACCGATACCTTGTATCAACGTCAACATATTAGTGAGTACCAATTGAAATTGCCTCTATTTTGCTTACCGTGGCCAGGCCATACCCTTACCTGACCGGAAGGTTATAAATATAATTAGCTGGTTCTTCATGTCCATACAACACCTCTGATATCAAGGCTATCATGAGAATTTCTGGACAGGATCGTATTTACATCACGCCCTACACTCCGTCGTCTGTGTTTTGTCTCAAGAGCGATTCTACCAAGCGCCCAAATAGTCCTTTTCTACACTGTGCATCTGGAGCTTAACTTGACAAACTTTGCAATTCTCATTTCATTTTCCAATCATACAACAGTAAAAACCTAGGTTAGGCGCAATGAATATCATGGTATCAGGTACCAAGGCCGGATGGGCAACTTTGGACACTCAATAACATGTCAAGGTTAATCGAACGAGAATCCTAACAAAGGTTTTCATATTAAATCTAAGGAAGAAAATGATAACATACAATTTTTCGATACTTTGCATTACAACAAACGCGTCTACTCTTGTGGCAAAGAATTTCTCGATTTCGACGACAATGCGGAACAATCTTTTCATAAATCACTAAGTAACTTTCTTATCTTCTTAAACTTATATTGTGACGATAGCGGACGCGAGCGTTTTTATATGAACTAATTGATTCGACAAAATTAAACGTTTTCAAAAATTTATCTTGAATTAAATTTAATCTATAAACTCGAAAAAAAATGCTTCAAGGCTACATAGCCATTGCCACCCAACCCAAAACCTCCAATGATACAATATTCCGATCTTGCTGGTGTCGCTGACAGTGATAAGCTCGACGTACTGAAAAAGAACTACTGTTGCTTGAAAGTTCTCAAAGACCAAACGCTGGGTCACAACCAGTACCACAATAAAAACTATTTACATCTCCAAAACCAGACATACAACGCTGTATTATATCGTTTGAGCCGAACATAGTGGTCCGCTAACTTCACACAACCGTCCCCGGTTCTGTGGTGATGGTTCCCGACTGTAGACTTGTAGTGTAGTAGACATTGTTGATGCAGCTCGAAACTTTCGTCCTGGAGATTCTGTTGAGCCCTGACGTTGCCATAACCAAGCAATAGCTTTCCAGTGCTAGATTTGCACATGACATCAGCATAACAGAAGCGAGAGCCGTGGATTGGGAGTTCACTCACACGAAAGATGCTCTGTCATTCTCTCCGTACGCTTTCCTACGTCTAGATAGAGCCTCCTCAAACATTGCTGCTGCATCATCTAATCGATATTCGAGCCAGTAAGCAAAAGCGAGGTTGAAAACAGGCATTGAGACGTCGTTGTCCTCTGAGTCCCCAAGAGCCTTCAAAGCAGCTATTGATTTCTTGAAACAATCTTCCGCTTCTTCTGCTCTGTCGTTTTGAAGGAAAGCGCATCCGACTTCATTCCAGGCAACACCAAGACTCTTGTCGTTCCCTCTAGGCTCGTCGCCGAATTCCTCACGCAGCATCTGTATAAACGTGTGATAGCTAAAAAGAGCTAGCTCTGGCTGATTTGTGTGCAAGGCAAGCTCGCCCCGGTGGTGGTGAAATCTCCGCAACAAATTGTCAAATTAGTCATAGAGCTCAACTTGATGCTGGCCAGTCGGCGATTCTATCTTTTCAAGGTTTTTACATATCGACTGAGCCATGTCCAAGAATGGAACCGTGTCTGAGAAATTCGAGGAGAGGATGCTGAATCTGTGTAGGATAAGTCAGAAACAGTTTTGAACTTGACAATGTAGCATAGCAGTACCTTGCGAGATCGAGTAAGAACTTTGGGGCTCAATGCTAGCTTTGGAAAGCTTTGTCGGGGGGCGAAATCGATCAAAGAACTTCCTCATTCTCTGAACGTGACGATGGAGTTCATTGCACAGCGCCCATCTCGACTGCTTATTGCCGAAGCCAAAATCCTAGTAGGGCCATGCAGCCGATAGCTGGCATAGCGTAAAGCCAAACGCCCGGTTTAACTGCTCGTCCGTTACAGAAGCCCGAGCTGCGTCTTGAATAAGTCTATGCATGAAGATCTTCTTCTCATTTCTGTCTCTGGTGATGAGCGAAGATGTTAGGAGCTCGGTTCTGGCGTCTTGGTACTCCATCTCGTCTCTTGGGTAGCCTTCCTATCGATAAATAGTATTAGCTGCTCCCGGAATATACTCAGGTATCCCATCTAGATCGAGAAGAGAAAGAACGCTAAGCAGAAAGCTAACTTTTTCTTCCAAATCCTGGAGTGCCCAAACTGTTGCGGTGGTATGATTATAGTTCGAGCGGTTTCTCCCTGAGTTCAAGCTATAGTTGAAGAGCTGACGATGAGTGCTTTCTTTATCATATTGCTTTTCAAATTCAGCGAAGCTAATTTCGTTGCACGTAATAAAACCAGCCAGTTGGTTGATTGCTAGAGGGAGACCACCGAGCATTCTTACAGTAGCCTTTCCGGACTCGTGCTCTTGAGTTCCTTTTCGCGATGTGTCAGCTTCAAGAGGTACTCCATTGCCTCGTCTTCGTCGGACGAGGGCAGCGTAATGTCTGACTGTAGGCCCTCCCCGGCATATGTATGGGTTTTGAAAATTGGATCACGACTTGTTATAAGCACTGAAGCAGGTGATCCTGTCGGCAATTAGTCATCCAGAATATCTGCGTCATCAACGTTGTCGAATATAAGTAGACACGAAGCTTCATCGGCCTTGCGATAGCCATGCTCAAGCTGTTTATATGATTTCAAGGGGTGACTCAGCCAACCGAGAACGAGTTCTCGTGTTAGAACTTGATCCCTAGCTTCCATACTATTTTCATCAGCCACTAAGCCCAGGCTGAAGGCTATTTGGGTGAAGTCATGCGCAATTTTGGACGATTCGTCGGCATGCACCCAAAAGATCGCGTCAAAATATTTTGTGTGTCGGTGAGCAAATTGAGAAGCCAACTGTGTCTTGCCGATTCCCCCTGGTCCACAAATCACAACAGTCTTCAAGTTGCTGAGGTCAACATCTGGGTTCTCGCCCACAAGATACGAAGTGGGTGCAAGGGCCTTGTCCAAAGCCTCAAGGATAGCTTTCCTACCAAAGAACGGCCCGTGATTTTTGCTCAAAGGCATTATGTGGCATGGAAGTGGATTATTATTCTTCTTGACAGAGAAATCTGCGAGAGACAGGGTAATATCGAAAATGGACACCGTCGAGTCATTGTGCGCAAAATCTAGGAGATGGTTAGTGCTTGATGCGTAATATCCATCGAGATTTACCTTGTGAATTTAAGCCGTGAGTTTGACGTGGTATTGACTGAGCACGGGCAGGCATTGCTTCCTGGACTTGAAAAGCGGGCTTATCAACTATTAAATGGTCAATTAGGGACACATCAAAACTATGACCTAGTCGGCTCTTGCCTTGTCTTGTTTCCTTCTCGATCATGTCGCGGGTCTGCTGGGCAATGTGGCGAACGAACTCCGTCACTACTACCATCTTGTGGCTATTGGACTTGATACAACAGATATGGTCGTGGTCAGCCCTCACACCACATTGTCGCTGAGACTTTGTGTTCGTCTTGACAAGACTCCAATCCATGAGCTACATCTCAAATTGTAAGTCATATTGACTCATGATTGACTGCTCGAAAAATACTGACCACGGTCTTCGATCCAAAGCCCCCAACCATCTTCGTTTCGTCGGTCTCGTACAGAGAAAGTAAGGGTACTAGATCGAAGATGCGCTCAAAATTACGGCAATCTCGCGCTAGGTTCGATGCGACGTCTTGCGAGATGTAGCGCAACCACAATAAATTACAGTAGCCGCGATCGGCCCGCTCATGAGCGCTTCGTTTTGTTAATAGATCGCTTTTAGACAAGCGGCAGTACGCGGAACACGCTAGTTAATGGGATATTAGCAGATTCTCAGAGCTAGATTTGCTTCCTTTTAGATAGACAATTCAACTACAAGAACCTCCCACGACTCTACGAACCTTGACTTTTCTCTTTCTATCCCGCCCATAAATTTGAATCAAGACCACAGTCAGACCTGCATCGCACAATTTGGCGATGACTCTTCGTGTTAATGATGGGTTCAGGATCCTTCCACAGAGTGGTCATACTTTGTGTCTAGGCGACAGGCGCTACCCTGTTCGATCTACCCCAGAGGCAAGCCTGCTCCGTGTAGTTGATCTGGACCGCGGCATACTGACTTTCACCACTTAGGACGCAAGCTTCCAAGCATATAACGGCCCTGCTCTGGCTACGGTTTTCGTGCATGACGAGGACAAGAGGATAATAACTGAGCAGTGGATCAAGCGTCAGATCACCGACTATCAGATTGCAGATGACGTCTTTCACAATGCGTTCCTGGCAGGCATTATTGTAGTAGGAGACTCGGAACTCGACGCCGGTGCTCAGGCGTTTCTTAAGGGGGCGGGGATGCAATGGCTCCACGTTATGGCTTCTTCTACGACTGGATACAAGCTTCAACCAGGTCCATATGCGTTACTGGACGATCATTTACGAAATGTGTATAGAGCATACAGAGACACGAGCGGCGCCTTCTTCTGCACTCTCGAACGCTCTGGCGATGGGTACGATTCACTAATCTCTATCATTGCTGTGCTAACCTATACCGAGTTATCAAACGCCTAACATGATTGATGGCGATGGAGAAACATCCTTGATCGTTGCAGTACCTTCCAGACTCCATTCTAAGCGCTCCTCTGAGCTTCCCATGGCGGGCTTACGGATCGCAGTCAAAGATAACTTCGATCTGAAGGGTGTCAAACATCGCTTACCAGCCGACCGTTTCATGAAATCTATCCTGCCAAACAGGAGACTGCTCCGTGTATCCAGCGTCTGGTTGATCTTGGCGCTTTACTCGTTGCTAAAACCAAGCTCACGTCTTTCGCGACCTGGGAGGAACCAGTTGAGAGCATTGACTGGCCAGCGCCGTGGAACCCTCGAGCTGATGGATTCCTTTCCGCTGGTGGCAGCAGCAATGGAAGCGGAGCTGCTATAAGCACATATGACTGGCTTGATATTGCTATTGGGTCCGACAGTAAGAGCTCACATGAGGTCTTTCAAGCTACATACTTACTCTGAGACTTCAATAGCCACAGGCAGTGTCATGAGACCTGCACTCTGGAACGGCTGCTTTGCCATGCGTCCTAGCCACGGTGTTCTCTCCACCGAGGGTTTCTTCTCGTGCATTAAGTACCAGTGGCAAACTCCATCCGCTGTCTGGACCGACACAGAACAGGTATCTTGATACACCTGCTTTCTTGGGAAGAGACTTCGCTGCGGCCTGGTACGGCTCAACACTAACCACACCAGCATCCACGGCAAGTCTTCCAGGGTCAATTGTACTCAAATCCTCTGACACACATATCAGAAATCCGTCTCATCTATTATATGGCCGACAGACTATTAGAATATGATGGGTATCCAGCAATGCGACTTGGCCTTGAAGTTTGTACATGACATGGAGTTTCATTTGAATTTGAAGCACAAGCAGGTATCGTTCAAAGGGAAGTGGGAGCTTGAGCCACCGATTGAGGCCGAGGGCAAATCTTTGGATGCATACATGCTTGACGTGAGCCACTTGTATTACTCGCCGCTCCCAAATACTAAATATTCACAGGCGACCGAAGATATGTGGTATGACGACTACCATGCTTTCGATGACTTCCGCGAGAGATACTACAGCAAATACCAGAAGCCGCCATATGTCTCCCCACCAACACACAAAGCCTGGTAATACCCCAACTTGTGCTATTACAATACGGTGAGATAGTCAGACTGACTCATGTTAAAGGGAAAGTTGCAAGCCTATCACTAAATCGCAGCGCGATGAGGCTGTCAGAAGATTGGGCATCTTTCGTACTTGGTTTCGCAAAAGCATCATTAATGCCGAGTATGACAACGCAATGGTAGTCCTTCCCATTGAGAATGTGTATCCAAGGTATCGAGATGAGCCCCACAAGTAAGCAGTTCTATATATCGTCAAACTACCGATCGCACCCAGCCTAACAATAAATGAAGCTTTCAACGACCCCCTGTTGGCGTTCACAACGTTCTTCTAGCCTCCTTAAATGGGGCACCTGAGCTCGTCGTTCCAGGTAATGTCTACCTCTAATATGGAAGCTTGTTCTAATGCTACAAAAGTTGGGCATGTGCCTTATTATTCAAAGATCACGCAGAGGGAAGAGCAGCTCCCCTATGTCGTTGGACTCATGACACTTCCAGGTATGTACCGCGGACCTAAAAATGCTCATTTTAACTGGCAATTAGGGAATGATATCCGACTCCTGAACACAGCTCTCGCCTGTCTCAAGGAAGCAGGAAGACCAACTGCTGTGAAGACGGGAACCACAATGTTTCATATCTCGAGAGTGAAGGGATCGCTTTAACGGATCATATGCTGAGTGTCGAGCAGTCAAAGGCCGCATACTGAAGAAGGCTCAATTCTTGGTAGGGATTGTGTTACTCCTCGCTCGTATAGACTTTTAAATACTTAGCGAGGCCATTGACTGCTCTCCCGTTTGTATTGTGAACAGGCGAGAGTTTACGCCCAGTCGAAGGGAACTGGCCTGTGATAATAAATTTTTACGCAGCATCCGCCAAGATTGCAGTTTCGATGCAATGCCTGACACATATCTCTGCGTGGTCGGCCACGTCCGCATGTAAATTCTCCAATCCGCATCCGATACTAGCGGACAGCTTCTGGTATCTCACCGGTCACCTATCACGTGTATTGACTTCTGGAGGTTACACAAGATAATAATTCGACCAAAACAGAACCAGCGAAAGGGAAAATTAATCCTGCGTCTATAGGTATCGAGTACCAGGGCCGTATCGGCAGCTTCGAACACTCAATAACATATCAACATTAGTCTAGTAAGCATCCTAATATAGGATCCGATGTTGAATTTGGGAAGAAAGTAACAATATCCGGCCTTTCGATGCCTTGCGTTGCTCCTAGAAGCTTGTTTCGAATCAAGCCCGACTCATGGGCTTCAAGAACTTCCACTGTGTGCCGGAAGGCTACAGACCGGATCGCAAAGATCCCCGTGCTTCACGGTGTCTTCAATGCACCTACAGAGCCTTACTCTGGGGTGGCATGTTTGGCGCTATGTATGCTTCTCGCAGGCCGAGAGGCTTGAAGAAATTGATCATATCTGGTGGGCCGGCGAGTATCCCCCTTCTGGAGAAAGGATTCGAGGTGCTTATTGCTGCCCTGCCCGATGATGTTCGCGATACGCTTGAGGATTGCAACAGACGCGGTGATTATCAGAGTCTTGAGTTCGAGAAAGCTGCTGCTGTGTTCTATGCTCGGCATGTTTGTCGCCTTGACCCGCCGCCTCCGGAAGTGCAGTGTGCGTTCAAGAACTTGAAAGATGACCCGACTGCCTACTTGACTTTGTAAGTAGACCACGTTGATTGGTCATATGATGCTAATTCGGTCCCACAGGCAAGGCCCATCAGAGTTCGTCATCATCGGCTCGTTCAAAGATTGGGAAGGGTGGAAAGAAGGTCGCAAGATCGATGTCCCGATGCTGCTGCTTAATGGGAAATATGATGAAGCTACGGATCTTTGTATGGAACCATGGTTTAGGACGATCCCGAGGGTCAGATGGCTGATGCTTGAGAATTCGAGTCATATAGGGCATTTTAAAGAGCGGGAACGCTATATGCAAGTATGCGGTGGGTTTCTTTTGAGTGATTCTTGATAAGTAGAGAAATACTGTAGAGTTTGATTCTTCGAGCTTTGATTGAAATCATATATTGGCACAACATTTGACGGAATCCGACGAACCCCCTTTTTTGACTTTCGATGACTTCTTGCAATTTGACTTCAATTTTAATATTTATGAATTTGGGATCTCAGAAGAATCAAATGATCTGTATGCAAATTGATGAAGACACCCAAAAAAGACTACCATTCCGAAATTCAGCGAAGGATGCGCGATCTTCGCCAAACCCGTTGAATGCGCCCACTGCGCTGGATGCGCTGATTGTGCTCAATCCACTGAAGGTGTTAAGAACAACCAATATGGTGCAATGAGACACAACTTTGAGTAACCTGGAACGCATTGATAATATGGAACTGAGTGTACTGAATGAATTGTGACAGTGCTGAGAAACTAAAAAAAATAGAATTTGCAGTTGTGTATCGAACGTGAACTTAGCCTCAACAATTATTTCAAATAAGTGAATCTACCTTCGTTGAACAGAGGATAACTCTGATACTTTGATCTAGTAGTCAAATTCTGAAATTTGAAGTAAAATCAGACTTTTGAACCGTGGCTGAACGTTGCCTTGGACCCCCTTTTTGTGCACTGTTCACGTGCCATTAAGCGAACACGCATTAAGAAAACTCGCTGGAATTGTGGAAGCTCTTTAGGGATACATGAATGTGCAACTGTATTTAAGCTATCGTTTCTTGATATTGAGCCGAAGATTGAAATGCGAATCGTTTCATAGACACAGGCACAACAGAGCTACACAATGTATTCCGGATTCATCTGTTCGAAAGGGTCTCTCGTTGCAAAATGTATTTATTATCTAACAGCTTCTCAGATTACTAGAGTTGCCTAAACCCAGACCTGTCTCAAACCACCCCATCACTCTCCCCAACTCAACTCATCAACCCGGCATCTCATAATAACCACTATTAACACTCGGATCCGGATTCGGCGTCAAATACCGATTATTAATATTCGGCGAATCGATCAACAAACAATTATCAGTGGTCTCAGTTTCGAAGAACGAATAATAAAGACAATTATCGTCGTTATCGCATTGCTGGAGACAAGCGGTATAGGTCGGAAACGTGTCGTAATAGCTGGACTCGCCGTTGCTGTATGTGAGGCCAGCGTAAGATTCGCCGCATTGTGGGATGTAGATGGCACCGTATGTGCCGCCGCCGTTGAGGCTGCTTGATGAGCAGTAGGTTGGAGTGGTGAAGTCTGTCTCGACTGGGATGGTTGTGGTCTGTATTTGCATCAGTATTGTTTATCTCTTCTCACATTGGAGGGGATTACGCACGGTTGTGGTGGTGACGAAAGTCGTCACACTTGTGGATGCTGTAACTAGGTCTGTGGACTGCAGGTCGATTAGCTGGGTTTCTTTGATGTCTCTCTCGCTGTGCTCCACTCACTGTCTTCGAAAGTGTGGTAGCAGGCGCTGTGCTGGTTGCAGTCGTAGAGCTGGTAGTTGCAGTGAACAGACAAGAGCACACGCTGCTGATTTCTGAGGCTGCAAATGCAGATACCAACGCTCCGAAAGATGTTGTTGTGGCTGCTCGTTTCTTCTGGTTTGGTTCGGTGAAGGTTGTTGTGGTCTGAGTTGTTTGTGTTGCGGTGACGGAGCTATGATGTGTTAGATACTTTGATCAAGTTGTTGTTGCGATGGTCGGGGCAATGCATTGCTTACTCTGTGATCACGGATGTGATGGTTGCATCAGTCGAAGTCAGAGTGGTAGAAACTGTGACGGTAGGAGTGACGGTTGCGTGAAGAGTCGTTGAGTGGTGGATATAAGGGCTGCAGAAAGAGCTCGCTTTGGCGCTGTACACTGGTGCGACGAAGATCAAGTATAAGGCGTCTAGCTTATTACATGTATTGGGTGTACTCCGTGGTTGGTTGACGGGATAGCCTGGGCGTTTCTTGGAGCTGAGCCTCCTCTCGAGATTGAGGGCGGCTGGCAATCTTTCTCCAATGTTGGGTAGAGCTAAGCCAAGTGCCTGAATGGCAAAGACCACGGCAAGAGCAGGGAATTGTACGAGCATCTTGAATGCAATGTCGAAGAATTGTGGAAAACCTTCTCGCTTTGAGAAGGTGGTTTGGGGCTTCGACAGTATATATAGCTCATGTTCATTCTCTCGAAGAGACTTCCTAGAATCTTGAAGTTCTAGGTCTCATAGACCTCGAAGCACGCCGAAAACCTACCAGTATCTAGATTCATCTTTCCATTCATACTAAGAGTTATGAAAAACACTAAAAGCAACCAGATGGTTTAGTTGTGAGCTGAAAAAGAAAGCTGAAATACTACTCTGTCCCACAGATGCTACGTGGTGCATAAGTGGCTTGAAGTGATGGATTCTTATGCAACTTTGAAAAGTTTCATTGTTCTGGACAATTGTTAGCTTCGGTCGTCTGCTTTATTTAGGTCAAGCTTTTAAACCTTTAAAGAAGCAGGGCAGGTCTCCAGAATTGTGGCAAGCTAACAACAGCTGGGGTAGCGATCTTCAGCTCCTGCACGACCCCAGCAACGCTCATCCCTGATTAAGCGAGAACACCGACTTCCAGAACGATCATATTTGTAAAGTCCTATATAGAAGCTATTTAATAATTGAAAATCCTCATAGAAATTCTATAAGTTTGTTGCACTATTCCGCTAGATTTTAGATATCTTCCTTTGAAGGGTGTTCTATTTACGAGCCAAATTATAGCGATATAATTTAGACGACATCGAAGATCTCTCCGCGGGTCGAGGCGAGGCTCTGGGTCCAAGCTAAAATAGTGCAGCGCCGAGGCTCGCCTGAAATCCTAATTCAATCTAATGATCCGACGCTAGGAACCAATATAGGCCTATATGGCGCAGAATGCAGGGTGCTACCGACCTGAAGCGGTATCGCGATGGTACTCTGGGGAAACCCGTGGGTCTGGATGGTCTTATTTTGACGACATTTGCTAGAATTAGATCCAACGCACGATGTACACTTGAGTGGTCAATATGTCCTGCTATCCATATAATATATCATAGACTACTTCGTAGCGTAAATGGAATGACTCGACAAAATTGACTTACTACACATGACCAAAAGCTGGCTTCCGAGGTTGAGACTTTAGGTCTACGCAACAATAGATTAAATTTAAATCAAGAGCTATATCTTCAAATTTGGCTAAACATTCTCGCAAACTCCGCATGTCAAACAAATCCCTCCATCGTCAATCTCCTACAACTCTGAATATGGGAGCAACCTCTGAAAAGCTGCCTGCGCATTAGCTATCATCTGCTTGATATCTCCCTGCCAGATCTTCTCGAACCGCTCATGAACTTCAGCCCCAATTTTCTCAATATCATAACCAACGCCTTGAGCCTGCCACTCATACAATTCTCCTGTGCGTCGACTACTCGCTACCAGCCATTGCGACCTCTGTCGACGACACTGATCGTAAGCCTGGAATGCAACGCGCAATCCTGAAGGTCTTTTCGCAGCAGGGTCCGCCAGCAGCTCAGCCAAAACAGCAGAGTCTTCGATTGCGAAGCCGGCACCAGATCCGTGGTGCGGACTGGTGGCATGAGCTGCGTCTCCGATGATGGCGACTTTGCCTTTGGCATAGGTTGGAGCTGGGTGGTCCTTCATGTCGAAGATTGCCCAGATGTCAACATCTTCATTGAGCAAGCTCAGAATGTGAGTGACCGTCGGGCCCCAACCGGAGAAGTCGTTGAGGGCATCTTGCTTGGTTGCTGCGCGAGTAGACTTGTGGATGTCGGGCCAGTTCTGGGATGTGGTGGTGAAGGCCACCACGTTCATGGTTTCGCCTTTGTCGATGGGGAAGGTGAGTACGTGTCTGTCTGGCCCAAGATACATCCTCGAATTGACTGCAGCCTCTTCGCCCAATTCCGCGACAGCCTTATCCATGGGGATAAGTCCACGATAGGCATATTTGTATGTGTAGCCAGCATGGCTTTCGGGCTTCTCAGCACCCAGAAGCGATTGTCGAACATGGCTCTTCACACCGTCTGCTCCCACCACTGCATCGGCGGTAGTGGATGTACCATCGGCAAAATGCAGGGTGACTGGACCTTGACCAGCACTTTCCTCCACTCGTTCAACCCTTTTGCGAAAGGCGGCAATATCCTTGGGCAAGAACTTGACCATTTCATCCAAGAAATGAGCGCGATGCACGCTATTCGCGCCCTCGTCATTGTAAAGTGAGAAGAGAAGTTTGTCGTTCTCATGAAAGCCTTCCAAGAAATCGAAGTACAACCCCTTGCGACCCAGCTCCCTGTCGGCACGTTTTGACTCCCAGGTATTGTGAGTGGCTACAGCTTTGAAAGCAGTGTAGACGTTGGCATCACATGCTCTCATGGCGCGAATCGAGTTGGGGGCGAAAGCAACACCAGCTCCAATTTCAGCGAAGCTATGGCCTTGCTCGTAGATTTTGCATGGAATGCCTCTGGCGACGAGACCTAGAGCTAAAGTGACTCCAGCGATGCCTCCTCCGACGATGGCGAGTCCTCCATGTGGGTATTCTGAAGTAATGTTGGACATTGTGGTAATTGATGAGAGTAGTAGACTGTTGCCAAAAATAATAGAGTTGGGAAGTTTGAATTTTTGTTATGAAAGGACGTTTGATATTGTAATGTTGTGTTGTGTTGAGATGTGATGCAGCATGAGACCTCTACTTAGAGGTCTATTATATATAAGTTTGACTTCCCAGCTTGAAGACTTACTTGGTCTCGATCCGTATCGTCGGCATCATTGATTGCTCAGGATACCGAGGGATTTGTCAGGATCCGTGGATAAACAAGGCAATAATGCGTGAAGTGCGAGATCGACATAGAGACAATGCATCTATTGATGCTGTGCTCCCCATCTTCTCTGACGATGCAGCTATTTTGGGGGCTGAACCGAACCGATTCGCCTTAAGCTTAGCGAATGCCGACGGGGAGATAATGAGGCTGTCGGATGGCGCCCCCGGATATTGCACCCCAGCAGCCTGGGTCATGCCAAGCTTCGGGTTTTGACCGCTGTAGTGTAACCGTTAGTCAGCCTGTCGTCATGCAAGCGAGCCTTTTGAGGAGCGAAAGGAAAGAAGGAGTCGGGGAGTTAAGCCTCGCGATAGATGAGCTTCGACGACCCGGGATTGCCACTGCGCCAACCTCTCAAAGATGCTATGATACTATGAGACAATGTCCCCAACACAAGCATGTCAGCCAACTCGGGCAGACGAATCTGCTGATACTATTGTTGCAGCCAGGATCAAAAGTTTGGCAGAGGATGTGGCAGAGAGATGGTTTCGGAACAGAGATTGATTGATAGCGTTAACAGTATCCCCGTGATCCCAACGCTGGTCTTCCGAATGAAAAAGCAGTGGTCAACCTTAGGAGTAGCCTTACGCCTTGACCATTCCATAACTCTAAAGCACATTGGAACTTTATAAGGAAGGCAGAAGTAGAGTCACGTGTACACTTCTTTTCTCTCTGACGCTCATCTGTTCTGAGAAGGTGATGACGGTAGGTATCAAGCACAAATATCGTTGAGACTGATAGCTTTTCACACACACATTCGAAACTGGCGCCTGCCTACGACAATCCAGACATCAGTCGAAAAGAGAATTTTGCCACCCGAGCCACTAGTTACTTGCCTCTATCCGAGTAATGAATTGAGACTGTGCAGTCGCCAATGCTTGAAAGCTCTGCTATTAGTCCACTCATCTCTCGTTGGATACAGGGACTACGAATCTTAGTTGCGAGCCTTCACTTACTCATCATCGCCCCGGCCACCAGTGCGGTATCCTTTTAGATCCTTGCGAGGAATGAGTTCGATTCTATCCTCGCTACGTTGTTCATCCGTCTCCTCACCAGCCATAGCAAGTTGCACATGATCTGCATAGCTCACCATAACTCTCACATCTTCAGCAGCCTCTGTCAAATCACCACCAACCCAGCTCGATTTGCTCAATACTGCATCACCAAGAGCAGACCCTCCCAATGAGGTAGCCACCATGATATTTTCGACTTTGCTGTAATCGAACTTTGGAAGGGCTCTCCAGATTCGTGTCCGCAGTGCTTCTTCAATGAATAGCGCAATGATAAAAGCGTTGACAAGAACGAGAGCAATTACAACACTTTTTTCCCCAATCCACAGTCCGTTCCTCCATACACTTGGAGTAACAGTATAGACATCCTTGGCAATCATGAGTTGCGCACTTGCTGTGGCCAGAAGGCTATCGTCAATGAGTGTTTCTATGGATTCGGCGATGCCTTGCAACGTTGCAACATCTTGCAGCTGGGATTGATCGGAAAGCCCCTGCTGCAAGATTTTATTGTTGACATTGCGTATTAGGATACTGCCGATAACTGAAGTTTTGAAACTCGTGTCGGAACTGGCCATGATGGCAAGAACCGCAGCAGCTGAATCTGCAATGAAGCCAGTGGGCTCGATATCCTCCATGTTCGAATTGTTCTGCGGAGCGACTGAGAGCTTTCGATTATGGGTATCGACGTTAACGATGAAAGCGGTAGGGACCATGGAAATGCTGCACTGTACATTGTTCAGATTCGGGTTTCCAGATCCTGCAGTCAAAGCGGTGTATGATTGTGAGAGAACCGGTCGTGTCTTGCCGATGTACAGGTTCGGGTTTGGAAGGCCATCAAATTGAAGACCGGATTCAGTTGATGCCCACCACCCTGCCGCCACAATGTCTTGATCTCCTCCTATTCCCCCTACAATCAAACCACCACACTCATCCACAGTACAATTGTCCGGGGGCCCGTCTGGACCCCACCCTGTTGCAAGATAAAAGTACGGTGTTTCCCACAATGTTGGGAGAACTTCCGGTGGGTTCTTTACTCCTGGCTGAGCTAGCAGCAATCGGAGTTGTGAGGACGCGTTGTAGATACAATCGACCGCAGCATGGTAACCATTCTCCGTATACTGGTATTTGAGCGTGGTATTTTGTAATGCTTCATCCGACAGACCCACGGAAGAGCCAACTCCATATGATCGGCCGACATAGGTATAATTCGAATTATCATTCTTGGAGTGTACCTGTGTTTGACCGTCTGTGCTTGTGGCCGAGGACCCATCCACAATCAAATATCCGAGTCGGTCCCAGGTTGGAAGGTATGTGAACGTACCCTTGGGGTCGATAAGAGATGCATTGAATTGGTTGGGGTAGAAGCCATTCTGCGCCCAGTATCGCGATGATTGACCTGTATATTGAGGAAGAGTTATCGAGCTTTGCATATCATTTATCATCGCTGGAACTGGGGCGATGGCGCCGGCCCATAGAAAAGATAGTCCATGTGACAAAGCAAGCCAACTTCCAAGCACAACTGGCTTTTCAGCCCATCGGACTGATAGATCTAACGATATAGTACTTAGGGTATACCACCACTTAAGTCGATGAAGAGAGGTTGGCTGCTTTAGGAGAGTAATACGGGTAGCGTGATTGATCAATTTTGTAATTGCATTGGCGTGAATTGTTGCAAGAAGACCTGCAGTGACCGTCACCACTTGCTGCGTCGTGGTTGGTGAGGTTGTGATGAAATGGTAAATCTTCCAACTCCCAGAGATACTCCAGTTTGTTTCCAACCCAATCAGAACCATTGTGCTGATGATAGTATTGAACATGAGGCCGGGGACATGTATTAATTTGTGAATGATTCCTTCCTCTGGGGCTGAACCGAGATTGTTAACATAGCGAGCCATGATAGTGTCCTCAAGGAACCAATGGGAGGGAATTGGATTAAGTCAAAATTCAAGTGACAGTGCAGCGAGGATTGTAAGTAACAGACGAGGACGAAACAAGCTAGAAACAAGTTTGGGGAAGACAGCAGCAATAACTGAAAGCTCTGAGAACATTGAAAACCTATCGAATGTCGCACAACATGTGCGCGATTATTTCATAGGCTCACTGCTTGCCAAGGAAAGCCACAGAAGTGAGACCAAAGTTGGGGTCGATTGACTGGATAGTGTATCAATCTGGTGTCTAAGCGAGCTAATGACACTTCTTGATATCGTGGTTCTGGTTCTGCGGCTGAGAGAACCTCTACCCTGGCCTTCAGGTCCATGCAAGCCGTGTCAGGCTTCGAAGATTTTGAACTTGGAGTGGTCATTTTCCGTGGCAGTAACAGCCACTGCGACGCCATATGTTAGATAAGTCTTTAGAAGAAACTCATTGGGTATTTTGTGGCCAACAAAAAACTTGTTTTCTCACAGCCAAGATGCGGCATGGCGAAAACTCCATGATTTCTTTGGGCTTTGTTTGCTTTGTGCGAGGTGAGATGAGACATCGCCAGCCTTCTTTACAAGAGATAGCACACTTTCGTCTTAACCACTTTCATCGAGGACAGCCTGAAGGATGATTTCTAGTACGGACATTTAAGAGTTGAAGTCAAATCAAAAGCCAATTTATGGAAATCGTGTCGGCAAGCTTTGTTGAAATCACAACTGCAAAGTGACCAATGGAGAAACGAACTTAGGCATTCGATATGTATCTTTGGATGTGGAGTCCTTTCTTAAGCAGCGTAACCTCAACTCTGCGACCATTGTTGTCGAATTTTTAGTGTACTGGTCATAGTTCCGAGGCCTCAATCATATCATTGTTCATCCAGGACCAAGTTAGCAGCGTCCGCCAAGAGTGCAGAAGTAAATATTAATGTAGGTCCCAATCGCTTTCAACGACTTCTTAGAGCGCCATACACAGTAAACGATGTCATGAACAAAGGGAAAGATATCAAGTATTCAATGTCTGCAATGTCAAGCTACACCATTCATCTCTCCAATCGCCACCACGGGCAGGCCAAATTCTACGAAAGATCGACTGGGCAAATGGTGTTGGCTGGCCAGTCTGAGTCTGCCATGTCTCTTGCTTCCGTTGTGTCAACTCCTTGGTGATAAGCTGCTGGCGACGATCATCTCGCACACACCTTTTGCAGAACCAAGAACGACCAAGTTCGGCGATTATAACAGAAACACTTTGTGGGAACAGTCCACCTCCGAAATCTCCTCCGCCGAATACTCTCAATCGCAACTCCTCCAAAGGCAACGATCCTTCAGCTTTGCCACATGAGATTGCCCAAAAGATGGCCTCGGTGAGGACTCCGTCTACCGCGCTATTAATAAATGCATCACGTATATGCCCCTTTCGAGGAGCACGATACCCTGAGTAACTCTCCTGAAAGAAGCGCTGATCAAATTCGTCAAACGAGGGATCAGTTGGAGTCTCTGGGTAGGGGACATCGTCGTCCTCTAGGTCCAAACCAGCGAGTGACTCCGCTCCAAGTATGGCATGGTTCGACGCATCCAAGGCTAGGGATAGATATTTTAGATTTACAAATGACCCCAAAGCTTGGTAAGAACCGAGGCCACCGCGCGCGGCCCACTTAAGCGAGAACCTCAAGATCTCACCTAGTTTTATATCTATTATTATAACTGCAACTTCTTATGGCATTCTCTAATATTATAATTGTAGATCAATGAATAGTAGCTAAACCTCGCACAACAATCACATCTTCAATCTTGCAAGTCAAACGCTTTATGTACGGCTTGAAATCACCTGGATTTATTCGATCTTATAGCTTTTACAGTTCCTTTTTTAAATCTTCCTTATTTTTTGGCATATAAAGCAATTTCTTCAATTTTTCTTTCATTTATCGCCAAACTTTTTTGATAGGATTTAAATCAGGTAAAAAAGGAAGCTAATTAAACCCGCGGATTCTATACTAAAGTTTTAGTAACTAAACACTCCTTTTATGCATTTTTGCGCCATTTTCCATAAAAATATACTCTAGCCCTAAAGTGTCAAATAGAGGGAAAATTATAGGTTCAAGAACTTGGTAAAAGTACGCCTTAGAGCATATACCCTTGCGTTTTAGAAACTTTTCCATAAAAACTAATAGTGATTTATAGTCCCAGCCCAATGCCCCCCAAATTATAACCGTGGTATTTTTTAACCTATAAACTAATCGGATGTAGTTAAGGCATTTTTTCTCATCTACCCTCCTAATCACCCAAATCCTGCCATTCTTCCCAGTCTCGAATATAGCTTCATTAAACCAAACAACTCTCCTCCAATTACCCCTTTGCTTGCTATTATCCCTATGTGCTATATAATTTAATGTGCCCTACTATCTATAATCCCGCGCAAAGCGCAACCTTTTTTTAGCTTGTACTCTTAATATATAAGGTCGAGGGCATGCAATGCAGCGACGGTAGCCTGCGCGGGCTAATTCTCGGCGTATAGTTCGAATAGAGGGAGCGAGCCGTAGTAGGGTCTTAAAACTCGAAAAGTTCATCCTGCGAGAGGACTAGTCTTTTAATATAGTACGAATACATTAGCGTATCGTTCTAATAGACATCAAGTGAAATTTTGGGAGCTTTTTTTTGCGCTCTCTGCGGCTGTGTTCTTGCTTAAGAATGCGGCGTATAGTCCTCTTAGGCATTTGGGTCTCTTGGACGATCTCCTTTTGAGATTTACCTTGCCTCTGCAAGTTGCGGATAATAGCGCGTGCAGGGGTGGGCTATTTTCCCTCATCCTTTTGGAGGGGTGAGCAGAGTATCACAGGTGTTTCCATTTTCAATTACAAGTGAATTGGATAAGTGGTTGTTGAGTTATTAAAGTTTTAAAAAAGGGGGAGGTAAATTAAAGCGCGTACGCGTCTCGTTTAAGTGGGCCGCGCGCGGTGGCCTCAGCTCTTACGTTGACACTTCGATGGCATCACCTTTTGAACGACGGACTTTTAGCGTCAGGTCTCTAAGCAAGGGGCACTGTGGTCCGATTCTCGCAATTACTTCTGGCGACAGTATTTTGTCGCTTTCCGGTGATCCTTTTAGATCTAAACTGCGCAATGCAGCACCATGATGCTCCAGGATCGATTCCAGGCTGACACGAGAGAGTCCGCCGCTGAGAGTCAGTCTTGATAAAGGTTGCAGACTGAGCAGAAACCGACTTGCGAGATTGTATAATTCAGTCTTTTGTGAGGGGCTCATGTAATCATATGTGAGATTGAGGACCAAGTCTGTCAATGATGGAAACCCGGAACTTGCTGCTAAGAACTCGAGCACAGCTTGGTCAACCTCAGCTTCCAGGTTCATGGACTCCAACACCGAGAAGTCAGTGTGCGCGTTCCAGGTTTTGATGAGATGCGTGCCAATGAGTTTGTCACCAACTCCAATGCACAGGCTGCGCAAAGAGCCAATCTTTGTCGAAGAAATCTCTGCTCGACGGTTGGGTGTGAAGCCTTTCCAAGGCTCACCCTCTGGAAACCCGTTCAAAGTAGCGCCCCAACTAGCATTAAATATACGAATTTCCTTCAGGTTGGGTGCCAAACAGGCTACCATACTCTGAACCGCCTCGTAGTTGAAGTTTTGAACTGTTCCAGTAATTGCACCCCACTGCATATCACAGTCAACGCCAATGCTATACAGAGAAGGTGAGGTCGCAAGAACGACTTCGTATGGATCGGTTAAGTGCTCATTCAGACTACGAAGCTTGAATGGATCGATATGAAGTCTGCAGTGAGGTAGGTGCTGATGCAAAGTTTCAAGTAAACAAGGTTGAAACTGGCTAGGGCGTTTGTAGATCAAGTCTTGCAGCGCAGGCAACTGCCTGACAAGAGCGGCCAACGGTTTCCAGGCATCGTTCGCTTCATAGACAGCCATTGCAGACGTCTTATCAGCTATAGTACGGTACGTCGAGACCGTATCAATAAGGCGACGCTCGTATCCACGATCCTCGCCGAATATCTTAGGGCGCGTCTGCTCGATACCATCCCTGTTCCTCTGAGGCCAAGGACCATCTATACTAAGACGGCGTACAAATCCAGTTGAAGCGCTACGATGTAACATATCATGGCACCTCTGGACTTCTGCGGCGAGTTGACTACTTGTAGAAAGTCTGATACTCCGGAAGAGAAGAATAATTGCGGTAGAATAGCAATGCTTGTTGGCACATGCAAAGGCAACGAGACTGGAGGCATGATCGCGATCGAGATAATCGCAAATGTGAAGTAAAGCAATGGATGGCAAATCTTGAAAGGAAACCATCTCGAGAGCTGCTCCATGTGCCGTTGCGGTTCAATCAGGTTCCAAGAAAGCAAAGGAGGGGTCGCAAGTGAGGGGTCGCAACTAGAGGGTAACTGACGACCATTTGTTTTGCATAAGTGAGACCGCGAATATAATGCGTTCAGTCGTTGTGCAAGGATCACAAACTCCGAACAAGTCTAATTATACAAGTAGATAGAAGTTTGGAGATGTTAGTCTAGATCGATAGTGGAGGTGGCTTTTGTCTAGTTGTGGCGCAGCAAGAACCTTGTAAATTCGATCCCTCCAAGCAAGATTGATCCCTCCAAGGTATCACTTTTCACAACTTCAGTCGATCATAGGGAGGATAGGGTACAGTCACATTCAATGGGCGAACAGAATTGGCTGGGACGCGTTCTGCTGAAGTTAGAATAGTATTGAAATCCTCCCTAAGTGCGCAAAAGAAGTATATATCCCTACATTGTCCAACGAAAGATGACTTGAGCGAAACACCATCAACATTAAGATACATTTCAAAAATGAAAAACTTCCCTCAATCTCCCGAGCCAACCCCGAATACCCTTCCACGGTCCAAAGTGCACGGCTAGTCAGAGAGGGGCTACCTGGCTGACAGTCACCTGCGCGCCATTCACAGGCTTCACATCCTTCACTCCGTTGCCGTTTGTTGCCGGCTGTTCAACTGAAACCTCATCGTCTTCCGCAGAAAGGTCATTGAGAGATGCCTTTTCCGCCTCCGTCTCGGCCTTCCGTCTCTCGTCTTCTTCAATGCGCTTGGCAAGCTTCTTCTTGTCTTCTTCGATATGCTGGGCATATTTGTCATTCTTGGCTTGCAGTTTAGTGTTCACTATTTTCTGGTTCTTGAGTTGTGTCTCAATGTCCTCGATTGTTTTCGCTTGCTTGGCAAGTGAATCGGTTAGGCCTGTGACTTGTCCTCGAGAGGCGGAAAGCTCTTCCTCAACTTTGGAAAGTTCAGCCTTCTTGGCGGCAAGGTCCGACTCGCAGTTTTCGATCTTTATGTCCCGGTACTTCACATCCTGCTTGAGATGGGTGATCTCTCCATTCAATGTATCGATTTTCTTGCCAGCAACCTTTTGTGCATTCTCCGCGGCTTCAAGATCTGCTTTCGTCTTGAGCAGTTGCTTGATCTTCTCATCGCGCTCCGCTTGGAGCGCCGCGTTCTTCTCACGTTCTTTTTGGTTGGATTTGCGAAGATTTTCGAGAGCCTTTTCGTCTAGGACGTCATGAGCTTTGCCATCCATCACTTCCTTTCTCGTAGCGGCCAGTTCCTTAGTGAGGGCCTCTCTTTCTTTCTTCGCCTCGGCTTTGAAAGCATCGAATTCGACATGGACCCTCTTGTGAGCGCTTGTTTCACAAGCCAGGTCTGCTTGAAGACGCTCGATCTTATCATGCAAGTCCTTGTTGTCTTTCGTGAGCTTCTTGATGTCGGCGTTTTGATTCTCAATAGTGTGCTTTGCAGAGTGATAGTTGTTGGCAAGCTTCTCATGGTCCTGAATCCAGGCAAAACAATTAGCAAAGAATCCTCTCGTTCTTTGATAGTTCCGAAACGGACCTGTTCACGAGCCTTGATGAGGTGGCCAGCGTGCTCGACAAAGACTGATGCCCATTCAAGGTTGGCCTCAGGGGTCGTCTGTAACGGCAAAGGTCCCTGGGGCTTGCGAAGTGGCTGTGAAGCTGGGAGATAACAGTCATAGGTGAACTTGAGTGCTGATGCAGAGACACCTCTGAGTCCGAGTCAGTAATTGAACCAAGATGATACAAAACACAGGTGTACTTACTGCTTAACGGAAGCCATTTTTGAGTCTGAGAGATTGGTAAAGTTGCTGAAAGATAAGCAATAAAGTTTGTTTCTTGAAAGTGCAAGTGAAAAGGTAGATTTCAACTCTTATATATAAATAGCGATACCAATGCTACTCACACCTACAAATCCCGCCATTCGCCCGATCTACGAGCATTTGGAGACGCCTCCGCGGAATCACCATGTGGAATTTAGCCATTTCGATGCTTTTCACGCACTTGTGATTCCACCATTTGCGGCTGAGGATCCGAAAGAAGTACCCAGAAGCTTTTCGTTGCATCTCGAGTATATTGACTGCAATGAAACGTCAATATCCTGTCCAATGACTAGATGACTACTCCCTTAATCATTAGATCAGAAACACTTTTTCGCCTTTTTCGCACAAGTTGAGAATAGATAGGCGAGAATGGGGGAAATTGCAGGAGCCAATTGAAGAAAACTGTCGGATCGAGAACGTTCTCTTCTCCATCGGGTAGTTAGAAGCTAGCTGAAGAGCAATTATGTTACGTGGACTCGCTCAAAGGGCTGAAACTGTCTTTCTTTACTTGTTTTCTAGATCAATATTCAGGCCACATCCAGCTGCGCCTTAGTGCGGGGCTGGATGGAACGGGTCGTGCCGCCGCGGGATTTGTCTTATTAGGCCAATATTCGCGACGGTGCGGCCGTCTAGGAGGCTTCAACGCAACGAACGCCATATAACGGGAATGCGAACAGTCGAAAAAGGAAGCATGCCGATCTTCCGGTTGAGCCCCTGAAAGCTGCATGCAGCATGGCCCGTGGGAAAGCCTTCTCGCTTCAGACCCTTCCGCCAGCCAGCCTCAAGTGAAGATACATTTCCAAATCGATAGACTTGGTTCCAGTTTAATATCGGCAGAGCCGATAAATTATCGATATTGTGAGGGCGAGACTTTTTACGGACAATTGATGGCTGCCAGTGGAGTTGGCAGCTGACTTACGGCTTTGCCACCCCGCGCATCTAGACTTCAGCTGTCCATTATTCATACCTGCATATTTTCAGTGGCCCTCGACTTTTGCCAATAGCTTATTTTGTCAGCGGAGTACGACAGATCCAACCACTCAAAGTAGCGAAAGATCTTCGTCCGATGCAACGTCCTCGAGTTTCGACCTGAGACTAAATCTCTGTGGCTTGAGACATACCGTTTTCAGCCAATTGTTTTGCTCAATTGCTTCCTTTCTACGAAAGAAAGAACTTAAGGGTGATCGATAAGAGGATAATGAGGCCAACTGTTTTCGTCTAGGAAGTTTATTCAGGAGGTGTCCAGACTCAACAGGCACACATCTTAGAGTAGGAACAAAGAATTTCTACGCCCATTGCGCCATATATGAATGCATCAGCACTCTGATGATTGATTTTTCTGCGCCAGCTTACCCATTCATCACAGAAGATTTGTATATTCCTCTCTCCTCCAACGTGGCTCCTGCCCTTCCCAATTCAATGGCAATGAAAACTGCAGGTATGTGCGTCCTTCAGGAGACCCCGCAAAAGCTAAATGCCATCAAAGTCAACGTCTCAGAGATTGAGCTCGATTCTCCCACAAACAACTTCGACAGTCTTACCATGCTCAGCCCTATCCCTTCACCACATCCTGGCACAGTCGTCGAACATCCTCACCATCACCATCACCACGAGCCCACGCACTTGCCAAAACCAACGAAGCCTACAGGATACTTCCCACGTTCGTCTAGTCCGACAGGCTCCGTGAGAAGCTCGTTCACCTCATCACATCGTCATGTTAGTCGAAGTACGCGCAAGAGCATTGGCTTCACGCATTCTCACCGCTCGGAAGTTTCGAGAGAGCTTACGAGTTATGCGGAAAGTGAGTTTCATGCGCTCATGGAGCTCATGTCTGGTATTTCCAGGAGGAGTTCCTCCTTGAAAGAAGTCTGGACCAAGATCATCTCTGAGCGCGAATCTTGCTTCATGGAGATGGATCGCATGCAGGAGCAGTTTGAAGAATATACCGAGACTATCGAGCGCAGAGAGAGAGAATCACAGCAACATTCTCACGAACACGAGGACCGAAAGAAGGAAGTCAGCAAGCTTCGCCTTGAGATCACAGCTGCGCTTACATCTGTCTCCGAATACAAGAAGAAGCTCGTCGAGCGTGACACTGAGTTAGGAGATGCCCGTCGAGAAATTGCCGAGTACAAGGACAATTTCAAATATCTCAAAGAAGAGCATGAAGAGACGAAAACCACGTTGGAAGAGACGCAGCTGAAACTTGTTGTCTGCGAAGAAGCCCGGCGTCACGCGGAAGAAGACGCAAAAAAGCACCACGGCGAGCTTCGGAGCTTAAAACAGCAATTTGTTGAGTTGCAGACCAGCCATTCTGAGATCACCAGCAAGTACGAATCCACGCACACGGAAATGCTCAGCTTGAAACAATCCAACACCACGTTGAGAAAAGAGAAACACGAATGGATGCACGAAAAGGGTGAACTGGAAGAGAATCTCCGGAAATGCAACCACCGCCATGATGAGCTCAAACGTAAAGTCAAGGAGTTGACAGAGTCATATGAGAAGAAGGTGCGCGAAGTGCATGAGCTTCAGGAAACTGTCACCAAGACGAAATACGAAAACGAGGAATTGCATCAGCGAATTAAGGAGTTGAGACGTGAGCTTGACGAAGAACATGGCAGATGGGAGGATGCCGAAGAGTAAGTCGAATCCCTGATAACATTGCTATTGTGTTGTTCAATAGGAGCTTTGGAGCTGCAGCTGCTTCGGGAAGTCTTGAAACAGCTCTGCGATTTCAGAGTAATCTGTTGTGATTAGTTTCTCTTTGCAATGCTAATTAGTTGACTAGCCGTTGCGGAAAATGGAAGTTGAAATGGGAGCATTGCGAGCGAGAAATTGTCACTATCCGCGAGGAGGTTCGAATTATCGAAATCGAGCAAACGAAGCTGCATGAAACCATCACAAAGAAGACTGAAGAGCTGCGACACATAATCATCGAGAAAGAACGCATTGAGGAGGACTACCACAGCGTGTGCAAGAAAGCCGAGGACAGCCACCGCCAGGTGCTCCTCTTGCAAGAGTCCCTTCGTCGTACAGAGTCCACGGTCAAGGAGAAGACCGAGCTGATACACACTCTCCACGAGCGTATTGAACGAATCGAGCGCGAACGCGAGGAAGCCCGCCACAAGTGCAGCGATCTCTCCATTGAGCTTTCCGAATTGCAGACAAGCATCGTCTCTCTCAAACTTCAGATCGAAGCCGTAACAGAAGAGCGCGAAAGCTACTGCGAAAAACTGCGTGAGTGCGAGACCAGGTATGAAGAGATCCGTGAGTCCTTCACCGAATACGAAGAGGGGAGCAGCGGGACAGAGTATGAGATTACCAACCTTCGCTCCATGCTTCGCGAGGTGCGAGAGCAGAAGGAGAAGGCTATTACCATGCGAAGTGCGGCCGATCGGGAGCGCGATGAGGCTATTTCAAGATACGAAGAGAAGTGCAGGGAGATTGAGAGGTTGGAAGAGAGTTTCTCGCATCAATTTCACTCGCACGGTAGGAGTGGAGGGCGGACTACCACTCGGCACATTTTCAAGGAAAGTCGTAGTGAAAGCAGGGCGCATGACTTTGAAGAGGATGAGTAAAGGAGAGCGATGACAACGGGGTCAGCGGCTTTTTGAGGCTTACTCAATATTGTAGGCGAGCAAGTTGTAAGACGCAAGGAGATGGAGTTTCTAGGTTTTTACATGGCTGTAATCGGTTTTAGCTTTCCTCTTTTCCTCCATATATACGTACCACTGGAGTACATCTGAACTTCTCACACCCACATCTTCTCCAAAATGAACTCTCTGATCCCAGTGAAGCAGTAAGCAAGACATTCGAACTGTTCTTTCCACGGGTGAGGGACCTGACAACTATCTCACTTAGTGGTGGCAGCCCGTGTTCAGCCCTCTCAATCAAACTCGTGAAGCCACCTTGACAATTTGTCATTCTCTGTCAAACATGGAATGGGGAGATGAAATCACAGAAAGAAATAAAAGGGGCGTGTCTCAGATGAAATTACTTGCAATTCTCAGTGCTAATTGGGCAACATCATCTGCCGCCCCCAAAGATGTCCTTGCACGAGCCGCGAACAATTCGTCCTCCCCAAAAAGGTTCCTATCTCTTACCACGACCGTTGTAGACTAAAACACTCTCCACAATTTCATCCAAACTATTCCTTGACGTCGGCATGCACAAACTCCTCCCTCGATGATGAAGCATATGCATCTACCTTCGTCTTAGAAAAGTTCCGGGCAGAGACCTTGTTAGTGAACAAGATGTCCAACTCCTCATAAGTTCGGCCTTTCATCTCAGGTAGGCGGAAGTACGACCATACGACCATAACGAAGGCTGTGGAGCCCCAGACGAAGCCTGTTTTGCCTAAGAGGTTCCAGGCTGTCGGATTCTAGCATGTAGGTCAGTACACCGATCCTGTAACTTGACTTACAAACAATCAGAAGTTTTTCTGTTTTTGACATACCATCATATAGGGCTCCAAGACTTGCGAAACGACATTCACAATCTGATATGTAGTACGAGCAAGAACAACGGAGAGGGGTCGCAAGCGGGTAGATGATGTCTCGGATATGATACTGTACTGTGCAGCGGATCAGCAACCGCAACTTTCGGATAGATGATGCAAGACCTACAGCAATTGGACCGACAGTCAAAGAGTAGATGAATAGCCACAAGACACAGAGTCCTCCTGATGGCCAGAGCGCATGTTTGCCCGCCGAAACGTTCAAGATACCGATGAGCATCAAGATGACGGTCAGACACGCCATGCCAGTCACGTAAATCGCTCGTCTTCCGAACCAGGTTATCAACCACCAAGACCTATTGGGACGCATCAGTATTGCGCAAGAGTCGATTTCGTTTCATGGTCCGACAACTTACAGAATTACCCCAATAAAGGCCACAGCTGTTGCTCCAAGACCGAGATCAAACGCATCAGCACTGTCCATTCCGGCCGTAGTGAAGAAATAGGTTGGTGTGTAGGAGAAAGTGCTTCCCGATAGGATCTGGCCACAGAAAGCGACGCAGACAATCTCGGTACGTCGTAGATTCACACCCTTAAAACAATCGGCATATGTCGCTCCCCTGGTGACTTCGGATTCCGTCTTAGCTGTATGCAGCATCATGGCAACCTGGGCATGTATCTGATGTTCTGTCTTGTTATTGCTGAGTCTGGTGATAGAGCGCTGGGCGTCCTCGATGCGGTCATTGCGGACAAGCCACCAAGGACTTTCTGGAGCCAACCAGCAAACAACCATAAGTGGAATGGGCCATATCTGCCAAGCATTAACAATGTATGTCAACTTGGAATGTATTTACTTACCCATTGTACGGCAAGGGGTATTTTCCATGAAGTGGCTCCCGCAATTGGAAGACAGCCCCGCAAGACACCAGAAGCGATGAATTGCCCGGTGGCCCAACACAAGTTCACGTAGGTCGTCAAATAACCACGCAAATTGGTTGGGCAGACTTCGGATGCTAGTAGGTTGCACGTTAGTCAGATTGTTCAGGAAGGCTGTCAAACGATTGTAAATTGGCAGATAGGGGTTTTACCATATGCAGGAGCTAGTGTAGCGAACACGCCCCAAGATAGACCGCAGAGAAATTCTCCAATAAGTAGCATTACGTCTCCAGTAGCGAAGAATACGATGAAGATAAAGACATTAATAAAGCCCAAGGCGATAATCATCACCCATCGGTAACCGTACTTGGATGCAAGATAGCCGTTAAGAAGTCCACCTATGGAGAAAGGAGATCTTAGTACTGAATTTCAAGGGACGTTTGCTACTGCACAGATCTATGTGTGTGTTCATGCGTACCGAAGATGCATCCAACCGTGCTTGCCATGCCCAGGCCCGTCTGCCAGGGCGCATTGACCTGCCATCCTTCAGTTCCACCATAATAGCTTCCAAATTTCTCCTTGAATGAGGGGTACGCAAAAAAATTGCCCATGAGGATGGTATCGTATCTAGTTATTCACAAGTCAGCTCCACAGGTCTCTTCTAGGGGTTTTCAAATTGAGGGAAATACGGGATTCTCTACTCACCCTTCCATAATAATAGTCATGGAGATCAGAACCGACCACATAACAGCGGGACGATTCTCCTTCAATGCTTGCATCAACGTTTGCGCATGTTCCTGATGGGTGGCCTCTTTGGCGTCGAAGATGGCATTGAAGCCCAACTTCTCCTCCAATTCCTGATCAGCTACCTTTTGCACGCTGCTGACTTGAACTTCGGTCGCCATTGTGTATCAATGTTTTTGTCAATGCTTGAAGGAGGATGACAGTCGCAGCCGCTTAGGCGCAGCACAAAGAGGATTCGCACGAGTTCAAATACTCGCGTTTTCCCCTCCGGATAAGGTCTGGTAGATGCATGTAACGAAGCATGCTGCCAAGGAAATGTCAAAACTGGGATGAATAGCCGATTGCACAACAGAGCCTCTTGCAGGAATCCATACTCGGGCTACTCTAGACGTACCAAATACTTACCTTCTAGTCCCCAATCTTTTCGAGTTGAGCGCCACACACGGAACATACAGACATTCTAACGGTTCCTCGGCCCGTCTATATCGTCTTCGCACCCCGCTCTCTCCACAATTCTGAACAATGGAGGCTGGGGAAGCTCGGAGTGCGCCAATCGCTGAACTCAATGAGACCGAGCTGGACTCGCATTCTCGGATTTTGTGCATTGGATGTGGGGTTTGCCCCTGTGCAGATCTATGTACTACTTTGAGGGTCTGGGGATCTGACAGGTGCGTTTATGGGACGATCGTTGACAGATTTCCCGATTGCGGGTAAAATCAGATTCGAATTCCACCAATGATGAGCGAGAGGGAAGACAGAACCTCATAAATGTTCAGTTCACTAAGAAGATTTTATTGCAATTTTTAAAAGAATTCGGATTGTAGATTTGACTCTACCAAGGTCAGTCCCTGGTCCTGGGATAATAGTAAAGTTGAAAGAATTATTTTGAATTTCGTAAAAGCGACACGGGATTGAAAGCGTATCTCGTCAAGATCGAAATGCAGCTTTGTAGGATACTCGTACAAAAATGCGGGGTAGAACACTACTGTAACACATTTCGTCTGTGCTCCAACGGTTATGTCCTCCAAAATATAGCTTTTCACAACGAGGAAGAAGAAAGGATATATAGAGTAGATAGTTGCTTTGGCTATCACACACTACCATATACTGAGGAGACTGGGCTATTTCGACATACAAACAAGACATCATCTTAAATCTTTTCAACAGTCAGAATATAGTATTTAAGGAATTAAGTATCGATTCTTAGCTTGCGCAAAGCAAGCTTGCAAGCAATCAAAGAATTAAAGCCAAGAACTAAAACAATTTATTTCAAATCATGAGAAATTATTAACATCCACGTGTTACGTTCGAGGACTGTGAACAGTGGCGGGTTTCTAAGTTCGAGTCTATTCAATTTGGAACATCGAGTTGCTCCAAGACACGGCAATCCGAAGGAGATAAAACAGTATAATATAACCAGCAATTGTCTCATGACTTGTATATCAAGGCTCGCTAGAATGACCTCTTCCGGTCGTGCACCCCCTATTTTGTTCGGCTAGTGTCTAACCCCTTTACCCGTCCGAGTCGCATTAAAACAATGACCGAAGAAGTGGACAGGACGGAGGACTACGTCAAGGCTGCTCGCTGGCTCTTCGTTATTTCTGGACAACAAAAGTTTCCTCTGTTCCAAAACAATAACATTGTTCATTCATGAGCACATCCCTCACTGATGCAATAAGAATGCAGATATACACACGAAAGCATGTCGTCGTTCGTACGAAAGTTAAATCACTATTCACAAATGAACAACAGCGTGTCTTTTCAGAAACAATGCTGGTAGTTTGAGGATATATTTGCTAGATTTTCACTATCTCCAAACTATTCAATTCAAAAACTCATCAACAATATCAGCCCTCACGCCGGTTTTTATCAACTAGATACCTAACCACTGCCAGACCTTGATACATAGGAGTTCACCAACTTCGATTGAGCCAAAAACAAAACCAACGCTCTTCACATCGCAATCAAGCACAACCGCAGATATGTCGACACATTCTGAATACTCCGAGTGGTCTTCGGACGAGTGGGAGATCGAAAGTCTATCCACTTCAAACTCAGAAGTAATCTCGACATCAGAAGGAGAATGGGAGACAGAGACAGAATCCGATGGCTCAGAACCATCTAGACTGCTTCCAGGCGTTATAGTCATGAATGTAAAACTGTTCGGGGATTTGGCAACAGAGGCTCCAAAAGCGGGTGATACCGCTTTCGTTTTCACTGTCATCAAAGCTCTACAAAAAGCTAATGCATTTCTAGGTATGGTCCTGTACGAAAGAACCGCGCAACGCTTCCAAACTCCTACATACAGAGTCATCAATAACGTCAACTGCGCCATCATTCCTTTTAACAGAGAAATGTATACGCCACTTGTCGAGGATGCTTTTAGGAAAGCTTTGAAGCATCTGGCAGAGTTGGCTGGTTCCAACACTGTCCCAGTAGCTATAGTCTACCATCAAGATGAGAGACTATTAGAGCTCCAACCGAAAAGCATCCCATTCGCCATCACACATCATGCACCCCTCGTGGACGATGTAAGCAGATTCTTCCCCGGCCCAAAAGATATCCTAGACGCATTCGGCACGGACACCAAAGACCCTCGAAAGGTCACAGAGCTCCGTGCCATGCAAACAGGTGGGCTCAGGGCTCTTCAAAGGGGCGAGAATGGGTTCGTGCTGGCAATGTCAGATCTACAGGGTGAGCATTTCAAGCGTTCAGGGGTTCGACCCGAGAACATTATTGATTTTCCTCCTCCTCTGCAGGCCATGCTGACAGCTCACGCGCCACAGGCAAACGATGAACAACTACCCAACGTCGACAGAAAATGGTTTGTGTTCACAGCCGTGGCTAGACTCACATTCTTCAAAAACGCTGAGCTATTAGTAGACGCAGCAGTCATACTCCTAGAAAAAGACAAAAAGCTAGATCTGTCTGTCATGATAGCCGGAGGGGATTCAAGTAAGCCCCATGTAGCTATCCGAGACAGCCTCCTAACTCGAGTTCCCCCACACCTCTTCGATCACTTCCACATCATTGAACGCATCCCGCAACGAGAGTTATACCAGTACTTCGACAACTCTCACGTCCAAGAGACGGGCATATTCGTATGCTGCTCGCGCTACGAAACGCTAGGATTCACGCCTCTCGAGGCGGCTCTTAGTGGCGTAACAACGGTCATCACCAATACCAAGCAAATAGAAGCTATGCGATACTTCCCAGAAGAAGTTCGCTTCGAGGCAAATGCCAAGGCACTTGCTGACCTATTAGAGGCTTTGTTTGAAGAGGATGACCTTGCGGCTGTAGGGCAGGATCTGAAGGAGTATATCGAGGAGTCGACTGCAGAGAGGGGCGACTTCGAGACGGAGTTCCTGAAGGCATGGGCTAAACTATCCTTGAACGTATCGTGATAGAGATAGAGGATGTAGGAGTGAATTGCGATAGATACACTTAAACAACACTAGACGATGGTGGCTCATCATCTTTTTATGAGCTGCCAACTTGAAGACTCATGAGTGAGTGTAGATAAAGTCCCTCACCTGATGTTAATGTAAATCCTAATGTAAATAAATTATACCATCTAAAATATGTCCTCAGAAACCAAATGTGAAATATCCCTCGAAAATCAAATTCTGAGTCTTGCGTCTCTGTGAACATCTTTTTCTTCTGTTCTACTGTTCAGCGCTCTTATCTGAGATATAAAGCAGACTGAAGAGCAAATTCCTGAATTCATTGTTCGCCAATTGTTCTCTCACTGCTCGTGCCCTGTTGTCTCCATTATTCGCGCTTTGTTTAGCATGCAGATAGACAAAGGAAACTATCTCCTGGGTATTAATCCACTCAAATTTCAGCTGTGCAGCCTCAAGATGGGATCAAGATTTGCAGCCCTCCATGACCACACCACACCATCGAATAATACATGCCGAGAGTAGTCTGCAAGAACTTCTGATGCATAACTATCAATATGGACATCATTGCGAACCCACAGCTGAGGATAATGACTTGAGGACGATGAGCTGAGCACTCACCAGACGGAAACGCACTTGCAAGGGCCCCCACAGAAGACTTCTGCAGCACGAAACTTATTCGAAACAACAATAACAAAATGTCCAGGATTGTTACGCTATTGCAGGGGTAATTCTTCGTGATCAAAGACTTCCAACAGCTTCAGAAGCTGACGGCCAGAGAACCACCTCGAGCCTTATTTGACAAATGCAAAGGTCTTTATTTTCGGGATACGACTGATTCGTGATTTCCAGGGCATCGGCGGTGAATTTTTCGTATCCGAAGAATATGCAACACCTCGGCATACCTGGTCGCAGTTATTCATCGCGGACAGTAGAAGACCGGCATGAGCTGTTGATGGAACTCTTCAAACCTTCATGCAGCTGGTGCTATAGCCTACACCATCTCAACAGCACCTCCCTTCCAAGAAACATATCAAGCTGAGCGCATTTTAGCATCAAATGACCCGATGATTTCGTGCAACGGTACAGTAAGATTGACTTTCCGTGTGATCGCCGATCATAGCCGGGAGTTCTGAGTCAAGCCCGAGAAGAAGCAAATTTCGGGCTCTGCCAAGAGCAAATATACATTGCGACGCATTGATTTCGATATTGGCATTTCTGTATAGCAAAGAATTATTTCCACTCTCCGGCCACTCGAATTCTTATCCATCGTCGTGTTGAACGTTCACCTCTTGGTTTGCGCAAAACTTTTCCGATTCGGGTCATCGTGGACTTGACTGGACGCGATACTGCCGGGTGAGACAGCTGTCGGCGACCTGCTTGCTTGATTCCGAGTGCCACATGAATGCGCCTGTTTGCCTCAACGTCGAGCGGATTCAATCATCTTCCTGAGCTGATTGACGTCGTTTTTGCAAACGGAGTGTTGGTATTCGCGCTGGATGTCCACCATTCGACGCTTGGCTGCTTACCCCACCTTTTCACCGCATCTCACAAAAAATTGGCTTGGGGATAGCACGACAAGACCTGACACACAGCAGAAGAATTTGTGCACCGAAAAGTCATGTTGCTTTCGGGGCACGTCGCGAAGGTCGCTAGGCCTCTTTGCAGGGAGAAATGGACTGCTGTCACCAGGTCGCCAGCAATTCGTAGGACGATCCATTCTGGGGAGCGGAGCAAAGGAAGCTCAGGCGTCGCATCGAAATTACCACCAAAAGCGCATTCCAGATATCCACGACGTCGCACTGCTGTACTTGCTGCATTCGCTGGTGGAGGATTACTTTCGCTCTTCCTTGGTACTCGTCTTGATGTTCAGCAGGAGGAAGACGTTGTCGTGGAGAAAAAAGAGGAGTCCGCCGAAGAAGGAACTGTTCGTCAGATCAGGTTGTCTGAGATCAAGTCGCACGATGGCTCCTCTCCACGACCATGGGTAACAAGAGGTCGATCCGTATATGATATCACCGATTGGATAGGTGTGCACCCTGGAGGAGAAGTGATACTTCGAGCTGCTGGTGGAAGTATTGATGCTTACTGGGACATCTTCAGCATCCACAAGAAGCAGGATGTTTATGATATCCTTGAACAATACAAGATCGGCGAAATTGACGAGCAAGACTTGATCGATGGCAAACTTCCATCTGAGGCCATCGACGACCCTTTCACGACAGATCCAGCTCGACATCCTGAGCTGCGAACACTAACCGCCAAACCATGTAATGCCGAAACTCCAGGCAAAGGCTTAGCGGAATTTCTGACGCCAAACGAGATGTTCTATGTTCGCAACCATATGTGGGTTCCAGTCGTTGAGGACGGAAAGCATGAATTGACAATTGAGCTCCCCGATGGAGAGGAGAAGTCGTACACGCTGAAGGACCTTAAGGAACGTTTTCCAATGCATAAAGTGACAGCGACATTGCAATGCGCAGGCAACAGAAGGAAAGATATGACTGACCATGCAAAAGCAACGAATGGTCTGCAGTGGACAGCAGGTGCCATCTCGACTGCAGAATGGGAAGGTGTCAAGCTGAAGGATGTCCTGGCAGATGCCGGACTCAAGCCAGAATCTCTTCCGGAAGACGCCAAGCACGCCCAGTTCACGGGACTCGAGGCATATGGAGCATCAATTCCGATGACCAAAGCAGTCGATCCGCACGGCGATGTTCTTCTTGCTTTCAAAATGAACGGAAAAGATCTGCCACGCGATCATGGCTATCCACTTCGAGTAATTGTTCCAGGAAACGTAGCAGCCAGAAGTGTGAAGTGGCTTCGCAAGATCGTGATCTCCGACGAAGAGTCACTCTCTCAGTGGCAGCGAAGGGACTATAAATGCTTTGGGCCGAACGATACCAAGCCAGACTGGAGTAAGGCCAAGTCGATCCAGGAAATGCCCATAACCTCTGCGATAACCAGCATCTCGAATCCGTCCTCACCTCCTAGCGATTCAAAGCACGACAATCCAATCAGCGTTGAAGGATACGCGTACTCTGGAGGTGGCCGAGAAATCGTGCGTGTTGATGTCAGCACAGATGGCGGAAAGACTTGGGACCAAGCAGAGCTGGTGGATGACCAAATGAGCGGAGCCAGAGCTTGGTGCTGGAAGAGATGGCGATATTCTGGATTGAAGCGCAATTCGGGAAAGACGACAGTACTGGTAAAAGCAACGGATGAAGCGTACAACACACAGCCAGAGAGTTATGAAGCCATTTACAACACGCGGGGAAACCTTGCGACCGCTTGGCACAGAGTTGAGATTGATTCCAAAGCTTGACGCTGCTGCACTTGCCAGCTTTCAACCAACAACAACTTTTGTACTAGGTCTCAGAGTAGTAATTGAATATTTCGTATCGATGCTGCGACTTCAACAGAACAGTCTGATTGTCATGAAAACAATGAAACAAAGATGGAAGAAGAAGTGTGTCAAAGCAAAGGAAGATGGGCTAAATGCTCGATCCCGTTTCGGTCTAGCTTAGATTGCGTGATTGAGATTACCCACGTGATCGAATTTAACTTCGATCGACCTCGAACGTCTTCCATTAACTTAATAGACAAAAAACAACATGACATTCGCATGTCACATGCCCATAGAGTGATTAATACCTCAGTTGAACTTTCCATATTCCCCCAAAGTATTTCTTTCTCACGTGCTCAAGGACTGTCTTTTCCATTTGTTCTGCGCTTCATTTGCCCGCTCTTTTATTTATCTTGCAAATCATCCACAGTATCACTACAGAACAGTCACTAGCTATTTTCAAAATCAATTGAACAGGAATTGGCAATAAAAGATTTCCATTCTAAACTCTGTAAAAAGCATCATCTCCATAGACCCCAGGAACAAAAAACAAACTCCCGCGGGAGAACCAAACTACCCATTACGGGTTTTTTTTTGGGATTTTTATCGCGTCGTGTGTGTCGTATGGGGGAATGACGAAGGTGAATGGCAAGTGATGTCAGATATAGAGGATGATGTTTTGGGAGGAGATAGATGTTTTTTTATGGGGTGTCAACCCTTTCATCTCTCCAAAGCATGCCATACTACATAGGATAAGACGGGCCGTTTGTCAAAAACACAACATTAACTGCAGCGAATCTAAGGAAAATCGGTCAGCCTCTGGTTTTTCTAGGTATTCAGCAGTCGCTGACTTACGCTGCAGTTGCCGCGAAGACTTCAATCCTCCTTGCGTTCGTCATCACTGCAAGAGCGAGAGAGAAACATGCAGAGAAAGCAGCAATCATTCCAAGTCGAATGCTGTTAGATTGCACAATGTACAAGGCGACAACTGAGCATATCGGCAGTAACGAAGCTATAACCGTAGCGAGTGTGCTGATCAATTTTTCGAGGCTCGACTCCTTATAATGGTATATGCCTGTGCCCACATGCTCTGGTAAAGGAGTCGTTTACACCGTCAGTATTCTAGTGAATGTTCTCGAAGAGATAAAACATACTTTGAATGTCTTCCCGAAAATATGATGGTAGTGAGGCACAACGTCTTCTGTGAACCACCTTGAGAACATGTCTGGTGGAGCTCGAGGTTTTATAGCAACTAGATCGTTCTCGTTGTCGGTGTCCCATGCACCTCTATCGATACCTAAAAGAGGAAATGATCCCATCCCTGGTCTTTGGAACCAGCTCCTCAAAAAAGTGAGGTCGTATTTTCTGGGCTGCTCTAACTTGGCTAGAGAGGCCTGCTTCAAGAGCTCATCGTCTAAAATAAGTTTTTCATTAGTCCAATGCGCATCTACAATGTATGAGCTACTTACTGTACTGGTCTAGTTTTTCACTAAGTTCCAAGAATTTCTCCCATTGCTCCAAGTCATCTCCTTCTCCTCCTTGACTTAAAGACCACCAATCTCTTGTATGGAATCGTCGGCCTTCATGAGTAGAGTCTCTCTTTGCTAGTTGGCTTACTTCTGCTTCCAAGTGCATAATTTCTGCTTGCAGATAAAGAAGTCTCTTTATGTTGAGAGCTCGAAAACGCCGAAAAATAGCAAACTCCTCCTGACTTGCCATCAGTTGCGCCACTTTAGCATATCCGTCCATCATTTATCACGAGGCTGGGAGAAGCAAAAAGTTGGGCAGCAGGGGTTTTGCGTCTTTTCTTAAGGATATCCATATTTCGCCATCGGTGTGTGAAAATGAGGCGAACCTGCATGTGAGATCATGCAAGGCTAGCGCAGTGGGGCCATTATAGAGGTTGCACAGGTAAGGTGTACACACTTGCGTTTTTGGGTGGCATACTTGATGGCGAAGCACAGCCTCGTCTCGATGGAATAAAAGTCGACGTGGCGCCACTGTAATTGATGGCGCACCCTCCTTAAAACCAGGCTCGAGCCCCGGAAAGATAAGGCAACCATCCTGGAAAGCAGTAAATGCACGTTATTGTCGCTGACCAGTGAAAGCACATTTATTGCAATGTCCTGTGATCAGGTAACGATTTATAAGTATGGGGGTCGTGCCCAGCCTGGTATGCTTCAAAGCCTTCCCTTCATGAGATAGCAGATTTCTGACTCCTTACAACTAATTCTAGCCGAGGGAAACAATTCTATAGTTGTCGCGCGACATTTTTTTCCAAAGTCACGAAGTCTCCAGAGATATCGATCAATGTCTTCTGAGCCATCAATGTCGGGTACCTTCAACAATAGCAATCCTCAATGGACCCAGGAACAAATCAGAGAGTTTAAAAGGAGGAAGCTAGAAGAAAAACGTGCCCTTGTTCTGGCTAACATACTCGGTGGAGTTGCGAGAGATCCTGAACAGGAAGAGTATGAAGAATATTTGCAGAACTGTCAGGCGCGAGGAGCGGTGCCAACGAGCTCGTACGGAACCTCCGTAAGACTCTCCAAATGGAACTGGTTGCTATTTTCCAACTGAAATTGACGTTGACGATTCAATAGGAATGCCAGGATTCTGGAGACATTCAGTACAAATCGGCCCAGATTCTCGATCCGACGAGGGGTCGGGGAGAAGAGGTAACAGTAATCGAAGACTCCGCTTGTCGAGTCAACTTCATCTCCCCAAGGATAGCCAGACTCTGTAACATTACTCACTATCCAACTCCACCGATCGAGCATGGAACAATGACAGGCCGTTTCGTTGCTGATCGGTGGGCTGAAGTCACTTGGCTCGGGAACAATGGTAACAGTGGATCTGATTGGTTCTACATCGCACCCGAGGAGGCCCCTCTTGAGCTCGAGATTCTCGTCGGAACACAGTTCATGAAAGACCACCCGAATGTATTCCCGAGTCGAAAGCTCTTGGCACCATCAATGCTGACTGTGCAGACAAAATTGAGAGTAAGTTGAGATGTATAGCCAAAAGGCCCAGTACTAATTCGAATTACTTTAGAAAGAGGAACGGGCGCAAGTCCAGGCAGATAAGGTAGTGGCAGATGCCTATGCGGTGGAGTTGGAGAAGAGAAAGCAGGAAAAGGCACGTCAGGTACAGCAGAAGCCAAAACAGAGCGGATCCTCTTCAAGGAGCTCTCGCACCAGGAAGAGTTGAAGGACTGGCGTTTGAGCCTAGGAAGATATAATGAGAGTCAAAGTGGCGTTCCTCTAGGCCTCCAATGGGTTTCGCAGATAAGAATCTAATGAAAAGGGCGCAATCTAAGAATTCTCTCAGGACACACTTGGGTAAAGAACTTTTTGCGATACCTATGTCTCTCAATGGAGGCTGACAAACCCTGAATCGTCAATAAAGCGGGGTAATCCCAGCCCCGCAGGGCATCTGCACGGCCATGTTCAGTGCCTATTTCAGCCCCCGTTATCGGTGATATAATGATGGAGACACTCCTATTTCTATGGCCCTCATTGTTCTGGTAATATAACAGCAGCTGTACCTTCACTCTCTCATTCCAACAAGAGAGAAGCTTTTTGTTCTATGTATACAGCGCAAAAACGCATCGGAAGACATGTTGAATGTGCTCCTAGAAGAGCGTTGCTACTCCGACTTTGCGAATTTAGATTCTGATATAGGTGTATATATAGGAAAATATAACTATATACACCCTTGATGTTTCACGATTGCCTGCCTACTCGGTCAATCTTGCATTTGCATACCAGATCAGATATCTCTAAGCTCATACTTGCGATAACATATTGCCCCAATTCAACGTCCATCGCAGCTGGACTGGTTGGTCCATTCATTTCTTCTTCTACCATCAATCCTTTCTGCAAATAATCTGGCTTCTCAGAGCAGCCTCACCAACGCCCCGACCGACCCCTCTCAGCATCCTGTACCGACCATACGACAGCATCGCAGCGATCATTGAGACAGAACATCAGCCTATCCAACCGCGACGTTTTTCGAGATAGTCAGGCATGCCTGATGCGCCTCTGACTATATCTTGTCGAGATGCGATAGGCCCTGATCTGGATGCCTCCCTCAGAACCGCGCATGACCAGAGTCCAACAGGGCATGGTCAAGGGAGCCTTGCAGGTCGCAATCGAAGATGGCATAGAGTTCAACTCTGTAGACGACGTGGATGAATACCTCTCAAAAGAAGCTCTCCTCCCTGTCGACTTGCTGCAGAAACACGGGAGAGAGATATTCAGCTGTTACTTGGGTCTCCAGAAAGAGTTCCGAAATACACGACAACAAGAGCCACGACAACTATTATCGCCTTCACTCAGCAGCAATGAGGGATCGCATTTTAACTCACTTGAGACAGCAAGAGACGATTGCTCGGATCAGAGCGAAACCGCGGCTCCCACGTTCGATTCTCATGTGAGTATAGAAGCGGATCTTCAGGGTCGTTGCTAATTGACATGGATGAGCAGGACACCATATTCATATGCTTTTACAGTCCCACTCGAAACGTTTGGTCTATTCTCACTGCGAAAAACTGCAAGGGAAGCGTCAGCTATATTTCAGAGAAGGTCGTTCGCGAGCACCACCTCAGGAGAGGACAAAGAGGAACCCAAAGCATACTACTTGATTGGCGCTACACAGGAGAAGCGCAGAGCACCCAGAAATCGAGGACCCGCTGCCAAACTGCAAAACCAGAGTCTTTGCCCAGTTGCGACATTGCTTTAGGAGAAGATTGCGGGAAGCAGGATTCTGAAGAGTCAGAGGAGGAAGAAGAGTCAGAAGAGGCGGAAGAAGAAGAAAGCAGTCCAGTGTCTGCAAGTAAACCGCAGTACAATGATATGGGTATGCATACCTTCAGAAGTATCGTGAGAAATATCTCTAACGAACCTCAAGTCCTGTTTGAATCTTTCGAGGCGACGACACTTCATGACCTTTCACCAGAACAAATGTCGCACGTAAGGCGGACAACAGCGGCAATGAACTTTGAATCAGCGATGCACGAGGTGGTGGTGATGACCAAACGAAAAGCAATAAAAGCAACTCCTTCCATGCACTTCGATTTACCCTCAAGCCCGCCGGAGATTCAGCGAGCGAAGAGATCAAGAATGTCTTGATAGAGGCACTCTTTCATCTTCATATTTCTTCGATCAGCGACTCTCCTTCGATGATCATTCTTCATGTCAGAATATCTTTTCTGGAAAATATTAGACGGGCATTCTCACGAATATAAGGGTATTAGGAATGGCATACATACAGGAAGGAAGGCGGTTTGCTTAGGCATCAGGCTAGGTGTGATTAGGGAGCGAGAGAATGGGAAGATGGTGTACATGGTTGCCGGTTTTTTGTCCTTAAGGAGTCATGGACATATTGGAGTACAGGGCTGTTTATATAATACTTTCGCTGGCTAGGGCGTTGATGTTTACAAAAGGGTCAAAGGAAGGGAGCAGTTCTTGGACTCTGTATATATATACCCTTATGTCGAAACAAACGAAATGTACAACGTCTTCAACTCAAGTCATCAAGCGTAACCTTAATACCTTATATTTAAGTTGGGCCTCCATATCAGGCAAGGGGTGACATTGGACTCGGCCAACTGCATGTGTGATACGTGGTGCCACGATGCCACACCACGAGCAAACATGACTCAACCAAGTTCAACACGCTCATTTTCATGCATCGGTCCCAGAAAGGATACGGCCTCGAAGAAATGTAACCTGGTTTGATTAAATTCCCATATGCTACATGCACAATGATAAAGAATGACGCGCTTCTCGATATTGCGCCTTATCAATCTGCATGTTGCCCCTCACTCGCCTCCACACCTCGTCGCACAAGGCGATCTGAACCAGCCGATTGATTGACTTGCAGGACTGGCCGCTAGAGTTCATGACTTAGTTTCCTTCTAAACCATTTTGTTCCCTTTGTTGATAAGGTGTGGATGCCACTGACTGAAAGTCCTTTCTCACATACCTCGGAAGTCAACCAAAAATGCCATCCTTTCTGTATCTTTATCAACTAAATACACCAGTCCTTGATCCTGTTGACTGAGATGCGCACTCTTTCAATCCTGCTTATTTAAACCAGGAACTGGTGAGCTCCATCATCTTCATCATTAAGTAAACCTTCCCGGACGGTCCGAAGAGTAAAGGTAAGTTTTGTCTCGCTTAACTCAGGGGCTGAAATGAGAGCCTACGACTTTGATACCACCAATAGACTCCAGAACTCAAAAGCAACTCAAGCCAAAGATTCATTCATACTCGTTAGTTCGTACACTTTTACTCCTCCTCTTCTATTACCCATCAAACTCACCTCCCACCCAAGCCTCTCAGCATCCCTCTTCCCCCACCTCCCCTCCCCCACAACCATCCCGATCAACTCCACACACACCTCACTCCTCGGTTGAATATTAAACTCAAACTCCTCCGGATAACACAAAGTCCCCTTCTTCGGCTTCACATCCCCATTCTCCTGCGTACCCACAATCTCAAAACAAGCCAACAACCTCACAACTCCAATCTACAACTTCTGATCCGCAAAGAACCTCCCCGGACACATCCTCCTTCCGTACCCAAAGCACCAGGGAAGTCTACGGGGGTGTATCGAAGAATGAGGATAAGGTCAGACTATGGGAATCGCAGCAAGAGAGTATTCAGTCATTATTTCCTCGACTAAGTGGACTAAAACATCGGCTTTGTTTGACTCGATGGTATAACCACAGGCCCTTTTCAAGACAGTGGCTCCGGTAGTGCTTTAAGAATGATAGCCAATATAGCTATCCTCGTCACTTTCCAAAAATCCGAACTTGGGTCCTATAATGCTCTAACAACTTTCCCGGTTCATTCAGCGCGTGAACCAGCTGCCGATTAACTTCAACTTCCTGGATATCCCGAAATTGAGCAGCAGATACCTTAATACCAAACTCTCGCAGCAACTTGCGATGATGGCGAAAAGTACTATTATACCCTTGACAAAGAACAATATATTCGAACCCACACATCTGATTCGTAAACACCATCGAAAGTCGTCCTGACGTCTCACTCGCATTCTCCTCCAGCAGGCCGTGCGCTACTTTTTTGTCGTGGATGAGGACGAGTGTCATGCCTAGGACGGTGACAGAGCTGATGGGTCCGTGTAAGTCCTTGTGCTTTAACCAGTGCTGGGATTCTAGGACGTCGGGTGGAGGTAAGTCCTTGACATTGGCTAGGATTGAAAGCTGGTTTGGGCCTAGGGAAAGAGTGCGGCGAGTAGGAGATAAATATCGCAAGACGATATAGCCAATGACGGCCAGGGCGCCCAATTGTGTAAAAAATGAATTTGGCATGCTTGAAACTGGCTCGCGTGCACTTTATCGCAGATGACCAGTCTTTTGGCCTCGGAAGTAGAAAAAGTCAATAGAGCAATCCGCAACAGTCGTGTCAGCCCTATATACCCCAAAAACGCGTGAAGTATCAGGTCCAAGAACTCCGCATACACGAGTATCTACCGTTCCCTACGCAGTAACAAGGCTCCTGCACTCATGATAGCTCATCAAAACAAAACAGCAGCTGACTGGTGAACTCGCGGATCTCACTTGGCACATCAACCCCCAAAATCAAACAAAATCCAAAACCAAGAAAAAGCCATCCCATAGAACCTAACGTCTTGCTTCAAACGAACATCCACCTAGTCACTCAATCAACCACAAGCCCGCGAATCAACAAGAAACCCCCACCCTCAAGAGATACAAGAAGAACTCCATCTAACACGCAATCTCAATCTCAATCTCAATCCTCATAACCACGACCACGACCACACACATCACGCATCACGCATCATGACAACCTCAACCTCAGAAAAAAATAAGAAATGAAAAACAACCTTAACCTCTTCAACAAATACTCACTTAGCCCCGGCGTCATTAAGAACACCTTAAATCAACCCTATCCCAAGTCAATGAACCAAGAAACAGCACCACCCTTAAAAAAAAATCCCAAACCTCGCTCAGCCTCATCCCTGGCCTCGTTGCGGCGCTTATGGTATCTCCCTCGTAACGAACATGGGGACAAAAGTCCGTGCGTTCAGGGCATCAGAATCATGAATTTTATTAATTAATTAGCTGTAGACCAGCCACATCGCTTAATTAAGTCGTGTACCCAGAAGTCCTGCTGCTCAATAAGCCCATTGATCCATTCCTGAGGAATTTTGTCCCATTCTTCTAATACTGCTACAACCATTTGAACCTCAGTTGTTGGCTGCCTTAGGCGCCTATGGAGAGCTTGTTTTATTCTCCTCCAGCACTTCTCAATAGGATTCATATCAGGGCTAACTGCAGGATGGGGGAATAGAGTAAT